ACAACCTTATAGTCCTTCATCTCGTCCGGAACTCATTTTCTGTTTCTTTTCGAATGCAGATAAGACTTCCCCGACCCTCTGAGACAATCGGTCGTCATAGTCTGGTTCGCTCTGAGACACAATGTAATTTACACCCACAAGATGAACAGAATATCGAGAATAAAAAGGTGAAATAATGAAATACACCATGAAGTACGCTTTTGATCCATTCTCTGGGTCATCGCTTCTTTTTCAATGTACGGATCACATCCACCACGAAAAACGCAGCCCAGCCCAGTCCAGTCATTCAGTCCCGCTCTCGAAGCTTCTCTTTTTCCTTCCTACTTTCTTTTCTTCCTTTACAATAAAATCTTGTCCTTCTCGAACGAAGCGTATTCTTCTGGATTCCTTCTTCTGACAGGAATTCCGATCGGCGTCGCCCACCCTGCCTTTCGGCTTTCTCCTTCTTCTCCGTCTTTTTGTCGTACACATCAAGATCAGATAGAATTACCTCACTTTCATTTCAGATTTCCCATCCATCTGACATGAAAGAAGAAATATGACTTTTTTTAACTTTAAAGATCAGCAAGATACGGATACGTGAGGCGTGCCGTGATCTACCAATTCTCTATGATCTGCTGCAAGCCAGTCAAACAGGAAGACCGGCCATCGCCGCGCGCCGGTGGTGATTCGGATTCGGAATTTGTCGGTCCCTTCACCTCCAGACTTTCCGACAAGACGATAAACAACACCAAGACAAGCTTTGCGTGCCAACCTTTAGGCTCGTTTCAGCCGAGCGATATCGTGTTGTGATATGAACGGTGCTCAAAGACAATCGATCGGTTACCGAACGTGCGACTTCATCCTGTGATATGGATATGTTCGTTCTATTGGAATCTCGATCTCCTAGATCGTGTTATTTTCAGCAAAGCGGTAAGTGATGGAGCTGACTGGGTCTACGTAAGCGTGTGGCGGGTGGACTTGAGGCCGTTCAAGGGCCTGCTGCTCTGTAGGTGTAGATCCACCGCACAGATCCAAACAGATCCAAACAGATCCATACCACCGGTTTCTCAGCCAAGCCTGATCTGTCATTATCGATCGCGCTCTGCCACCCCAGCTATCCACAGCTCACGTTTCTCGCTCTCTTCGCTGTTGTTCACTCTCTTTCGATACTTGAAAAGTGAGAAGTGAGAGGTAAGAAGAATAGATCTACGAGTGGCAGTTAACTTTCTCGACATTCCTCCGATCAACAAATCACGTTTAATACCGTTAGCCGACCATCACACCAATACTCCTCAACACCCAGTCCCACATTGACTGATCATCAATCCGATGATCACCGCAATGGCTTTTTAGACTTCATCCCCCATCGTCATCGGAGTGCAGGCTGTCTGATCTGTAGGCATAGCGCAGTCAGAAATCAATATTCACCAATATCCATCTCCACAGATGCTTGGAATACCGCCTGCTCGGGCGGACCTGAATCAGTCCCGTGGGTCTATGATTATTAAATTCTCTTCTATATCTCAGGTCCCACAGTATTACAATGTTCTCTGAATTTGCTCTCAGTTTGCTCTCGGAGAGTCGCTGCTCTGTGTCTTTCATCTTGGCGTGATGTCTGCGTCCTCAATTCATCTGCTATAAAACCGTTTCTCCATATAATCTGTCATATATCTGACTTGCTATGGCATCGCTAAGAGGTCCATATCGTTATTGTCATACAAGTTATCGTCATCAAATCGTGATGTGATCCATCTCGTTGACCGCGGTACATATCAAAATACCACTGATAGTTCCCGAGGAATGGAAACTCACCGCCCAGTCTTTTGACAATAAAAAAACAATAATCGCTAGTCAATTCATCGGCTGGGAAACGAACGGTATCCCATACTCACCGTCGTCCCGTTAGCCGCAGACAAATACGCCGTTGGAGTCGCGAGGATTTGTATCCGTATCCTCCATTGTCTCACTCATCCAGTTCCGTAACCGAGCCTGTTTCCTTTGTATCCCGCTCATTCTCGTCTCTTACGCGTCTCGTTTCCGCTCGCTCACTTGGTTAGTTACCCCCGCTTTCGATGTCTGCGTTGCTATCGATGCAGGGCTCTTTTTAATCGCGAGATAGGCCATCCGGTAGTGCGGAAAGGGCACTATATTGTCGATCTTTCATTTAGCATGACTCTCATCATCCATTCTCTATCTCCATGCATACACGACAATACCAGCTATCATATCATCCTGTATAGTCTAGTCCTAGAAATCCATCTCTCTATCTGCATGCTGACAGATTACAGATGAAGCTGAAGATTGTGCATCAAGATCTCTGATCTGCGTTGCCTATTAACGCAGTGCGTTTTTCTCACTAACCGCTAACTGACTGACCTCCACACTAACTCAACCGTCCAGGCCGGTGGTTAAACGGCAGATGCCGACGTCACCAGCTTACCCACTTCCCTCGTCAAACGTCTGAAAATCAGGTATACCAGCTGAATAAATAAACGATAGACAAGTAAGAAATAATTACGAATTTCAGACGATCCCACACTACAGAGCACCAACAAGTCGGTTGACAGTGAGGTGATCTCGTCATTCGCTCGTAGGGTTAACTAAAATTAGGACGATGATTACCCAGCCATCGCGATGTAGTTGAGCGAATGGCTGATTAGCTCCGCGAGAAAGGCGCCGGACGGCGAGTAGGGAAGTGGGACCTCGGCGATATAGAAAATAAGAGCTGGGGATTGCGGTATAGACTGCTATCAGCGCGGGAGAGAGAGAAGTCTACCTACGCCGCTTGAGTCTGCTCACTGAATGCTAAGTCATGAATGACACCGGCATGGCAATTGCTCGCAGGTTTTGAGTATAACTACACCATATACTAAAGAGACACTGAAGAAAAAGTTCAAAGAAACAGCAATCTCCAACAAGTCTGAGGAAATGGACTGCGCTGGGTCACGATAATTGCGGCTTTTAGCTGAGTTATCTTAACTTCACCAGACCTCACTGCACAAACTTAACTGGACTCACTGTTCACAGTGTCTTCGTCGACCGTGTTGCGCACAAACACACCACCTGCTCGCTGCCGGTCGCTGCCGGCCTCTATCTGTAGATGCGCGTCCTGCAGGCCAGCCAACCGCCGCTAGAGGCGCAACGCTACCGGATATCTAACTTGAACCTTTCTCTTCCTTCCATACTTTGTACAGCACAGCCATTCAATACTCTGACTGTCAAGTAGGTTTTCCCCGTTCTCGTGTTTTTCTGTTTTGCTGTTGCGGCAGTTTCGGATTGTGCTTGAAATTGGAGGAGAGCGCCTTTGCTTCAGAGTTTTGCAGCGCTGCTGCATGCAGAGGACGCCTGACTGCGCCCACCTCTTGCTGTTGCCTTACTAAGCCCTTTACTCTCTTCTTTTCTGCTCAATTAATAGTCGAGAAGCATCTCCGTGCAGAATTGATCTGAATAATACTCTGGAAGACAGCAATATAGTCAGAAATCATTGAAATAAACCTGAGGTATACCCAGGTGAAGCAAAAGTGGGCTGATAACTATGCACATGCCGTCTCAGACCCAACCCCACAAAAAGATAGCGATAACCTCCACTGCGACCACCACTCCGCAGCCACTCCGCATCCACGCCCTCGTTTATCATTGACAGATATGTCTTGCTTCTCCGTGTCGTAGCTCAAATCAATCCCAACGGACAGCCAAGCCTGACCACGCATGTCTACGACCGGACGGCGGCTGCAGCCAGGTAGACTTTCATTGACTCACGAGAACTGATCGCTCACCTATGCAGTCGCGTCAGCCAGCCAGCCAATAAGTCAGGTCAAGGCCGTTTTCTCGGCTGCTGCGGCCGGGCGCAGGCGTAGTAAGCAGGCAGACAGGCCTGGGTGGCTCTACTTACCTCTATCAGCTAGTAACTTGCCGCTTCATCCTCCACTTTTACTACCGCTTTTCTTTAGCTGCGATTCTGTCGTGGGCAATAGCAATCCCGTTGATTTCGCAACTTCCCACAACTTCCCCTCCAGAAATCCAGCAACCAAAGACGGGCAGGAACAGTAATCTGTCTTTCACAAGTGCAAAAGAAGACGCAAAACTGCGTACAGCAAGTTCCCGACTTTTGCTTTCGTTAACTTCATCTTCACATGTCAGCTACCCACCAACCTTGAACTTACTAAAAAAGACAATATAACTCAACTAACCACACTCACACGCTGTACAGCTCACCACTTGAATTCACGTCTGTCTGCTTACAATTCTACCCGCTCGGTGAACACATTGTCTCATACCCACCTTCTTTATTTTCTTACCGCGCGTACGCAATTGCATTTGACACCTCAGCTAAGCATCAGGCCAGGTCCTGCACACTTCAAGTGATAGCCCCGAAACCTCTCCTCCCTCCAAAAGTCCTAACTCAAGAAGAGAAAACAATAGACTGGCGTGCTGCGCTCGGCAAGTCAGACTGAGAAAGTATAACAGCTAAGCACGCCACGCGAGGGTAATAGTCGTGGACTTAGGCGAGCTTATCCTACTCGTCGGTATATCTTGCTCTCGCGATAACTTGGTAACGATAACAAAATCGATATCTATATCCTATCTCTCCCTATCATCTAGCTCGTCCACTCATTATTCGTAATCCATACTCACTCACAATAGCCTCCCGCCAAAGCATCCAAGCCAACCCTCAAGCTTCCAAGAGCATATCCTCAACAGACACAGCCTTTCTAAAAGTTAGCTCGTAATCCGGCCACGCACGCTGCAGCTGCGTGAGAATAACTCACAAAGCTAAAGCATAAACAAGAATTATTATTGATCATGTTCGTTGAGAAACATACAGAAGAGCAGAGCCTAGAAACTGACTGGAAACATGAGGACGCTATCGTGTCTTCTGCTTGTTTCCTGGCTCTGGCCGACCAGAGACATTTGACTATAGTGTAAATTCACTTTATTTTTGTTGTAGATATTTTGTTTTGTTTCCCGTCCACATTCACGTCGTCGTACCTTCCCGCTTCGTAACTCATCCGTCCAGCTCACGACTCCGACAAAGAGGCCGTCTCAACACCCGCCGCTTCCTCTATCTCCTTCCTCTTCTCGGCCGTCTCTGTATGCTTTTTTACCTCTTCGCTCTCTTCTTCTTCCTCCTCCTTCTCTTCCTCCACAACCTCCTCCGGTTTCTCACTCGAGATACTCGCAGCAAGTCCCGCAGTGGTCTCCGCAGAATCGTAAAATGTATGACTCTCGTCGTCCTCCTCATCACCATCCGGAAATGTAGACGTAGTCACCTTAGATACCGCCTCCTCCACTACCGTCGTTTCCACATCCTTCTCCTCTGCAGCAGGAGCAGCAGCACTTACTTCACCGCTGCCTTCCTCTGCAACAGCAGCTGCAGCTGCAGCCGTCTCCGTCGTCAAAGCATCCTCTGCAACGACAGCCGCTGGTGCTGCAGAGCCTTCTGCAGTAGAGAGTTCGCCGCCATCCTTCGTCTCTTCTCTAGGTTTTTCCTCGCTCGTCTCCACTGCACTCAACGAACCTGAAACACTTTCGTCTAACTTCACCGCAGCAGACTCAGGCTCACGCTCAGGCTCCACCTCTGGCTCCTTCGCCAATGGTGTCTCGGTATACCCAACCTCCCACACGGTAACAACGCTGCTGAACCCCCATCCGCTAGGCAACACCACCGCCGGCGTCGGCAACTTCCGCCCTCTCGGTCCCCTCGCGCGACTCTTCCTCGCATCCTCCAGCTTTGTCTCTTTCCCTTTACTCTTCGTCTCCTCAGGTCTCTCCTCCGTCGCACCCGCAGCCTCGCTCTCGCCTACAGATCGACTCGAAATCGGCGCACCAGGCGGCCGCGGCATCATCATCGGCATCGGTCCGTTCTTGCCAAGTCGTGATTCTAGATCCTTTGCAAATGCCGCCCGGATCCCGGACAACTTGTTCGGACGCGCCGGCGGTGCGGGTTTCGGCTTGGGTTGCGGCGCAGGTGCACTCTCCTCAGTCGGCGACTTGACGGGGACTGCAGAGCTGCTGCTGCTGCTGCCTCCACTGCCGCTGCGCTGAGTAGACGGTCGAGGAGGGCGACGTGGAACGCCGGGACGAGCTGGTATACTCGGACGTTTTGGAGCTTCGGGCTGTGGCAGGGGACTAGATGCTTGCTCTTCGGCTGTGACAAAAGTTAGTAAATCGTAGAATACAAAAATGCAAAGCTTTCATACCGGCTGGTACGCGTGTTTCCTCCACCGGCGGCACTACGTCCTTCGGATCGACACTCTTCGCCTTGTCTTCATGAGCAGCAGCGCTCTCAGCTCCAACTGCTGCTTCAACCTTCTCTTTCTCCTCTGCAACAGCATCAAGACCCACAACTTCCTTCTCATCACCTTCCTTCGTCGTCTCCAGGTCGCCGTCCTCGGAGGTATATGAATCAATCAACCCGGCCAAGACATCAGACTCGGTTCTGTCCAGACGCGGCGTAGGAGGAACATCTACTTTCTCTTCCACTTCCGCAGATTTAATTGTCTCTGTAGATGCAATAGCAGGGGTCTCTTCCGAAGAAACGACAGCTGAGGTATCCTGTTCAGCACTTTCTTCGGTTGTAGGAACAGACTCCGCGATTTTCTGGCTTGATTGGGTCGCAGCAGGAGTACTAGCGACTACACCTCGCGATGGCCGCCCCGCAGGACGGTGAGGCACCGCTGGCTCGACAACCGGGCTTTCGACAGCTGAGATCTCCTTCTCAGCATCTCCTTCAGTCGTGGGCACATTCACCGCCACTTCCTCGGCTGTAGTATTAGCGGCTCCTCGTGAAGGTCGCCCAGCAGGACGATGAGGCACCGCTGGCTCGACGACCGGGCTTTCGACCACTGGACTCTCCTTCTCACCCTCCTCCTCAGCAGCAGGCGCCACAGCTGATTCCGTAGTACTAGCAGAAACACCACCTCGCGACGGCCGTCCTGCCGGCCGATGAGGCACAGCCGGTTCAACAGCAGCCGGCCCCTCACTCGCTCCCGTCTCCGTCTCTTTCTGCGCGCGACTTGCTGGACGACCGGGGACGCGCGGCGTGGTAGGCCGACTAGGAATCTTCGGCACCTGCTGCTCAATAACAGCAGGACTCGGCTCGTTCGCTACTGGTGCGGTCTCTTCTTCTTTCGTAGGGACTCGGCGTAATGGTCTTGAAGCTGGGCGGTCGGGAATTAAAGGCTCTTCGCCGCCGCTGCTACGAGTGCGTTCAGGGATCTTTGGTGTTGTTGAGGTTGGTAGCTGCGTCGCCGGACGACGAGGAATCGAGGGTTGCGGATGCGCCAGAATTGGTCCATCTACAGACAAGTAGTTAGAAACGACGCAAATCTTGAAAATATAACTTAGTTTGAAGTGAGCTTACCTTGCCGCGGCGAATCGTCGCTCGCACTCGCGTCCGCGCCAGATAACTCTGCAGAGCTAATAATCTCATCAACCGGCGGCTCATCATGCATCTCAAGCTGTCCCCTCGCGATATGTTCCTCGCCGCTATACGACCTCGTCAACGCCTCCGGAATCATCTCCTCAGAGGCTTCACTTTCGTCCACGTCCCCCGCCGTCGCCGCTGCTGCTGCTGCGCCACCGGACGCCGGCTCGTCTTTGTATTTCTCTGCCAGAGTGCGCGAGAGATCCATCTCAACCTCTGCAAGCTGCTGATCCCGCTCAAAGCTGTTTCGCGCCGGTTGCAGGTTGACGGACGGTGAATCAGCCCTGCGCGGACGGGGCGGGATCGCGACTGGCACGGAGGCCGCTGTGCCGCTGTACGGCGATACCTCGGTCTCATCTGTCTCGGAGACCACGGACTGCGTCGGGATAGAGGATGTAATCTGCTCGGCAGCAGTTTGAATCTAAACATCACGAAAACCAAAGAGAGATCAGACCACGAAACCACATTTCTGCAGGGCAAACCACACCCGCCGATTCACAAAACAGGGACACCACGTACCGGCACAGACGACGTAGAGACCTCACTCCCGCTCGAGTCTGACGTCTTCGGCCTCGGACGCCGCGAGGGAATTGAGGGCATCCCGGGACCACTCGCTGCTGCTGCTGCTGATGCTGCTGCTGATGCGGTGGGTGATACCTCCGCGGCTCGAGCCGGTCTTCGGCTCGGGATCGCAGGATGCTGCGCGCTGGTCGGAGAAGCGGCAGATTCAGGTGCTTCCGACATTTCAGAGACTCTTATACTCACTCTAATCTGTGCTGAATTGCACGCGAATCAATTGCCAGATCAGAATCGCTCGGGAGGCCTTTGGAGGTTGTCTCGTTGGCTTTGAACCCTATCGGCTGTGAGTGAGGGTAGGGGTTGGAATGTCCTGAAGAGGTAATTCGTTTTATAGTGGAAAATGTCCATTAAATGCAAAGTAACGTATATACACGGAAACACCAATTAGCTTACAATGATTACAGAAGAGCAACTTCACTGTTCTATGACCTCCACCTCACCCTCCTCCTCCTCGTCGCTATCCGTCATCGGCTCCCCGTCGAGTTCAGGATCGATAAGATCTTCAATCGCAACACTCCCCTCACCCGCATCACTCCCCACCGCTCCTTCCTCCTTCTCCTTGTCCGGCTCCTCTGCCTTTTCTTCTCGATGCTGCTGATCAATTTTTTTCCAGCGATTAGCAAGCGCGCGAAAGCTACTTGCTTTATCCACCGGTACAGCCGCAGACGGCGGAGCATTCTCGCTCTCGCTCGCCTTGTCTTCCGTGCCGAGGAATTTGTTGGTCATGGTAGTAAACGCGTCATGAGTGAAAATATTCCATCCCTATGATCGTAGCAAATACCGTCAGCGCTACTCCACCATCAACACGTGCAGACAGAAATAACACTCACCTCCCAGACACTGATTATAGACATAATCTGCCGTCTGAAGTTATCAGCTCGAATCCTTCCCTCGAACGATCTATAAACCTCATTCAACCCCTCAAAAACCTCAACCAGCTTCGTCTGAAACCTATCAAAAAGTCAGCACCATCCCACACAGCACTCATTAAATGAAATTGACAGACATACAGAGTACGATACTTCCAAACTCCTTTAGCAACGCCTCCGACGCCCATGCCCGAGTTATACAAAATATCGCCGACAGCCCATAACCGCGCCGCCCGGATCTGCGTCGACGCACTTTTACTCACGATGCTCTGGCAAATCACATCCACAATCTCCTCGGCCGCGTACGCGTTATCGATCGCAAACGCCATCACCCGCGCAATCGCGCCCCGCCGCATCGAGATGTGCTGCAGCAGCAAAGTCAGATGCAGCCGGATCGTCGGTCCGAGCCAAGTAGGCGTCCACTCGGGCTCACCCCTGCTGGCGGCTAGTTTCTTCTGCGCCTCTTCTTCGTCGTCCATATCCTCGCCATCGAGCCTGCGCAGCTCGTCTTCGACCGTCCATGTGAAGATCGGGGGAATCCACAGCTCGCGGCCGCGAAAGATCTCGGTCGGCGTGTGCTTCTCATCCCAGGTCTCGATTCCGTCGCCAGAGCAGAGACTCCACAGTTTCCACCGGTAATACACATGCTCGGGGAGGTCGCAGTCAAACAAAAACGCAAAGTCAGGGTTCATCCGCTCGCGATGCATGATTGCGGCTTCAAACTCTGGGCCGTGCTTTTTCACGTTCTCGACCATCGCGTGGATCCGTCGCAGGTCTTTCAGCGAGCTCGGGTACTGCACATGCACGTATGCCTGCTTCTGCCATGTCCCGCCACCTGCTGCCCACGACCCACCATGCGAGGGAGGAGGCCGCCGACCGCCGTCCCCTCGCGAGGACGAAAGCTCCATGGCATTGAACGGCAATCCAGTCCGCTCCAATCTCGAGCTCAACCCCGCGTTCCGCCCGATCCACGCCTGAAGCCAGTACCCGCGGCCCAGATACTTCCCGTCCAACGTCGTCCGACACCGCTCGACCTCCTCCGCATTCCGCAGCACCACAGAGACAGTCCTCCCTCTTGTTTTCCTTGGTTCCCCATCAGCAGCGGCGGGCTGGAGTATAACCTGCTCGACAGTGCCAACCCCGCTACTGCTAAATATCTGCCTTACAAACTCGGCCGTCGCGTCAGAAGGCACGCACCCAAGCGACAGAGTACGCGCCGCCAACGCGATCTGGTCCTCGCGGCGCGCAGTTTCTTGCGCTGCTTCTGCGTCGGTGGAGAACAGTCGATTCATCCGCGCCTGGTCCGGTCGTAGAAGCGGCGCATCGAGTTGTCGTCGTTTTGGCAGATTGCTGCTGTCGTCTTCTGATCTGTCTGCTGGCTCAAAGGAAGAGGAGTTGAGCTTCCGTTTGGGTGGGACGAACCTGCTCTGTTCGCCAGCTGCTCCTTGTAAGCAAGAAATAAGAAAACTCTTGAGGAAATAAAGACTTACCACGATACCCGCTCCCACCACTCCCCACAAAATCAACCGTAGACTGACTATCATCCTGGAAACTACGCACGAAATCCTCATAAGCAGCTCTCGTCTCTTCCTCCTCCCGCCGCCGTTTCGCGTCCTCCGCCTCGCGCGCTCGTTCAAATGCAGTTTTCGGCCTCAAAGATGCTGGCGCTGATGTCTCAGATGTGGAAGGGGGTGTAGCTTGCTCGGTGCCTGTCATGAACGGCGGCTATAATCGAATCATTAACAGCAGCTTTCAATCTCAGAACAGAGACGACATACCAGTTTCCGCCCTGTCGACGCAGCAAAATGTCGCGGCGGCATCCTCTCTCAGCTTTTATTGCTTTCTCTTGTCGTGGAATGCATAGATCAGGAGGAAGGAGGGTGAGAAAGTGGAAGAGGAGGGTGGGATGGGAGTAGGTTTAAGTTTAGACGGTGCGGCGTCTTGGTGGTTAGTCTTTTGGTTGTTTGACTTGTTTTCTGTTCTGACCTGGTTTTGTATGGCGATGTTGGAGGAGGGATGATGCTGGAGTAGGAGGCTGGAGAAGATCATAGGATGCTATACTGGAGATTGTAGGAGTTGGAGTGGGTAGATAAGCCTGTCGAGGTGAATCATACTCTAATATCTGCAGTCATCTACACTACGCAAGACATCTCATCACCAACACACCGCAAACAAAGCGATCCAATAACAAAAGACCAGACTACATCTGAACCGCAGTAAATGGAATAGAAAAGGCAGATCGAATGTTGAACAAAAGCTACTACAATCCCACCAAAAGCACATCACATCTCCCTCTTCTTGTTCCTTCGTTCTCTTTGATTATTATCGTAGGACTGATTGAACGAGCTCACGCGTAGTTCAATCGGAAGATGTCGTTCAGAACAAAGTAGCTTCCGCCCTCGGGAACCAAGTGAAAGGTCTGTGAGTATCTCTGCGGGTTTGTCTCCTCGTCGAACTGTAGAGTAGATGTTAGATCGTGCACTCCACAGACTAATAAATCAAAACTATAAAAGATAAAGCAAAACTAATCAAAGCAAAGCAAAGAAACAACATACGAGAATCTCGCCAGTGACCATGACGATGATGGAGCCATCAGGTCCAGCAGGCTGCGCATCAAAAGTGGAAATCCGATGAACGACCTTCTGGAACGGCAGTCCCTACACACACGCACGCTTAGTTCCATCATCACTCCAACGCTCAGAGAAATTAGCATCGACTTACGACAAGCTTCTCGGAAATACCAGCTGCGCCCTGTATTTGATTCGTCTCGAACGTGAGCATCGAGTTATCTCTCTATATCCCCGCATGTTAGCACTTCTGCATGTCTCTGGCTACCAGACCTCTTAAGCTACAAAGAGCAGATAAGCTCTAAAGAGCAGGAAAAACATACGTAGAGAACCGCGAGCCCGGAACGGTTAGAATCAAAAGTATCGTAGTAATACTTTACAAACTGATCTGAATCGCACGCGTGTCTAGTTAGTTTGCAGCTCCAAACCTCTCTCGAGTTTCCACCTCTTTCAAGTCCAGCAGCATCCGCAATGTCTGCTCTAATCTAGATAAAGACAGATGAAATAGACGTACTCGCAATCTCATTGAAACCTGCACGTAAAACAAGTTAGCATCGAGCATATTCCACGCCAAATCATCATCCGCACGCCAATTCCCCCCTCCCTCCTCTCTCTCCGTATAAAAACAAAACAGCACTTACTCATTTTGGCGCACAAATATCAATCGCAGAAGATAAAACAACAGCAAGTGTTAAGCAGTCGAAAGCGGATCAATCGATGTAGAGAGAAGCAGTCGGTTTTTCTTTATGTTTGTTTTGACTTTGCGCGAACAATTCGTTGTGCGGCGATGTTTGTGCAGTTATGCTGCGAAATTGACTGCCATTGTAAGCTGTTTATTTCTACAAATGGATACTACAGATATACAGATATACAGATATAAGGATGTGCAGATAAATGTAGTGTCACTAAAACTATAGAGAACAATAATACACGGCCTGCTACACATGAGCATCACAGATACCAACGATATTCCTCCCACCCACACTACAGCTTAGACAAGACCAGACACTTATATAATCTGCTGAGCCATGCCCTGGCCGCCGAGCGCGGTCGAGGTAGTAAACTCCTGCTTCTTGGCGGCAGCGAGGAAGTAGCAGGCCGAGGTAATTGTCAAAAAGACGGCGGCGACGATGAGTGAGGAGCCGCGGATGAAGAGCGTGAACCACTGGATCAGCGCCAGACTGTATTTGCATGTTAGCTATACCTGAGCGATGGTGTGTGAAAGAAGTAAGATGAAGAAGAGAACCTACCCGAGGTAGAAGAAGCCACGGGGGATGTTGTTGTTGAATTTCTGGACAAATTGCTCAAAGTTACCCGAGATCGGGCACACGCGAAGCAAGAACGGGACTTCGACAAAGATGATTGTCAGGCCGGTGGCACTGATCTCGTTAGCTCCAGATAATGAATATGGAGTAAATGAGGAAATGCAAAGAGAGGACAGGACGTACATGCAGACGGCAGAGAAGATGATCAGGCCGACGTTGAATGTGAAGATGGTCGCGATGCCGACAGCGAGACAGATGAGGATAGACAGGATTCCGATCCTAGATATTAGCAGAAATCAATTAGACTGCTGACTGACAGTAATCATATTTGCAATCAACAGTAGATGCGCACCATTGTCCGTATAAGCTGGATATATATCAAATTAGCACAAGCTTCAGACACAGCAACAACAGCACAAAAAACCCACCTAAAGTTGCGCGTGCGCAATTCTTCCATAACCGTCATTTTGTATAATCGATCAGAGTATTCGGTTTATCAGACAGAAAAGTAGTGCTGGAGATCAAACAATTAGCATCTAATCATCAATTACCGTCACATCTCCTATCTCAATATCCTCTCCAGTCCAGCTAGCAATTCTCTCCTCCTCAATTCCTCTCTTCACACTTATTCTCATTATAAACAACAAAATACTCACAGTATTCGCAGTCAGTCAAAGTCTCAAACGTGGTGAATTAACAGATGCACTGACGCGGCCCCTCGCGTTCCTTGCAGCCAAGGCCGGGCCGCAGATTGCAGTGGCCGAGACCCTCGATCTTACAGTCACGTGGACTTCATCTATATATTGAAGAATCTTTTCTCGACTCTCTTCAGCTTTACTGTTGATGCTTCGATGCGTTGAACTGCTGCTGCTGCTGTTCTGTGGGGTATGTATTGTTGTTGTTTATCTGTTTTATTCTCTTATTTCTCCATATTACTCTCCTTTGCTTTATTACGTCTCATCTCAATCTCTCACTGCTCAGCGCTCAACGCGACAAAGAACTCATATGATGATATACCATATCCTTATCTACATTATCTGCAACCCATCGGGTTCTGAAGACGTTGATATTTTGAACAATCCAACACTGACCTGTGATTCTTTGTCGTGCTTGGTGTAGAGAGGGAGAGGAGAGGAGAGGGGAGGATTGAGCAAGAGATTGAGATAGTTGTGGAGTGAATCAGGCTAACTTTTGTTGGTTCAGTTTAGGCTGTTGGAAATGTTGAGTATCTTTGGGTGGTAATTATGGTAATTACTACTGATGAGCATATACGGAAATTGAATAGAAAGATGTATGAATGAGGAGAAATTCAAACACATAAATATTGCCCAGGCGTAGATATTCACAGACGTACAGAATCAGCTCAATAAGTTGGTAAACACTACATAGACAAACACAGATATAAATACATAGACATTAACAGCAATAAATAATCAGTAATTCACTATATAAAAAGAACTACATCACACATCTTCCTGCATTTGTGCTTGAATCCTCTACTTTTTAGATATTCTTGAACAATTTTGAACAAACCCAAAACCACAACTTTTTTTCAAAAATTCGATATTCACCTTCACCACCTTCACCACCTTCACACCACACACACACACACACACACACACACACGATGCCGCTCTCGCTCTCAGAGGAAAGCTACCTGGCATCCTCCCTCTCTCTCCGGCCACCATGCCGCCCCGACGGCCGAGATCAGCACCAGTTCCGGCCGCTCGACGCATCGGCAGGGATCCTGCCTGCCACGAACGGGTCGGCGCGCATCAGACTGTGTGATGGCGGCGAGTGTATTGTTGGGATTAAAGCTGAGGTGGTCGAGAGTAGGAAGGAGGATGTTGCGCTTGTTGAAGTGCAGTGCGATATGTATGTTCTCTTCCTCTTTTCTTCATGCTGTTCTCTTCATGTAAATCTCATACTAACATCTCTCAGCGCCGGGGTACAATCCAACAGCCCGCTCCACACCTTCCTCTGCACAACACTCGAGACAGCACTCCGCAACACGCTCCCAGCATCCCGCCTGTCGATAATCCACAGATACACCTACAAACTCTTCATCGACGGCATCATCCTCGACCACGTCTCCCACCCGCTCACCCTCTTCTCCATGACCGTCTACCTCGCCCTTCTCGACACCCGTCTCCCGAAACTGATCCCCTCCGCCGACGTCGCTTCCACCACCACCTCAACCTCCTCCTCAGACCAGCCGATCGGGCTTCCGCAGTTCGAGTCAGACTGGCAGGAATCCGTCCCGCTCTGCGACAAGGCCTGGTCGCCGCCGCTCGTGCAGCTCGCGGTGCTCGCGGGCAAAAACGTGTTTGTCGATCCGACGGGCGAAGAGGCGGGCGTGGGCGACGGCGCGATCGTGGTCTCGTGGCATCAGGGGAAGGTGGTTGGGTTAAGGACTGTGAATACAAGAGATTCGTCAAAGCAGGTGTTTAGTGTGGGGGGATAGAGAATGCGGTCGGTGTCTTGACTGAGGCGTCGAGGGACGTTACTGAGGCGTTGACGAGGGTTGTTAGCTGATACTTTTAATTTACTCTTGAAGAACCTACATGTTAGCTAATGTATATACAAACCATTACTATTCCTCTCAAAATATATACAAGTGTAGTTGTGGAATGCAGTCGGAGTCCTGACGAGGCGTCGAGGGACGTTACTGAGGCGTTGACGAGGGTCGTTAGCTGATACTTCTGATTTACTCTTGGTGATATTTACATGTTAGCTAATGTATACACAAAATTATACTCTATTTCTCAACATATATACAAGTGTAGTTAGAGAATGCGTTGGTGTGTTGACCCAGGCGTCAAGGTGTTACTGGAACATTGGAGAGAGTTGTGAGAGCTGATGTACTTCTAATAACGTTTAAATATATTCACACGTATAGTTACTATATACTCGTTATTTATCCACATAACAGCATAGCAAGTCTCCAGTAGTTTACAGCTTCTTCTCTCTCTCCGCCTTCTTCAACGCCCTCTTTCTGATCTGCACATGCATCTTCAAATTCGACTGCGCGACAATATTCGACCACGCACCCACCGTCGCGTCCACCACAAACTGAAACAACGCATGCGACCAGTACGGCGTCGAAGTATACCTCACAGTCGACGCTCCCCTCGCCAAACCAATACTCGAAAGCGTGCTAGCGACGAACGACTTCGGACTGGGGATCAAAGCCGACGTGCGTCTGATCTTTGACATGGCCGACGTGACGAGGTAGGAAAGCACAAACTCGACGTCGACGCCCGTGCCTTCGACCTCCTTCGCCAGCGCGGCGCTCCAGTGCTGCAGAAAGGCCTTGGAGCCAGAGTAGACTGAGAGGTAAGGGGTCGGGAAGTACCCGCCGAACGAGCCCATAGTCAGCACAAGTCCGCGCTTGGCGGCGAGCATCTGCGGGAGCACGATGCGCGTCACGCGCAGGGTCGCGAGATCGTTGATGGTTACAATGTCCTTGAGTTCCTGCTCGTCCACGACCGCGAACGGGACGGGGATCGAGTGCGACTGTCCGACGTTGTTGACGAGCACGCCAATCTCAAGACCGCCGACGAGTGCTTTGAGCGCGTCGTAGTCTGCGTCGGTCGCGGACGAGAAGTCGATCGCGAGGGTTTTGATGGAGGAATTAGTGTACTTTGTCGAGATATCGGTCGCGAGGGTGGAGAGCTTTGACTGCGTGCGCGAGACGAGGACGAGGTTGAAGCCGGCTTTCGCGAGCTGGAGGGCGTATTCTTTGCCGATTCCATCCGAGGCGCCGGTGACGATCGCCCAGGCTCCTTTCTTTGCGCCGTACTTCTTCAGCTGTAGAATACTATTAGTCTTCGTAATTGAATAATAGAGAAGAAGAGAAGGGGAAACACACAGATCGGCCAGGGATTATGGTAAGCTGCGCAAGAAGAGTAGTAAACTTGAGTCCGAAGGAGAGGTACTTGACGAAACCAAGCACAGCAAACGCAATTGAGAACCAGGCAAGAGTCTTGCTCTCTTGCAAGGAGGCGATGTAGCTGTCGAGCAGCGATGTGAGTTTTGCAGCGACGGAGGACATGTTGGTGGTGGTGGTGCAGTGCAGACAGTGGATGAGAAGTCGAGCAAATAGTCTCGAGCTCAGCTGCAGGGACGAAGTGGCCGTACAGCTGGCCCCAGAACAATAACCCTACAATATTACTAAGCCATTAGTAATTAGATAAGGTTTTGATAACCTTAATAGAGTGCAGATGAGGTTAGGCGAGGTGTTTTTGTTTTTAATCTCAACCTCCAAGTTCCCCTGGTTCACTATAGGCCCTGGAGAGGAGTTGGTGATGTAGAAGAGATAGATGACAGAGAAGAGAGATGAAGGGGATTATAATGAGAAGAGGAAGATGGAACTGGACGCTGTTTATGGTTATCACAGATGCAGCGAGCATCCGCATGTGGGCGGGGGGATTTCGTGGTTGTTTCGCGATATGGTGATGAGTTATTTGTTCAGAGTTGCGGGCGGGGTTTTGGTCGATGGAGAGGTGGAGAGGTGGCCGGCTGAGAGCGAGGAGAGGAGTGTGGAGAGGAATGCGGAGTGGTGGGCGGAGTTTCATGAGGAGTTTAGAGGCTGTTAATAGATGATGCTTGCATCTTGTACAAATACATAACAAATACATAACAAATACAATAATAGCACCATCGAATAGATAGATAAGTCTTGTACAATTTATACAATATAAGCACCATTACAACATGGTTTAGCGAATAGATATAGATGATAGTGATGCACCTGTACAAATACAACATAGCAGCACCATCAGTGAATAGATTTGAATGACAGATAAACGATTCCTGTATGACTATACAAATGACATGTTTCCTGTACAGATACAACAGAACACAGCACAGCGAATAGATGATGGTCGATTAGATGATTTCTGCAGTGAATAAATGGAGGATAGAGGATTTCTGCACAGATTTATAGAACAGAGCATAGAACTTTTAGAGATGAAGGATGGTTAGATATTCGTGTACAGATATATACAACATAACATAGCAGCAAATAGATATTAATGATTAAGAGATTCCTGTACAAATATATACAACATAACATGACATGACATAACAAAACACCGAGCAAACAACCAGAAATTAAACCACCTCCTTCTCCTCCACCCTCTCCTCAACCTCACCTCTCTTCTTATCAAGCTTCTCTGCTGTATGTAGGAAACACCACAGCACAAGCATCCCCACAAACAACGCAATCGCAACCGGATGCACAACAAACGTCCCTTTCTTCTGCGCCAGCATCCCCGTAATAAACGGCCACAGCGCACCCCCCATCGATCCAAACGCCGACACGACTGTAAGCGAAAACGTCTGGATCCGACGAGGAAGCAGGTCCGACACCGCCGTCAACGTCGACGGCGCCATCGGGCCTACAAACAGGCCCACGATCGCGACAGCGACTGACGCGCCGACGACGTCCGGGACGAGCCAGGTCACGAGTTCGAGCGCGATAACGCCCGCGCAGAGAGGGAAGATGACGCGGTATGGTGTCGTGAAGCGGCTGACGAGCGGGTTGAGCACGAACCGGCCGACAGTCACGCCGCCCCAGAAACCGGCGGAGACGTAGCCGACTTGGGAAGCAGCGCCGCCGCGGTAGTCAATCATGAAACTGACGATCCAGCCGCCGATCGAGACCTCGGCGCCTTGGTAGAAGAGAATGACGAAGGCGGCCAGCCATGAGACTTTCGAGTGCAGGGCTTCGGAGTAGACTGAGCGCTCTTTTCTCTCTTCTTTCTCGGGTGTGTCCTTGACCATCGAGAAGTAGTCTTCTTGAGTGGCAGGAGCAGGGGTGTGGGCAGGAGTAGGAGCAGGAGTCTGCGCTTCAGGGACAAGAGTGACGGTGGTCGAGTTCGCACTAGCCGTCTTTGCGGTCTGATACTTTTTCAGCATATAAAGCGTACCCAGATCGCGATCGCAGCCACGGAACCAGAGCGCGGAGAAGACGAGTCCGAGGAGGTTAAAACCAAGGAGGATGAAGTAGAAATAATGCCACTTGATGCCGTGGTTGATCATCGCTGTTGCGATGATGGGAGAGACGGTTGCGCCGATGCCGTAGGAGCCGTGGATCATACCGAAGGTTGTCTCGGTGGCGACCATGTACGAAGCAAAGACGTTGACCTGCGCGACGACCATCGCCATTCCCAACCCACCGACATAGAACGCAAGGACGACGACGCCGAACGGCGGACCGGCGCAGATGAGCGCGTACATAGCGACGAGGAGCGCAGGACCAAGGGTCATCATTCCCGCGCGGCCGAGGCGGGAGTAGAGGATGTGGGAGAGCAAGGCGGTGGAGATGAAGCCGATGGAGTTTGCGAGCCAGATGGTGGAGACGACGGCGTAGTTTATGTTGTATTGGGACTCGATGTAGGGAAGGAGGGCGCCGACTGCGCCGTCGTTGAAGCCGAGGGCGGCGATGGTCCAGCAGGCGGAGAAGAGTCTGTAGCGGTTGCGGGGGATCCTACAGATGTTAGAGAGAGCGAGAGGATATGGTAAGGAAAGAGAGAACATACTCTTTGAAGGAGAATTTGCGGTTGGAGGGATCATGGAGGTCGGTGGTCGAGGGAGATCTGAGGGAGACGGCGGGGGTGGGAGCGGTGGAGGAGAAGGGGGAGGGAGAGGAGAGAGCAGCAGGAGGAGGAGAGGGTAGTTCGATCCGTACTTCGGACGACATTGTGATGAGAGATGATGAGGAGTGTTGAAGATGGTGATGGAGGAGAGATCAGATATTAGATAGAGCAGACAGCAGACAGAGCAGACAGACAGCAGCAGCAGACAGCACTCTTATACATCCTCCCACGGATGATATCCGACCGTGAGCACACCACCAGACAACAAAGGAGACAGACCCACGAGGCAAAGGTGGCGATGGAGGTGTGAAAAGAGGTTCGGATACCGAATCTGGAGTCGCTGCCGCTCGGTTTGGCGCAGGGACGTGGCTTCCACCGGCTGCGGCTCAATGTTGCCACCGAGTGTTATTACTATAGTGTATAGTAAGTATAGTATTGTATTGTTGGTGTAGTATAGTATATATAGTATTGGTATTATTACTATCACTACTTGTTTTACTATATAACAGTACAGTACAGTACAGTACAGTATAGACAGATAGATACAACACCTGGCTAAATGCACATCTACAAATTCTTCACCTGCCATCAACCACGGACTCAGACACAGACCATCGCGCTAGCACAATCACTGCCGTTTTGGGTAAACACGCCGCAACTCTCTTTTTTCTTTTTTCTCTGCTTTTTGTGTCTGTTGCGTGTGCTGGTGGCGTGTGTTGGGGTGTAGCAATGATATTAGAGAGTAGTGATATTAGATAGCAGTCGTGGTAGTAGTAATAGTAGTATAGCAATAATACTAGAGTAATACCAGAGTAGTACAGAATAATCTATAAATAACTCTTAGTCAGCGCTGACCAACGACTCAGCCCTCCGCCAGCCGCTCTTCGCTAAGCCTCAGCTCGGCTATCGACAATTGATAAAGGCCCGATCTCCATCTCCATCTCTCTTCTCATCTACCCTCTCTACTCTGCTACATATCTACATATCTACATATCTACATATCTACACTTCATGGACATCGCAATTGACCCCCCGACTCTCATCAAACAACCTCCCTCCCTCATCACCTCTCTCTCCGCGCTCAACTCCCTCGCCCCTCAGCAACCCTCCTCCCTCCCAAGCATGCGCCCTCTCTCACCTCTCATCGAGCACATCCTCTCCACCTCCCTCAATATCAACACTCCTGATATCAACACAGACGACGAACCAATCACACCCATCTCCCCCCTCGTCAGACGTCTAAGCTACACCAAAACTTCCCGCTCGTTCTACCTCTACTCCTACCTCGACCTCGAAGCCCCCATGCTCATCAAGCCGTCCTCTGATTCCTCATCCTCCTCATCCTCCTCATCCTCCTCATCCACCACTTCCGACACCTCCGCACCACCAATCGAGCATGTCTTTGGCGCTCCTCGGCAGACTACAAAACAGTCCATCTCCCGCTTCTTCACAAACATCTCCGCCAGCGTCAAAAAGGTAGAGCGCTCCGTCGGCTCTGTTCTTTGTCCTTGATCTCTCGTCGTCTATCGCATTTTCATATTAATTTTGGAGTTTGGTCGGTTTCATCTTGTATAATCTTTGTATAATCTTTATCTTTGTATATAACTTGCATCTTTGTATATAATCACAGCACATAATACATCTCATCTAAGCCTTCTTTGCCTTCTTCTTAACCGGCTCCTCCTCATCCCCATCATCATCCTCCTCCTCCTCATCCTCCTCCTCCTCCTCCTCCTCCTCCTCATCTCCACTACTCGCCGGATTCTCATCATACTCCTCCGCCACATCACTATCTTCCTCACTCTCACTCGCCTTAAAATCCTCATCCACACTCTCCTCATCCTCACTCGCACTCCCTCTATCCCCCCTTGCCGCCATCTCCACCTCCGAATCATCCGACTCGGCTCCAATCACCGTCTTCAAGAACGACTGGTCCTCGTTCAGATCGTTCTTGATCTTAATATTCCGCGCCTTCAAGTGCTGCTCAACTGCATTCTGCTCTTCCCTGTTGATCGACGAGAACTGGTACGACGTCCCGTTCTTCATCTGCACCGTCACATCAAACGTCCGCGAACTCGACACGCTCCCGCCCACCCGGCTCAGCGTCACAAACGAGACTTCCTCATGAGCCATAAACACCGTCGGTTTGGGAATGAACAAAAACGACTTTTCGAGTAAGTAAAGATACCCCTCTGACGCCTTTAGCGAGCACTTCACCCCCGCCTGTCCGTGCACCGACACAAAGCTGCCGGGCACAGTGATCTTCCGTCCTGACAACCCGCGAAAGACCTGCCCAACAACCTCGTGCGCGGCCTGGTCGTACCGCTTCTTGAGCTTGTCCGCGTACTTCTCTTCAAACTCCTCGTCCTCCAGATTCAACTCGACCTCGATCTCCTCTTCTTTCAAAAACTGCACAACTAAGAATGGGTACCGCGTCTGGCCTTGACGGAGAGGGGGGTCGAGTTGGATCACGAGCACGTTGTGCAGATCGTCTGGTTTGGGAAGGAGGAAAAGACGCTGGATCGTCGTGTATTGGATCTTGTAGTCGTATGTCTTGCCGCGAAGGCGCATGTATCCAGGATACATGTCGATATCATACCGGCCTCTGTAGAGCTGTTAATAACTATCCACTCTTCAAAAAACAAAAACACTGACCTCGGAGTAAGAAACATAATGTCGCTGAACGAAACAATAGTCTCGCCCGCAACCTGCCCGATATCCGCCCTCTCCTTCAACGTCTCATAAAACACCGTCGCGGCATTCAACTCCTCGGCCTCGCTCTCGTCAGACTTTTCATCCTCCTCATCCTCATCCTCATTCTTCGCCCTCACCGTACCCGGTATATAAAACCTCATCTCGACCAACTCGTCCCGCACCCCACTCGGCCCCCGCAGCGCAACCTCATGCTCCGCCCCCAACTCGAGCGCGACCTCGCTTTTACCCACAAGATTAGAATTCGTCACCTGCGCGAACGGAACCTCAAACGCAGGCCGGTCAGAAACACTAAACACGAGCTCCGACCGCTCGAACTCGGCCTTGCCCCAGTTCCACCCTTTGATCGAGTGCGGCCGCGTCTCCAGCACCACGTCGAAGTGGTGCTTGATCGTGTTCTTCAACTTGTCAAAGTCATCCAGATCAAACCCGTCAAACTGCACCACCCCGCGATCTTTCGTCAAAATCCGGCACTCGTACCCCTTCGCTGCACGCGACCAGTTCGCAGACACAAACTCAGAGTGCGGAAGAAGAAATGGTGCAGTGGTCCCGGACTTGCTCGAGCTCTTCCAGCCGAGTCCGGAGTTGGCGAACCGTAGGCGACCAGGCCGGGCTGACTGGTCAAAGTAGATGTTGTCAAACTGTGTCATGTCCGCCATTTTGTTGATGTGTTGTGTTGTGTTGATGGGGGAGATGTGGGTGTGAATATGAGAGTTGCGTGGACGCGTGAAGAAAAAGGGATGCGCGGTGAGTGACGCGTTGTTGAGTTATGTAATGGATTACTAATATTTCTTCACCTCTACTATTCCACTTACTATTGCTACTATTGCACTTCGCTATTACTACCGCACTCAGCTATACTATCCTACATCACAAAGCAGCCCTTACAAAGCAGCCTTCAACCTCCTCTCCATTTCACTCCTCAGCATCCTCGCCTCGGCTTCCATCTCCGGCATCGACCGCGGCGCGCGCAGATCGTCAGGCACGTCCGGGTTCGCGGTCGTGCTATTCAGTTGCTTGAGCTGCTGAAATGAGAGCTCGATGTCGGCGTCGCGCGAGTCCATTAGTTTGTATACGTCGTCCACGTCGGGGAGGTCGTTTAACTTGCGGGGGATGATGTGGCAGTGGACCTGCGAGGTAGATGAGTTATAACACTGAAGAAGGTAGAGAAAGACGGAAGAAACAAGGAGAGTAGAAAAGATGATCAGGGGAAGAAAGTAAAGACTCACATGTGGAACTGATTGGCCTGCTAACGGACCATCTTGAACCGCGATATTCAGCGATTGTGCCTTATACACCGCCTCGATCACGGACGACACTTTCTGTACTGTGATGAACAAATCCGATACCTGAGCTTTTAGCACTCTACTCAATCATAAACGAGCTTGACTGCAATAGCAAAACCCAACTCGACTGCGATATAAATCAAGAAGATACTTCACGCACCTCCTCTGGAGTCAACTCTTTGATCCGCGGCACGACGCGATTCGGACACACCATAACCTGCATCGAGTCAGCCATCTTCTCACTCCACTCCAAGTACTCAACACCAGCAGCAGACTAACATGACCTGGAAGGAACGGCTTGAGATTGACGAGCGCAAACGAATGCGCGGATCTCTAGAATACAGATCGTCGTTAGCTGTTGTCGTAGTCCACTCACTACTGCACTGCTCTCGTTCATACATAGAACACCTGCGTCGTCACCACAAACGGACCAAAATGCACGACCGATGCCATTCTACTTGCTTCTCCTTCTTCTTCTTCTATTCAGTATCTGTATTATAGTCTCTTCAATTCAATATCAGAATCAGGATCAGAGTGCAGCATCGGTGGGTTAGGTCAACTCTAAACTCTATCCTTCCTATCTTCTTCGCTGCTCTCCTCATCTTCTTCTGCTGCCTGCATCGCCTTCTTCGACCATTTCCTCTGCAGGTTCTGCTGTTTATCATAGTTGTCGCTGTTTATCATCCTATTCAGCTGCTATTCATTCATATACAGCAGCCTCCAGCTTCCTCTACAACTCCTACCTACAGTCCACCAGACGATCCTCCTCCTCAGCCCTGGCTTATCACCCTCCTCCTCTCTCTGCCCACCTCGGCTTCTGAACCTGCTCTGACCTGCATCCGGCGTATCTCTGTTCGAGAGTCATGCAAGCATAATGGCCGACTTTGCCAAATCCTTCTTCCACTTCTCGCCATTCCACGCTCAGAAGCAGCAGCAGCAGCAGCAGCAGCAGCAGCAGCAGCAGCAGTCCTCTGCCGAAGATCAGCCTGCGCAGCAGCAGCCCTCCGACGGTCAACTTCAGGTCGAGTCGCAGGGAGTAACTGAGCTTGAAAGTGAGAGCTCTCAGCAGCAGCAGCAGCAGCAACAACAGCAACAACAGCAGCAGCAACAACAGCAGCAACAGCCCAAAGCAAAGTTCTCCTTCTTTGGCTCCCGCTCCACAACGCCTAAACCCATATCCCCCCCATCCGGCACCTCGTCGCCCTCCCCCTCGTCGGCATCCACTCTCCCCGACTCTGAATCCACCTCCGGCCAAGCCACCCCCCGTCCTGATCTGAGCGACAAACGCTTCCCCCAGCTCCAGCACGCCTTCTCCACCGCCGCGACCTCCACCGCCGCCACCCGCGAAGACTCCACCCCGAGCTCGATGACGACCTCGGCAACGACGTCCACCACGGCCAGCCAACTCTCGTCCGCGTCCGAGCCGTCGTCTTCATCCTCCTCGTTCTCGGCCTCGACCACCGCGCTCACTAACGACGCCGCCGCCGCGGTAGCCGCGCCAAAGGGCAGACTGACTGTCAAAATCATCGAGGCGCGCAACCTGCGCATATCCTCGCGCGACGCATGCCCGTACGTCGTCTGCACGTTCGAGTCGAACGAGTTTATTTCTCAAGGCCCAAACACCTCCGACGACGTCGACGTCGCGCCCGGCGGCCTCGGTCCCTCGCGCATCTCGTCGTTTTTCAAACGCACAGACCCGAGCTCCGTGATTGGCAACGGCGCAACCACGCCGAGCATCGCAATCCCGACCAGCAGCAAGTCGCGGCAGTCGTCGACGACGAACCTCGCAGATCTCAAGAAGAAGAGCAAGAGCACGCTCTCGCTTGCCGCGGCGGCTGCTTCTGCCGCTGCTCCTGCTGCTAATGGCGGCGCAGATGCAGATGCTCGAGCAGGCGCGAACCCGAGCTGGGAGCACGAGGCGGTGTTTGATGTGCTCGGCGACCACTCCGAGCTCGACGTGAGTATCTACGACGCGCACGGCGACGACGCGTTTCTAGGCCACGTGAGGATCCGGCCGATTCTGCGCAACGAGCAGATCTTTGACGAGTGGTACACGCTCGAGCCGCGGGTGGTGCCAGGGGATGTTGTCGGCGGCGAGGTCAGGCTGCAGATGCTGTATGAAGCAATCAGCAAGCGGCACTACGGGCCCGACGACTTTGAGATTCTGCGGTTGATTGGGAAGGGCACGTTCGGGCAGGTGTACCAGGTGCGGAAGAAGGACACGGACCGGATATATGCGATGAAGGTGTTGTCGAAGAAAGTGATTGTGCAGAAGAAGGAGGTTGCGCACACGATTGGCGAGCGCAATATTCTCGTGCGCACGGCGACGGCGGACTCGCCGTTTATCGTCGGACTCAAGTTTTCGTTCCAGACCCCGACGGACTTGTACCTGGTGACGGACTACATGTCTGGCGGCGAGCTGTTTTGGCATCTGCAGAAGGAAGGCCGGTTTGTAGAGGACCGGGCGAAGTTTTATATCGCGGAGCTGATTGTCGCGTTGGAGCACCTGCATAACCATGATATCGTGTACCGGGATCTCAAGCCGGAGAATATACTGCTGGACGCGAACGGACATATCGCGCTGTGTGATTTCGGGCTGAGTAAGGCGAACCTCGCGTCGAACGACACGACGAATACGTTCTGCGGCACGACGGAGTATCTTGCGCCGGAAGTGTTGCTGGACGATCAGGGATACACAAAGATGGTTGATTTCTGGTCGCTCGGGGTGTTGATCTTTGAGATGTGCTGCGGGTGGTCGCCGTTCTACGCCGAAGACACGCAGCAGATGTACAAGAACATTGCGTTCGGCAAGGTGCGGTTCCCGAAAGACGCGTTGTCAGCGGAAGGCAAAGCGTTCGTGAAAGGTTTGTTGAACCGCAACCCGAAACACAGACTCGGCGCGCTCGACGACGCGCGCGAGTTGAAACGACACCCGTTCTTCGCCGACGTCGACTGGGACTTGCTCGTGCAGAAGAAACTGCCGCCGCCGTTCAAGCCCCATCTGAGCTCGGAGACGGACACGTCGAACTTTGATCCGGAGTTTACGAACGCGAGCACGAGTGTGTTGCAGGGGTCGCGGTTTATGCAGGCGGGGACGACGCCGTTGTCGCCTACTTTGCAGGCTAATTTCCAGGGGTTTACCTTGTAAGTAGAGAGTGTGTGTGTTGTTTAAGAGAGGGTGAGGCTAACAGTGAGTAGTGTGGATGAGTCGTCTATGGACGAGCACTTTAAAGGATTAAGGCCAACCGCGGAAGAAGAAGAAGACGAGTTCCTAAATAGCCGGCGCCGCCACCCGCTCGCGCGGCAAGACACAGAAGTCACGCTAATCTCGTCGCGACAAGACTCGATGATTTCGCACAGCACAGCGGGTAGACGGATGGAGATCGACGACCTTGACGAGCCAGCGAGTGGGAGTAATCTCGCGGCGGCGGAACGGATCCGGGAGAATTACGAGCACAGCCGGAAGATCGACGAGGGCGCGGATATGTCGCGCGAGGAGGAGATGGCGGACGCAGAGGACGACGACGGGGCTGCGTATGTAAACGGGCAGCGCATCGATATATGATTGTCTGATACAGTACAGTACAGTAATAGTAATAGTAATACAGCAACAGAACTATTATGTAAGCAATTAGTAATAAAAGAAGTGATGAGATGAGACAATGACGTCAGGAACGGCACCAGGGTGGTGACAAGGCGGTGGAAGAATAGAAAGCTTAATCACACATTTGTCTCGAGAAGGAAGAAGATCCAAAGGAGGAGATTATTTATAACCGCTGTAGATCCTCTGTCTCTGTTTCTTCTGTTTGCTCTGCTGATATACTGTGAAGATGGAATACAACGCGCAGGAACAACCAAGATACCCCCCCGGCGACAGCGAGTCGCAGCAGACATACACGGCCTCTGCGCCCGAGTATACCCCGACGCAGCAAAAAGTGTCAGCGGAAGGCGGGTACGACGAGAAGCAGTCGTCGGCGACCTTTGAAGAGACCTTCAAGGTCGAGAAGCCGCGCTACAACGATCTCTGGGCGGTCGTGCTCTTGCTGGCAGTGCTCGGCGGGTTCACGGCGGTGTCTGCGATCGCGCTCAAGGCGTATGCTGCCAACCACTCGTTCTTTGGCGGGGGGATATACGGCGGGTCTGAGAGCTTCAGTCTGAATACGAATACAATGTACCTGCTTGGGTTTTCGGTGCTGATCGGGTTCGTGCTGTCGGTTGCGTATTTCATGCTCGCGCGCGCGTTCACGAAGCAGTTTATCTGGGTGACTGGGATCCTGAACGTGCTGCTCGGGTTCGCGACCGCGATCTACTACTTTGTCGAGCACTACTACTCGGCCGCGGTTGTGTTTTTGATCTTTGCCGTGTTTGGCGCGTGGTGTTTTTACTCGTGGATCGGACGGATCCCGTTCGCGACGCTGATCTTGCAGACAATCATGGACGTCACGCGCGCGTATCCGTCTGTCTTGATGGTGTCGTTTTTGGGGTCGCTTGTCGCGGCCGCGTTTGGCGCGTGGTTCTCGATTACGTTGGTGGCGGTGTATGTGAAGTACAATCCGACGGCTGACAGCGCGACGTGCGATGGAGGGAGTTGTTCGCATGCAAAGCTGATTGGGTTGATTGTGTTTATTACGTTTGCGGGATACTACATCACCGAGGTGATTAAGAATATCGTGCACACGACGATCTCGGGGGTATATGGGTCCTGGTATTTCTGCTCGCGCAGCACGCAGGGGATGCCGCGCTGGCCGGCGCTGGGAGCGTTCAAGCGGTCGATGACGTACTCGCTCGGCTCGATCTCGTTCGGCAGTCTGATTGTGTCGATAATCCAGCTGCTGCAGCAGTTGGCGGGGTGGGGCGAGCAGGCGGCGCGGCAGGACAATAATCTGATTGCGGTCGCGCTGATTTGCGTGCTGCGGTGCTTGATCATGGTGTTGCAGTGGGCGGTGCAGTTTTTCAATCACTATGCGTACTGCTACATTGCGCTGTACGGGAGCGCGTATATCCCTGCCGCGAAGGAGACGTGGAAGTTGATTAAGGACAGGGGGATTGACGCGCTGATCAACGACAGTCTGATTGATCCGGTGCTGAATCTGGGCGCGCAGTTTGTCGCGTATGTGTGCGCGCTGTTTGCGTACCTGTATCTGAAGTACACTGCGCCGGCGTACAACTCGAGCGGGAACTACAACGCGCCGGTGGTGGGGTTTGCGTTTGTGATTGGGCTGCAGATCTGTAATATTGCGAGTGTGCCGATCAAGTCGGGCACGGCGACGTTGTTTACGGCGATGGCGAGGGATCCGGAGGTGTTGAGGATGAGTTATCCGGAGCTGTATGAGCGGATTGTGAGGTTGTATCCGAAGGTGCAGCAGATGATACATGCGTGAGTAGTGGGAGAGTAGTAGTGGTTTAATACAAGTATATGTTTAGTATAGAGAGAGTGTAGAGTGCAGAGTGCAGAGTGCGGGGGAAGGAAGCTCGGGTCGGAAAGGTAAACAAAGCTGCAATGCGGGGAACGGAAAAACCCCGGGACGGAGCCGAGAGGAGAGACGAAAGGGGAAATAATGGAGACGAGGGCAGATGGCGGGAGATGGTTCGGGATGTCGGAAGAGGAGGCGGAGGAGAGAAGAAGATAAGCCGAGGGAGGCGTGGAGTGGTCCGGTCTGGGATCGCCGGTATCTGGGGTAGACGGAGGGGGAGGGGTACCCCGTGTTCTTGTTCAGTGTTGTATTCTGTATACTCCATCTGTATCTGTGTCTGTGTCTGTGTCTGTATCTGTATTCTATATTCTATATTCTTTATTCTAATTGTATCATTGTACTATTCTCTTCTTCTATAATTGCAGAGTATCATATCATATCATATCTACAACAGTGGGCAGTGGGCCCGGCAGGCCGGAGCAGGAAGGTCAGGTTCCACCGGAAGCACGAGGACAGGTCTCAGACCACCGTGTGACTGGCAGCTGCATGCGTTGAATGGAGAGATGGATGATAGCAGATGGAAGATAGAAGATAGAGAAGATATATGAAGAAGATAGAGAATATATAACATATTTAAGAGGATTTAAATAGATGCAAACAGAAGAAAGAAAAGAACAGCTGTTTGTTGTATTGTGCTGAGCTCAAATGCCGAAAGCGTCCATCGGAGCTCTCTCTGTTCTCTTCTCTCTTGCTACTACTCTTACTACAACAACAACTACTATTCTACTACTACAGCTACAACAACAACAACTACTACTACTACTACTAGAATACATACAATACATACAATATAATTACTTTTAATAACTAATACTTCACTACATAATTAATAAAACCCACTTAGTCAGCTCGGCTGCATGGGTTTGGGTTATCAGGAGCTGCCCTCGTCGAACTTTTCTGCTCAGATCATCTCCTCCTCCTCTTCCTCCTCTTCCCCGTCCTTAAATCCCTTCGAACCCGCCCCTCCGCCCACAATGAGGAAATCCCACTCCTCCGCCGCGCTCTCCTCCGCTCCCTCCTCCTCCGCCTCCGCCTCCGCCTCCACCCCCATCAAACCCGAAATGGCCGCCGTCGCAAACTCCCCCCTCCCGCTCCCCCACCCTACTCCCGCCGCCACCTCCTCGACCACCACCTCCGCGACCTCCTCCCCCTCCCAGCAGCTCCCCCGGCCCTACAAATGCCCCATGTGCGACAAGGCCTTCCACCGCCTCGAGCACCAGACCCGCCACATCAGAACCCACACCGGCGAGAAACCGCACGCCTGCGCCTTCCCCGGCTGCCATAAGCGCTTCTCCCGCTCCGACGAGCTCACCCGCCACTCGCGCATCCACACAAACACAAACCCCCGGCGCTCCTACAAGGCCTCTTCCGAGCTCTCAAAGTCCGCTCCCGCGTCCAATGCGCCCTCCCCCCAGCCGTCGCCTCCGCATTCCCACGCGGCCCTCAACATCGCCCCCGCTGCCCCTCCTCCGCCCCCCGCCGCCCCTCCTCCGCCCCACGCTGCCTCCACCTCCCCCCTCCCTCCCCACCTCCACTCCCCCTCTGCTTCCTCTGCCGCTGCTCCCCAACCCTCCGGCGCTCCTCTTCCCTTCGACATGCACATGCTCGCCACCGCGGCCTCCCAGCAGCTCGAGCGCGAAAACTCCGTCCACTCCGCCCACTCGCGCTCCTCGCTCTCCATCCTCTCCGCCGCCTCGGCCGTCTCCCCCCAGCAGCACCTCCCCCTCCCCGGCTCCCAGCACCCTCTCCACCAGTCCTCCTCCGCGACCTCTCTCTCCTCCGCCTCCGCCTCCTCCTCCTCCTCCTCCCAGCACCACCACCACCTGCACCACCACCATCACCACCACCGCTTCCCCGGCCTCGCGCCCTTAACCCCCTACAACCCGCCCTCCTCCTACGCCTCCTCGTCGACCTCGACCCCCGCCGCCCGCCACGCCGCCGACGACGACCTCTTCACCCCGCGCCAGCACAAGCGCTCGCGCCCAAACTCCCCCGCCTCCACCGCGCCCTCCTCCCCCACCTTCTCGCTCTCGGACTCTCCCACCCCCGAACACACCCCGCTCGTCACCCCCGCCCACTCCCCCCGGCTGCACCCGCGCGAGCTCGAAGCCCTCCAAGGCGTCCAGCTGCCCTCCATCCGCTCCCTCTCCCTCAGACACATGCCCCCGCCGCTCGTCCCGCTCGAGGTCTCCGACCAATCCGCCTCGAGCGCACCCACCCCGGCCGGCGGCGCCTCGGCCTCCGTCTCGCGCAGCGCAAGCGGGACCAACCTCCGTCTGCTGCCGATCGCAGACATCCTCGCCTCCGCGCCCGCGTCGCCCAGCTCCTCGTCCGACTTCAACAAGCGCATGCTGCCACACCCTACCTCTGCGCCAATGCAGCAGCCCCAGCACAACAGGCTCGGCATATCTGATCTCATCAACGCTACCTCCGCCAGCGCAAACAGCACCTCCACCAGCGCGACCAGCACCGCTACCAGCAGCACCGCCTCTTCTTTATCAGGCGAGGACCAGCCGCGATGGCAGTAGTTCTCTCTCTCTCTTTTTGCTTGCTTTAGCTGTTTATAGACTTGTGTTTTGTCTTTGTGTTTGTGCTTTCTACGGTGTTTGTACTCTTATTCATATACTATACTATATTATCTCCTCTTGTTTGTTTATCCGACTGCGGTTCGGCAGCTTGTGATTGTACTCCTTCGGTCTGCTTCTGCTTTCTACACTCCACCCTACACTATCAATATGCTATCTGTGTAGCTTATGTATAGTCAGATTAATCCTAATCACATCAGTATCATAAGATCTCTTTCACTTCCATCTCTTTGATTAATAAGATTGAGGTAAAATCTGTTCTATTATCAGCAATATGCAAACACAAACGCCAGCTAGTAATCACACAAATCCCACGCAAATAGCAATGTACAATAAAAAGAGTAGAGATCAACCCTGTATCGCCTCTATACAGTCTAACAAATCAAACATCACGGCGACGAAGAAGAAAGAAACACGAATCCACTTTCCTCCTTCTCCTCTTCTTTCTTCTCTTTTCCTGTCTTTGTCGTCTTGCTCATCACAAAACTTAAGCGACTCTGCTGTACACTCCGCAGCATCGACTGATGCCCTCTTTTCACTCCGCCGCCTCCGGCTTTCAAAAACGCGCTTAAGCTCTTTTGGTGGCCGTCTGCGCTTACTGTTCTCTTTCTCGTCACTTGTTTCTCTGTCTGTTTCTCTTTCTGTTCCTTGTTCTGAGGTTGGCTCTGAGGCTGTTGTTCTGGTTTTGCTGCTGCTGCTGCTGTAGTAGTCGCTGCTGACGGCGCAGCAGAAGGAAAATACCTCCTCCTTTCAATCTTCCTCCTCGCCGCCTCCGCAACAGCAAGACTGCTAAACCCAACCCCCTCACTCGTCACCCTCCTCTTCCTCTCCCCTCCCCCCTCCACCAACCTCACAGGCCTCTCCACATCCCCACTCACAACATCAAACGCCATGACCTGCTCCCTCTCCGCGCCGCCGCCGCCGCCACCGCCACCACCGCACACCGCCCCGCTTGCGCTCGTGCTCCCCATGTCGAAAATCCCCGCGTCAACGGCTCGCGACGCGCTGATAAATGAGGAGGCAAGCTGCGGAGGCGGAGGTCGGAGGTGATGCTGCTGTAGTGCCGCATCAGTGACTGCTCGGCCGCCAGCTGACGTTGCTCGTCTGTGACTGGCAAAAGATGTGGACGACTTGACGTTGCCGCCTGCAGATACCTGTCTTCGTCGCTTACTGTCTTCCGCGTAAAAGTCTTCATCATCGTCAAACTCATCCCACCGTCGCTCAAGCTTACTAGACGTGGCGTAGTACTCGTACTCGTACTCATCGTACTCATCATACTCGTCATATCCCCCAGAATACTCTCGCGCATGGTGTGATAATACTTCTCTCTCATCTTCCATGGTCTTCCAGCGCCCCTCGGCCTCGGCCTTGCGCCTTGAATGCTCGCTATATCCCTCGTTAGTACCAGCACCTCACAAACTAAAACAAAAACAGCAAGGAAGGACCCACACCACTGCACTTTCGCCCTTGTAAACGTTTTATTATCCGGACACTCGCGGCCCAGCGTCCGCGCCAGGCTCTTCATTTCAGGATACGACATCGTCGGTATTTTATCGCGGAAACATTTCACCGCCTCGGGAGTCATGAACTGGGATTCTTGCAATCCTACCGATCCTCGCTCCTCCGCACGGCGCATGCCGGTGTTTAATTTTGGGTGGGTGAGGTATAGCAATCCCTTTGCGCGCGTCATCGCGACGTACAGCAGTCGCCGCTCTTCGTCGAGCTCTCCATCCACTGCGCGCTTGTGCGGGATATGTCCTTCGCAAACGCCAGGGATAAACACCACAGGCCACTCCAATCCCTTCGCACTGTGGATCGTCGAGATCGTCATAATCATATTCGGATTGACCTCGTGCACTTCCTTCTCGGTCGGCGCCAGATTCACCGTCGCCAAATACCGACCGAGCACGTCTTCTAGCGCTGCCGACCGGCCGCTAACTCCCGGCACATCCGGCAGATCTGGGTCCGCCGGCATCTCCTCGAAATCCTCCATCTGATCGAGGAGATCTCTCACGTTCTCCCACCGCGTCGACCACGTTTCCGGATGTTTTCGCATCAACACGCTCTTATACTCCAGCTTCTCCAGCAAATGCTTTGTCATATTCACCAGCGGCTGATCGATTCTCCTCCTTGGATTCATTAGCTCGTCGCATTCTTCTATAAGCTTCACAAACTCCGCCAGCTTCTGCCGTTGTTTCTTCATCACCTTCAGCTCGCCTTGGGTCGCGAGCACGATCGCGTCCCAGAGTGGCACCTCATGCGCGTTCGCGTGACCGAGCAGTGCCACCATCGCCATGCCGCCGATGCCCCGCCTAGGCGAGTTTATGATATTCAGCAACGACTGACTGCGCCGGTTCTTGATCAGATGTAGATACGAAAGCACCAGCTTGATCTCCTCGCGATCCCAGAACCGAGACCCACCGACGACGCGGTAGTCGATTCCCACCCGCGTCAGCGCGGCTTCGATCGGCTTCATCGCAAACCCTGTCCGCACGAGCACCACGAAATCAGCCGGCTTGAGAATCCCGCACGAAAGCGTCAACAGCCGCTCGACTTCCTCCGCAATCAGCCGTGCCTCGGCCGTCGTGTCCATGACGGAAATGTACGAAGGCTTCGCGCCCATGTCGTGGTTCGGCCGTACTTCCTTCTTTATCCGCTCGGTGTCCTGCTGAATGACTGTCAAGGCCGCGTCGAGGATGTGACCGCTGCTGCGGTAGTTTTCCTCAAGACTGATGATGGTCGTTGCGGGAAAGTCCTCGGCCATGAGCGAAAGATTGGTCGCCAATGCCGCGCGGAAACCGTAGATGGACTGGTCCGGATCGCCGACGATCGTGATGTTTTCTCTTTCTTTGGCGAAAAGTTTCATCAAATTGTACTGTACGGAGTTTGTGTCTTGGTACTCATCCACAAGCACTGCCTGGATGTTGGAAACCACTTTCGGAAATCTTTGCAACAGTTTGACACATTGTAGCAACAAGTCATCAAACTACAATCCGTCAGTAATCACATCGTCAGCAGAAAAAAGAAAATCAGCACGTACGTCGAGTGTTTTGGAATCTTGCAGCTTCTCCTGATACTTTTTATAAACTTCAAGCTCGATACCGTTGATCTCGGCAGTAACACCTGGCGAGTCAGGAAAATATCCATGTGCCTTTGCTTTTGAGATTAAATCTCTGACCCTGCGAGCTTCCGTCCGGCCTTCTTTGAATCCCATATCTTTACACAAATCCTTGACATAGTGCAGCGAATCTGAGTCGTCTGCGATTGTAAACCCTGAGGGGATCCCGATCAAGTGGCCGTACTTGTGAAGATACTTTCTCGAAATCGAATGAAATGTGCCGAGTATCAGCCTATTCGCGACCGAAGGCCCGATCATCTCAGCGAGCCGCTCGCGCATCTCGTTCGCGGCCTTGACGGTAAACGTCGTGATGATCATATCGCTCGGATGCACATTCTGACTGAGCAGGTACATCACGCGCGAAATAAGAGTCTTGGTCTTGCCCGTCCCTGGACCGGCCAGGATCTGCAGCTGCGAAGCAAGAGGGTGCGTCACGCTCTTCGCCTGGGCCTCGTTCAACATCAGCCTGAGCCGTCGCGGCGGTGTCTTTATGATTTCTTTGATGACCGGTGCTCTCGATGGATCGTCGTCCGACACCGACGGGCTCTCAGCAGGAGGCTGTAGCGTGCGTTCCTCTTCCTGCTCTTCTTCGTACACAGGCAGCCGCTCCTCTATCTCGCGCGATGTGGTGTTGACGTCTGAGTGAACGGAGTGGTCCATATCAGTTCTTGTAACTTGTATCTACTCGAAAACCAGCCGACATTATCGCTCTGCCAGTCCTCGGTCTCTGTATTTTATCGCTTTGGTGACAAAACCATCGCCGACGCGCTCAAATCTTTCGCGCATCCTCAGGTCATGTGATGTGCTTATGTAAACGCACATCCGCCGATCTTCAAGTCTGAGCAGCGCGCGGCTTCTTCACGAGTTTAGAGATCAGTGAAGATGGCAGAGAAGCAGGAGTACAAGCAAGTGGCGGAGGCGATTGGTGAAGGGGCGGTGAATGCGCATAAGCTGTATTGCCCGTTTAATAACTGCTCGAGTCTGATTCTGTCGCCTGGCGTGGGTGTTTTGACAAGGAAACCAAAGATTCCAAAGGTCAGTCTTACTGTAGTTGTATGTGGTTATGGTTATCTAACAGAGTACAGGAATCCTTTCCCTCTCGCGCAATTGAGGAAGAGAAAGAGCAGGAAGAAGAAGAAGAAGGCGACGATCTATTCTGGGTTCTCACAGATCCATTCCAATTCGACAACCTCGGCTTCAGCAAGAGTTCGACGACAGGAATCAAGTATCTGGCCTGCGCGGACTGCGACCGTGGTCCGTTGGGATATCATGATGCGAACGTGATTGAGCAGGGTGGACAGGCGGAGTATTTGCTCAGTGCGAAGAGGGTTTTGTATAAGAAGATATAAGTATATTGCAGATTCAGTTCGGAAGGCTACAGCAGTGACAACGTGATTGAGAAAGAACGGCTGTATAACCAAGCTACTTTCTTGCTAAGGAGTGTTTGGAAATTTAAGATCTCGCTGAGAGATCTCTTGAAAATTGCTCGATATTTACTCGACATTTGCTCGAGATTTTGCTCAGATTGGTGACTTTTTGGCGTTCATGGCTATGTTTTGTCATTTTGTCTATCATACATTCTGCCTGTCTCATGTTTTTGGTTACCAGTATATACGCACACGACTGTTTGGTTAAAGAATAAACCAGTCCCACCCCTCCTATCCAAGTTGACCATCTGACCACGACCACGTCCGCGCCCGTGCATTTTACTATACTCTACACCGACCATTCAGAAGTCAAACCTGCACAGCACATTCACCGTCTGATACGAGCCCGAATACGAACGAGAGAGGTCCAGTGCGTTCTTGGCCCTGGCTCTCTCGTTATCGTAGCAGCGCTCGTTCCACTGGTTAATAGTTCGAGTTAGAGCAGTCTATTTGATTAGAGTGAGAGATCGCAGATGAGAGAAATGACACTGTAGATTAAAAACGACCGACAGCCGGAGAACAATGAAAAACAAACGCCGCGAGATGAATAAACCTGAGTCAAGACTGACAAGGGACGATTGACACTCTTCTGCTTTCAGCCAACGGCCCACAGCACAGCACAGCACAGTACAGCACAGATAGGCACGCGCTCAAGCACAGACAGGTGGCCGTCGCTGGCCGGGGAGAATAGATAGTTGCGCTCGGGTGCTCGGGCATCCGTGCAGACAGACACAGCGCGGGCGGACCTCGAGCCGTGACAGAGTAGCCGATAAGATAAGACGTTATAGAATAGACAAGACAAGACAAGACAAGACAAAGAGCTATTGCACACAGCAGGTATTCAACGACGGATATCGGGATGAAGTTTTTCCTTGAGCTGCTGGTTCATTGAACGCCTCGTTCTTGCAGCCGAAAAATGTGAGCTGCGAGGATGACTCAAGGACAGCTGCTTTGTCCGGATGCAGCAGCAGCAGCGATATGGCGTATGCCCGAGTTGTTGATATCAGCAGAACGCTACCCGCCGAGCGCAATACGAGCAGATAATAGCTATACTCTTGGCTAAGGTATCAGTTAAGAATAGGTCTTTACAAGTAGATACCAGGTCGAAAGCAAAGCAGGAACGCCACTCCCCACTCGACAGGCCTCCGACAGCCCTGGCCGACAACCCTGATCGAGTCTGGGTGGCGGCGAGATAAGATGATGGTACTGATAGTGAGCTGATGTAGATACGGTGTTTATACAATATTGATAATATCAATAATATCAATAATATCGATAGCTTAGCGGTTATAGACAGGCAGCTTGGCACTGTGGTCTTGACTATTGAACAGCTGCGGAAGATGGCGGGAAGTGGTGATAAAGATAAGCAGGAGGACTAGTGAAATCTAAATAGCCCAAGTCAGAGCGCAGAAAGGCCCCCACCTCGCTGTCGCAGTGCGCAAAAAGTAAAGAGCAGCGTCGGAAGATGAGTTGACTAGAACCAGTGAAATAGTTGGTGATAAAGAAAGAAAGCAGTTGGAAATAAACATTTCGATAGACGAGAGTTCGAGCTACTTGCTGCCTGCGTCTGTGCGCCGAGTTCTGATTGCCCGGTTCTTCTGATAAGTTATTGGTAGATGCAGATATGATAGTGATATTGTTGTTGGTTGTAGTGATTGTTAATGAGAGAGTGAAGTAGGGAGGTAGAGGTGTTGATAAGTGTTCTGCTGCTGTTACTATACAGCTGCTACTACTCCCGCTACTACTCCCGCTACTACTCCCGCTACCACCGCTGCTGCTGCTAAACTTCACCAGATGAGTCTTGTCAGTTCCGGCAAGCACAACCGCCGGAGTCTGTTGACTTTCTCTGCTGTCGCGCTGATTGACTCGTTGCGACTGTCACCCGACGCCGCAACCAGCTTCAGCACGCAGATGTTTCTATCAGCTACCTCCAGATATCTCTTTATATCATCTATATTCACTAACAAATAAACACAGCGACATCTCACCCACACTCTATCAGCGATAAGACCCGCTGGACCGGGTGGAGGCCCGGTACCGCACTCGAGATAAGACCTCGCCAAGACAGCGAGCTAACCCTGCGCGCCTGTCGCTATCGGATCCTTATCGACGATGAGGCTCCCTGACTCCTCCTCCTCCTCCTCCTCCTTCCCCAAAACGCTGCACTTAAATGAAACTAAAAACATTATCGTACTGCAAAAATAAAAAACTGAACCCACTTGCTGTGCTAATCTCGTGGACTATATAATCCTGCTTCTCTCCTGTCTTCTGTCTGTCTTCTGTCTCTGTCTTCGTCTCCAATCTCAGTCCTCACCACCTCTGTCCCGGATAAGCATACGCCATGTCCGCCATGAAGGTACCTACCTACCTCCCCTACCCTACTATCCCCCCTCTCTCTACATGCTAACCCCCACAGATTGAGTACGACGAAAAAGCCGTCGAAGTCGACGTCGTCCAGGACTCCGATGACTCCAACTACGGCTCCAAGGAGAAATACCTCGCCGAGACCTCCTCGGTCGAGGACTACGACCGCGAGTTTGTCATCAACCACCTCGCAAACTCAGAGTCTCTCAAGGACCTCATCGAAGGCGACCTCGACTACATGCTCGAAAAAGTCAAGGAGATTGACGCCGCCGAGTCGATGGAGTGGATCCTCGAGGCCATCGAGGAACACAACGGCGACGTCAACTTCCCCGACGTCACCATGGACAGACTCAAGCTGCTCGCGCAGGGCCAGGAAGCCTCCGGTCTCGACCCGGCGACCTACGACATCGACCTCCGCATGCAGGCCGCCGTGTTCAAGTACCACTCGCCCTACCCCGAAGTGCGCGCTGTCGTGAGCCCGCACGACGACCCCGAGATGGCGTGCGAGACGCTCCGCGCGTACATCATCGGCATCATCTGGGTCGGCGGCGGTTCGTTCATCAACGAGATGTACCACCAGCGCCAGCCCTCCATCACCCTCACCGCGACCGTCTTCCAGATTCTGATCTACCCGTCCGGCAGACTGCTCTCGCGCATCCTGCCCGACAAGAAAATCGGCTTTGGAAAATACAAAATGTCAGTCAGCCCCGGCGAGTGGACGTACAAGGAGCAGATGCTGGCCACGATCATGACCAACGTCGGCTCCGGCTCCACCAACTTCTTCCACTACGGTCTCACCATGCGTCTTCCTATCTTCTTCAACCAGACCTACGCCGGCTGGGGTTTCATGTTCCTCATGTCTCTTGTCACCAACTTCTTTGGTTTCGGACTCGCGGGCGTGCTCAGACGGTTCGCGGTCTACAACCCGCGCGCGCTCTGGCCGACCGTGCTCCCCATCCTGCAGCTCAACAAGACCCTGCTTCTGCCGGAGCCCAAGCAGAGCATCAACGGCTGGACGATCTCAAAGTACAAGTTCTTCTGGATCACCTTCATCTGCGCGTTCATCTACTTCTTCTTCCCCGACTACATCTTCACCGCGCTCTCGACCTTCAACTGGATGACCTGGATCTCGCCGCAAAACAAGAAGCTCGCCTTCATCACCGGCTCAAAGATGGGTCTCGGCTTCAACCCGATCACCACCTTCGACTGGTCGGTCATCAACTACACGACCCCGCTCGTCATCCCCTTCTTCTCCGTCGCAAACAAGTACTTTGGCGTCATGCTCGCCGGTCTCGTCATCACCGGCATCTACTTCTCAAACTACAAGTACACCGGCTACTTCCCGCCCAACAACTCGGCCGTCTACGACCGCTACGGTTCAAAGTACAACCTCTCGCGCGTCATCACCGACGACAACATCTTCGACCCCGACCTCTACCGCAGCTACTCGCAGGTCTACATCGGCGCCGGTAACCTCACCATGCTCGGCGCATTCTACTGCATGTACACAATCACCTTCACCTACATCATGATGGGCGAGTGGCGCACCGCGCTCAGCGCCTTCATGGGCGTCGCAAAGTCCTTCTTCGAAAAGCGAGGAGCGAGCGGCTACGCGGCCTTCAAGGACCCGCACTCCCGCATGATGAGCAAATACCCCGAAGTCCCCGAGTGGTGGTTCATCCTCGTGCTGGCTGCCGCCATCGGCGTCGGCGCGGGCGCTATCTGCGGCTACCCGACCGGCACGCCGTTCTGGGCCATCATCGTCGTCATCCTTGTCTCGATCGCGATCCTGATCCCGGTCATCATGGTCTTTGCGACAACCGGCTACCTCGTCCCCTGCGACACGCTCACCGTCATCATCGCCGCCTATATGGTTCCCGGCAACGCGACCGCGTCGCTGCTGTGCCGTGTGTTTGGCTACAACACCGACGAGCAGGCCGAGTCCTTCATCTCCGACCAGAAGATCGGCCACTACGCCAAGGTCCCTCCCCGCGCCGTCTTCCGCTCGCAGATGATTGCGGTCTTGCTGCAGTGCGCAATCACCACCTCCGCCGTCATCTGGCTGATCGACAACACCCCCGACCTCTGCACGACCACGCAGTCCGCCCGCCTCGTGTGCTCGTTCCCCAACCAGCTCTACTCCAACACCCTTCTCCTCGGTGTCGTCGGCCCCCATCGCACATACGACAGGCTCTACCCGCTGCTCAAGTGGTCCTTCCTCCTCGGCGGCATCGTCGGCGTCTCATTCTACTACCTCCGCCGCATCTTCTACCGCAAGCTCAAGTACTTCCACCCCGTCGTCTTCATGTCCGGAGTCACCCGCTACGGAGCAACCTACAACTTGTCGTACTACACCCCGGGCTTCTACGCGGGACTGGCGTTCATGTACTACATCCGCTCGCGCTACCTCCTCTGGTGGACAAAGTACAACTACATCCTCTCCTCGGGTCTTACCGCCGGTACCGCCTTCAGCGGCATCCTCATCTTCTTTGCGCTGCAGTACACAAGTACTACCCTCAAGTGGTGGGGAACTACCGTCTCGTCGGCTGGTGTTGACGGAAGCGGTATCGCGACGCTGTATCAGGCGCCGGTCGATGGATTCGGACCGCCTGTTGGGTCTTGGGAGTAGTTTTTTTTATCGTATCGTAATCTCGTCTCTTCAATTTAATTCAATATATTCATCATAATTCGAGAAAACTAGCGTAGCCTTCGCGTATCTAAGCGTATCTAAACGACCGCCAAGATCATCTGAAGTGCTTCGTAGATACCCTTCTCCAATCCCACAACTTCCTAAAACAGACAAGGCAAAGCTGATAGACGCCGGCTTTTCTTGAACGTTTTGTTATATTCTGAGCAGGTAGGAAATCAACTTATGTGGTTGTGTTTTGTTATGTTCTGAGCAGGTAGGAAATCAACTTATGTGGTTGCAAAGAACGACCCCAAGATCATCTGAAGTGCCTCGTAGATAACCTTCTCCAATCCCACAACTTCCCGAGAAGGCAAGGCAAAGCTGATAAACGCCGGATCTTCTTATATGCTTTGTTATATTCTGTGCAGGTAGGAAATCAGCTGATGTGGTTGCAAAGAACGACCGCCAAGATCATCTTCCCCTCTCCAATCCGCAACTTCTTTATAACAAGGCAAGACAAAGAGGCGTGTTATCTTATTAATACGCCGGCTCTTCTTATCTGTATTGTTATATTCTGAGCAGGCAAGAAATCAGCTTGTGTGGTTACAAAGAACGACCCCAAGATCATCAAAAGTGCCCCTCTCCAATCCGCAACTTCCCAAACAGGCAAGGCAAACAAACGACCCTCTTATCTAATAAATACGCTGGCTCTTGTTTAATGGTTTGCTATATTCTAAGCAGGAAGGAAATCAGCTTGTATGGTTGCGGCCTCTTAATAAGCCTGCTCCGTCTCCAATCCGCAACTTGCCAACCTGATAAGGCAAAAAACGACCTTCTTCTCTGATGAACACGCCGGCTCTTTGATGTTTAGTTATATTCTGAGCAGTCAGAAATCAGCTTGTGATTGCGACCTATTAAAATAGCCTGCTCCCTGTCCAATCCGTAACTTCCCAAACTGGCAAGGCAAAGATGCGCGTTTACTTTATAAATACGCCGGCTCTTTAATGTTTTGTTTTGTAATATTCTAAGCAGGTAAGAAATCAGCTTGTGTGGTTGCAAAGAACGATCACTATAAAGAGGCAAGGCAAAGAGGCGCGCTATCTGATGAATTCGCCCGCTCTTGTTTAATTGTTTGTTATGTTCTGGGTAGGTTAAAAATCAGTTTTTGTGGGTGCAAAGTTACATACAACTGCCCAGAGCTATTTCTCCTTCCTTATAACCTACGACCACGTCTTCAACTCATCGCCTCAGCTATAAACAGTATTGCACTACAAACAAGCAGCTACACCCTCCACCCCCTCAACAACCCCCTCGCCACCCCCACAAACCCACACGCAACAGCCAACGTCCCCCCACAAAACACCGCGACGGCTTTAAACTCCATCCCCGTCTTCAACAACTCCCCCGCCACCGGCGTACCAATCAACAGCCCCACGCTCGCGACGGCGAATAAGATCCCGATACGGGTGCCGAGGACGGAGATGTCGGGCGTGATGACGGCAAGGCAGGGCGCGGCGAGGGAGATGATTGAGCCAGAGAAGAAGCCGTAGAGGACAGAGATTGCGACGACGCCTGGTTTGGTCGCGGCCGCGACCCAGCAGAACGCGACGATGGATGCTGCGAAGATACACGGAAGAAGGACGTTAAACGGTCCTACGCGATCGGCGAGTATATTCGGAAGCAACCTTCCAAACGTCGACGCGCCGTTGAGAACCGAAAGCATGTAGAACGAGACATCGAAGCTATAGATCCCTTTCAAGATCGAAAACCCTTCCATGTAATAAAACGGGATGTACGCGCCCATAAACGCAAACACGCCGAATCCGATAAACGCCAGAAAAGGCGGGTACATCACGAGTTCGCGCGTAAGTCTTATTTTCTTGCCAGCGGGGCGTGTCCGTACGCGCATCACGGCAAGGACGTAGCCCTGCGTGACGAGCACGATCAGCGCGACTACGCGTACGGCCCAGCCGAAGCCGAGCAGGGGACGCAGTTTGTGGAAGATTATCGGGTAGATCACGCCGCCGACGGAGGACCCTGAGGCGGCGATGCCGAGCGCGAATGAGCGCCGCGTGGTGAAGTACTGCGGAATGACCGCTACCGAGGGCACGAAGAACAGGCCGCAGCCGATGCCGGTCATGATACCCTGCGCGAGCATGAATTGCCAATACTCGTGACAGAGACTGGTGAACACCAACCCGAGCACGAGCACGACCGATCCTGAAATCAAGAGCGGGCGAAACACGCCGAGGTCAAAGACCGGGCCGGAAATGATTCCGACGACGAGAAGCAGGAAGGCTTGCGTGGAGCCGATCCAGGCGATGTCGGAGGAGGACTTGTTTGAGAGGTTGATGGAGACGTAGTAGGTCTCAAAGACGCCGTAGGAATTGATTGTGCCCCTGCTAATCAGCCTTGTGCGCGAGTCGTCGAATAAAGTGAGAAGACATACCAGCTATTCATAAACAGGACAAAAGACCCAGAAACCTGAAGCCAAGCAGTAAGCCCTCCGTTCGGCGCGTGCTCGTCCGGCGCAGGAAGTGCCTCTTGGAAAGTTATCGCGGCTGCCTTTTCGGTCTGGAGAGTACTCTCCGTCGTCGTACGTTGTATAACTGCCACCCCTGCAGTTTTTGTATGGTCTTGGTCTTCCATCGTCACAGTGCAGCAGAACACAGAAAACAGAAGATGGACAGAAGATGGACAGAGGCTGGATATATGGGCGCGTAGATCCTTCGATGCATAAATTCAGGCATAATTTCGGTCATTATCCAGCAGATCATGTCCAAAGACAGAAAAAAATATCTGAAAAGCGTTGATCCAGCGCGAGTGTGCGGTAGAACTTCCATTGCTCTGTTCGAGGTGGAGACACTTCTTCGATGTGTACCCATCAGAACAGCAACACATCCATAATCCATTAAATAGAACAAGACAGATCTATAGACTAGCTCTACTACTAGCACTCTTCAGCTAGAGCAGCATCCCTCCTTTCTACCAACGGTCGATACCAGAATCCGTCTACCGGTTCTGCGCTCAACGGGATGCGTACGCAGCGCGTATCTGCCGCCAACTCGACAAACCCGCCTCCGCTCCAGCACGTGAACCGCACTTCCACCTCCGTCACTTACAATCCATCTAAATCAATTTAACTCGCACTTGATAGAATACACAAAAGCAGCGTACATATTTTATATTCCCAAGATCTACTCAGAGCACTACTAGTTGTAGATCCGACAAAGCAGATTAAAAGCTGCTCGCAACCCTACACGAACCCACGTTCTCGGTATCACTCGCGTACGACCGCGCTGAGACCTGACCGCCCGGCGGCATCCGAGCACAAACGCGGATGAAGAAAAAAAAAAGCAAGAACAAATCACAAAAGTACGCACTACGCTTTGGCCATCAAGACGGGGCCGGTGTACAGCAGCCGCGACACTGTAAGCAAGATCGCGGAGAGGATGAGGACGGAGCCGCCGAACAGCGCGGGGGCTTCGAATTGCAGATGGGTCTTGAGCAGTTGTCCTGCGACCGGGGTGCCGACGAGCAGACCCAGGCTTGAGATTGCGAATAAGACGCCCATGCGAGTGCCGAGGATGGCGATGTCGGGCGTCATGACGGACATGCAGGGCGCGGAGAGGGAGATGATGGAGCCCGAGAAGAAGCCGTAGAGGATTGAGATTAGGATCACGCCGGCTTTGTCGGTGGCGGGGATCCAGCAGAACATGAGGACGCTGGTAGCCACGAGGCAGGGGACGAGGACGTTGAACGGGCCGATTTTGTCGGCGAGCGCGTTTGGGAGTAACCGGCCGAACGTCGACGCGGCGTTCATGATTGCGAGAGTGTAGAAGGACATGTCGGCGTCGAAGATGCCTTTGAGTAAGGAAAAGCCCTCCATGTAGAAGAAGGGGATATAAACACCCATAAAGCCAAAGAAGCCAAAGCCGACGAAGGCGAGGAAGGGAGGGTAGACGATCACGCTCTTTGAGGCCTTGACGCGCTTCCGGGGCTGCTTGACGCGCGTGCGCATGATTGCGACGACGTACGTCTGCGTGACGAGGACGATGAGCGCGATAACTCTGATCGACCAGCCAAAGCCGATTTTCGCGTGCAGCTTGTGGAAGATGATGGGGTAGATCACGCCGCCGACAGAGGATCCTGATGCAGCGATGCCGAGCGCCAGCGCGCGCTTCTTGTCAAAGTACTGGGGCACGATGGCGACGGAGGGCACGAAGAACAAGCCGCAACCGATGCCGGTGAGGATGCCCTGGGCAAGGATGAGCTGCCAGTACTCTTTGCAGAGACTGGTGAAGACGAGGCCGAGGACGACGATGATGGAGCCGGTGAGCATGAGGGGACGGAAGAAGCCGAGGTCAAAGAAGGGGCCGGAGAAGATGCCGACGATGAGAAGGAGGAAGGCTTGGAGGGAGCCGATCCAGGCGATTTGGGACGAGGACTTGCCGGAGAGGTTGATGGAGACGTAGTAGGTCTCAAAGACGCCGAAGGAGTTGAGGATGCCCCTGGGCACATTAGCTGAGAGCAGGAGATGTAGATAGAGGTAGACATACCAGCTGTTTGTGAAGAGAAGGAAAGAGCCAGAGACCTGCATCCAGGCAACTAGACCGCCGTCGGGGACCTCCAGAGCAGCGGTGTTGATTTCGGGAGGGGATTGTTCGTCTTTAGGCAGGCCATCGACGGAGTTGCTGGCCGACGAGCCTTCCTCGTAGGGCGAGACGGTGAGTGTCGTATCTTGTTTTTCAGCGTCGACAGTCATTATGAAGCAGTGCAGTTATAGACAGATACAGAAGATACAGAAGAAGAGGCAAGACAGATATATAAGAGCAGGGCATTGCAGCGATGGTATCCAGATGACGCGTAGCAGCCGCAAGAACGTGACTGAGCAGATATCAGCTTCTTCGAGATCCGGGAGCTGCGGTGGTGGTCGGAGTACCTGGTAACCGGGCTACTAGCGCCTCGTCGGCGAGGTCGAGTCCGTACGCGGAGGTTAGTGGCTCTCCGACGTGCAGGTTGATAAGAACAGCAGACAGAGGACAGAAGATGCATTAACAGCAGCATCAACAAGAGCAGTAGTTATCAAATAGAACAACAACCAACAGCGACTATCTACAAGCAGTAAACAAGAAGCATATCCACATCCCGACTCAGAGCGCGGCTGTCAAAACAGCCTCTCGCTTCAGCCGCTCGCTTCAAAGGAAACAATTCCGAGCCTTTGTTTTAGAGAATGAGTGATTTAGGATCCTACTTTTCCGTGTGATTTGCTAAACAACTACCTGCACCGTCTGCAATCAGGATGACAGTCGCCGACCAGCCTCACCCTCTTCTCTCTCTCATCACAGCAGCTGCTCAAACAGCTTCCGCACGTTGTAGACCCCTTCCAGCATGTTGACGTCTTTGCCCTGCCCCGGAACCCACGTCGCGTGCGCAAAGTCAATCACCTTCACCTTCAGCACCTCCTTCTCTTCCTCATCCTCATCCTCCTCTCCTGCCACTTCTGCCACTTCTGCTGTAGATGCAAACGACACCTGCTCAACCGTCCTGCCGTCAATCTCCACCGTCTCACTCACAACCTCAATCTCCTCCTCCTCCTCCTCCTCAGATGACACTGCCTCTCTCGCAACCTTCGCCTCCTCATACGCCTCCCCATCCCCCTCATACACAATCAACAAACTCGCGCTATACATCCTCGACTCCTCCCCCTCCAACACCTCCGCGATCCTCCCCACCTCCTCCACAATCCTCCTCGTAATCTCCCTCCTCCTCTCCCCCACGCTCTCCGGCAAAAACTCCCGAAACCCCTCCACCACGTCCTCCTTCGCAAACCGGCGCCCGTAGTTCTTATCATACACCACAAACTCCGCCTTCGCACTATCCCACACCTTCATCCCCGCGATCCGAAACCCAAGCGACCCGCTCGTCGTCGCCGCCGCCACAGCATCCAATCGCGCGGCTTTCTCTGCACTCGCGCGCGCATCCCACAGCTGCCGACCAAGCTTGATATCAACCACCGACGGCCTCACGAACCCGCTCGTCACGTTCTCAAGCACAATCGCCTTCTCCGCGTCCTTGATCTTATGACTCCCGTCCGCGCCCTTCTCCTCTGCACTACCACCACCCTGCTCGCCAGATAACTCCAGCGTGCCGTAAAACCGCGGCACGACAGCGGCAAACGAAGGATGCTGCGCGGCCAGTTGCTCGTAAAACTCAATCTCGTACGTCGTCGCGGGCTTGATGATCACGCTCCCGGACGCGTCTTGCAGAACCCCGTCATGGCCTGCTACTTTGTTGTCAAACGACACCGCGGAGGAGAGGTCGATCTGCATGTTGTATTATTCTGTGGAGCTGGGTGAATCGTGTTGTTTGAGTTGATGTTGTCTATGCGGCTCAGTAGTTTCTCTACCCCGGACTAAGCAATTACCCAATACATCTTCAGTCTACATCTCTCAATTGATAATGTTATATTCTTGTTTATTGTAACAACAGCTAGGCTGAGATATCTAGATCTTCAACAGAACCTTACCCGTCGACTTCCTCGTCTCCAAACTCTCTGCCGCATCAGCATACTCCGCCAACCCAAACTCCTTATACACCGCAATATCGAGCACCCCGCTCGCGACCTCCTTCCACAGCAACTCAGAGTAATACTCCAACTCCTCCTCCTCCGCAATGTAATTAAACAGCGTCGGCCTCATCAGCTTCAGATTCTTACTCGTCAGCACCGGCAACGGCACAGGCGGCACCGACCCGCTCGCGTTGCCAAACGAAATCATCGAGCCCTTGCGACGCAGCGCGCCGATCGACGCGTCAAAGGTAGCCTTCCCCACGCCGTCAAACGCAACATGCACGCCCTTCCCCTCCGACGCCTTCACCACCTCACCAACATAATCCGGCGTCTCGGCATAGTTAATCACCGTCTCCGCGCCCGCTTTCTTCGCCAGCGCGGCTTTCTCGGCCGTCGACACAGTGCCAATCACATGCGCGCCAATCCCAGCGCACAGCTGCGTGAGCAACAACCCCATTCCCCCCGCAGCAGCCTGCACGAGCACGTAATCGTCCTTCTTGACATCATACGCCTCCTTCACCAGCGTCACGGCCGTCAACCCCTGCAGCAGCGACGCCGCCGCGGTCTTGGTCGAGATGCCGGCGGGGATCTTGAGCACGGTGCCGGAGGCGGCGGTGGACGTGTACTCTGCAAACGCACCGGTGCTCATGTAGGCCACGCGGTCGCCGACGGCGAATTTGCTCACCTTTGAGCCGATCGCGACGATCGTGCCTGCTGCTTCGCGGCCGGCGGTGTAGGGGTAGGAGATCGGATAGAGTCCCGAGCGGAAGTACGAGTCAATGAAGTCTACAACAGTTTTGATTAGCCTTGCGTCTCATTGTTCAAACAAAAAAGAGCGACCTTACTCAACCCGGCATACTCGTTCTTGATGAGCACATCCCCCTCGCCGACCTCAGGCACCGGCACCTCGGTGTACTTAATAACCTCCCGTCCGCCCTTGTCTGGGATCACAATTGCTTTCTGCGTAGTAGGAACAGCCATCTTGAACGTCTTGATCGAGGGAGGAGAGGAGTGGGTAGCAAGACAGGCAGCAGAAGACGGGAGAAGTGCAAGTGGAAGTCTGAGTCTGAGGTCGCTAGGGTTTCTGCATTTTATAGCCAGTCCGACTCCACCTCCGCTCTGCAGTGGGGCAATTGTTCTTGTTCTTACTGTGAGCTTGAGCATATCTGATGCAGTAGAACTTGTCTATGGTGCAATTATAAATGCAATTGCAATTGGCTGGGTGGCTGTAGTCAGCTCCTTATCCTCCACCCTCCTCGTTCTTATCCGGGAGATATCACGTAATCGACGCACGTCATCGATCTCCCCCAGCAGCGCCATCCACCAGATCCATTACAAACACAGAGTATCTTTGAGCAGTATATCTCGTTCAACTAAACAACTAAAACACTATAATAATGCTCAACAAAACTCTCTGAATACACACTGCTCGAATTCTCATAAGTATAACTGAACACGTCCTCGCATCACATAACATACGCTCTAAACATCACGTGCACGGACAAGGGCCTAATCAGAAATACCACCGCCGCTCGAGGAGTAGCCAGCCAGTCCAGTTATCTGATAATCCCCATCTCTCCATCTCTTGCAGTAAGCACCTCATTGTTTATTTTCCGCGTGGATATTTATGCTGATTGCTGTTGGTATAGATACAATGTCCTCCTCGTCTACCACCGTCGCTCCAAACCGGCCGTCATCGGTCCCAGGGTACGTCTACTCCTCGCGTCTGACTAGTCTATATCAATCAGAAGACCTAGTCTCTCAGTCAATTGACTAACCTACTATTCTCCAGGAGTGTGATCCGCGCGCTGGCGATGTTCACCACCGCAATGGTCATCGCGCCCCTGTTTTCCTTTTACTTTTGCGTAAACTACGTGTTTGGTATGCCTGCTGTTGCTACATCTCTCATCTAACCTACACACTGCTGACTGACTGGGTGACTGATGTGTAGACGGAAACAGCCAATGGGCAGGCTTGGTCGCTGCTATTGTCGCGAACGTGGTGGTGCTGGGATACGTTGTGTTTGCGTGGAAAGAAGACTCGAATACGTTCAAGGCCAACGAGGGCGAGGAGTCCAAGAAGTCAAAGTAGTCTGTTCCCAGCCCACTAGTCTTCTTTTCGACAGTTTATTTAGCGCGACAAAAACAATGCAGACAGAGAGGGGAGTGAGAGAAATAGCAAACAGATAGAGCGGGTGGGAGATAAGGAGCTTGCGATTGTGAATATCGTACGTGCTCGGAAGGAAAGCGATTTATTTGTCTAATTATTCTTTGTATTATTGTTGATATTTCTACTTCTCACGATATGATTGTTAATATTACTTCTCACAAGCCCGATTTTTCTGTAACTGTCCATAAATAACTTAGCATTTTCAATGATTTTTTCTTTATAGTCTGTAATAGAGCACCCACAATAACACCAAGCGCAAGATAAGCACGAAGAACACTATCTTGGAGTCAGTATCGCGGATCATTTTTACACTGAATATTAGCAAGATTGCAGGTTGGGAGATTGATGACCGCGCCGAGGTGGCTCGGGATTGTCAGATGTTTACGGCAGAGTGATTTACTCCATTGCGATTTTATTGATTTACAATTTAGATATACGATACAGCAACAGACTGCAGAAGACAGCAGAAGACAGCAGCAGACAGCAGCAGACAGCAGCAGCAGATAGAAAACAGATTTAAACACAGACATGTCGGATCTACAACGAAACCTGATGAAGGGAAAACTCCCACACCTCGACGAAGAAGAATCACATCAACCAGAATCCGCAGGAGTGAAAGGACTACAAGGACTTGGTCCGATTGCTGGGATTAAACCTGCTTCGGGGGAGTTGAATTTACCTGCTGATCACCAATTCAAAATTCCACTGTATGTGCTGTGCTCTATCTACATAAATGCATTTACTAACAGAACAGACGCCCTCCCAAGCAGAAAAGCTACACACCAACAGACTGGTCAACCTACTGGACACATACCGCGACCGCTGCACTATCCACCCCCTCCTCTCTATACAAGATCTACTACACCCCCCCGACAGACTCGACAAACACCTGGTTCGTATTCCACCACGGCGCGGGATCATCAGCCCTCACGTTCTCGCTGTCCGCGAAACTGCTGCACGACGCGATCCCGCACGTCGGTGTCGCCGCGTACGATGCTCGAGGACACGGGCACACGGCCGCGACGGGCGATGATAGTGATTTAAGTCTTGCGACGCTCGCGAGGGATTTCATCAGTGCGGTAGCGTACCTTGCCGACCTCAGCGACGAGGAAAAGCAAGCGGAGGTGGTGTTTGTAGGCCACTCGCTCGGCGGCGCGGTGGTGACGGAGGCAGCATTGAAGCTCGACGAGGACAAGCAGTCCTGGCCGAGCCCGCGGCCGCGGCCGCTGATCAGCGGGGTCGTGGTCGTCGACGTGGTCGAGGGCTCGGCGCTAGAAGGACTGGCGCACATGCGGGCGTATCTCGGCACGCGGCCGTCGTCGTTCCGCACGGTCGAGGACGCAATCAGATGGCATGTGAAGTCGCACACTGTACGCAGCGCGGAGTCTGCGTGCGTGAGCGTGCCGCCGCTGGTGCGGACGCAGGACGGGTCGGGGAAGTTGGTGTGGCGGACCGAGCTGGGGTCTACGGAGCGGTACTGGCAGGAGTGGTTTGCGGATCTGAGCAGCAAGTTCTTACGGGCGCGCGCGGGCAGGCTGCTGGTGCTGGCGGGGACGGACAGGCTGGACAAGCCGCTGACGATAGGGCAGATGCAGGGCAAGTACCAGCTCGAGGTGTTGCCGGAGGTGGGCCATTTCGTGCAGGAGGACGCGCCGCAGCGGTTCGCGGGGCTGCTGGAAGGGTTCTGGGGGCGGAATCGACGGGGAGCAGCGCTGGAGGTGAACATGAAGCTGAACGCGCACGGCAAGGCGGCGCCGGAGGCTGCGGTGACGGGGTGGGGGGTGCCGATGGCGGCGAAGATGCCTTTGCCGTGAGCATCGGGAGGATGGAGTAGTAATAGATTAGTAATGATGTTGTGGACTAGGGTTGTTTAGCGAGCGGCTGGGCAGCTAGGCGAGCGCAGGGACGGCGATCATGAGGTTCTGTATTAGTTAGAGGAGAGGAGGAGAGGAGAGGAGAGTAGAGTAGAGTAGAGTAGAGTAGTAGTAGAATAGAGCATGGAGGAATAGAATATGAACAGGAGATGAGCAGCAGCCAGACACAGGGAAGAGAGGAGAGGAGCGCGAGCAAAGGAGAAGAGAAAGGAGCAAAACAATGGGACGCTATGAACGCCACTGCGGGCATCTGCATAAGATCGAGTGTTTTTTGTGTTTGGTTCTACTACTGTTCTACTACTGTTCTACTACTGATTACTAGTTGATGTGAATAGTGTCAAAAGTAGTGGATATATGAGAGATTATGAAGACTAATCACTGACTGAGCCAACTCACCAGAACGTGCTCAACTTCCCTCGCGAGCAAAAACCGTTCGAACAATCGCTCGCTCGCTGGCTGAGCACATTCGCTGTTTCCATCCACTTCCTTCTCTGCTCCTCTCTTCTTCTTCTTCTAAGTCCGTCTACCGTAGTTCAGAGTCCTCCTCCTCATCTGCTCTTTCTTCTCTTTCTTCTGCTTATTCTCTCCTTCTCTCTCAACTCCGTGGAAGCCCTCGGAATCCACCGTGCGCACACGTCATACTGCATTTTCCTAACCGCGCTAACCCTAGTCCGGACTAGCGTGCCTCATCGCCCGCCGGCTGTCCACGCGCGCATAAATAAACCTCCTCTGCCCGTCCTCTTCCTCTTCTCTCGCCCGCCAACTCACCTCTGCTCTCTTCTCTGCTCTTAGCTCTCTCTTGCGATCTTGCTATCTTGCTATCTTACTATCTAACCATGTCTGCCGTCGGTATGTCTTCCTGCTCTTCTATATCTCTAGCTGCTCTTGTTATCATACAATATCTCATACTAACACCACTCTACAGAAACTACTACACCCGCCACCGAGGTCGCCCCTGTTGAGGCCCCTGTCGAAGAGACCGTCGCTGCCGTCGAGGAGTCGACTCCTGCTGTTGAGGAATCTACTCCTGCCGTCGCGGAGTCTACCCCTGCCGCTACCACCGCCAAGTCGGCTCCCGCCTCGACCCCCGCGAAGCGCCACTCGTTCCTGCCTTCCGGCCTGGGCGACAAGGTCAAGAAGCTCCTGCACAAGGCCCTCCCCAAGTCGGCCGAGAAGGAGAAGACTGCCGCGACCAAGACCACCGCCCCGGTCGTCACTGAGCCCCCTGTGTCCGAGTCCGCGACCGAGCCCCCGGTCGAGTCTGCGACCGAGGAGGTTGTCTCTGACGCCGAGGCCGCCGTCGTTGAGGCTGATGCCGTCCCCGTCGCAAACTCGGGCGCCATGAACCCCGTCAAGTAAACTCCTTTTTTTTTGTTAGACCTCTGACTCTCGCGCGGTCCTATCTTTAATCCTCCTTCTCCGTTTTTTGTCCGCTGTTCTTTTCTTCGTTGCTGGATAATCTTAATGTGTAATAGTAGGGTCGCGGTTGTTTATATAATATTGCCTTTCCTTTGTTTCTGTTGTGATGGTGTGCTTGTCTTAAACTGTTACAGACCACCTCTATATTTAATTTCTAATAAATTGTAATAACCTGTTCCTGTTCTGAAAAGTAGATCTGTACGTAACAATAGTCATTGTTTCATCGGGCTACGGCTATAGCCGCTTGCTTCTGTTACGTAAAGCATTCGTCACCGTCTATTTTTACATTTACATACACTGTGTTTATTTTATATTCTGTAGTAGTTATTATATTCTGTATATTTGATACTAGTAATCTGTATTGATATAAACCTACACTTGCAGTTAGCACCACCCTCACAACAAAGAAGTATCAAAACAAGCAGTCTGAGCAGATTCTCTCAGTTTCATTAAATCAGTAAATATTTTTGAGATCATTATTAGTCACACAGTGTGAATATATGTATAATCATCGAGAATCTGCCCTGACTACTTGTCTTTTTGAACAAGTACAAACATACCTTTTGAGATATATCCAGATCTGTATCTCAGCAGACAGACATACTAAACCACCAGTTAGTCTCACAACTCAGCACACCCACCAGAACAAAAGCAGAAACAAGGCAGAGGCAAACGGATCCGACACTTTCAAAAAAGTTTGTACACTGAAAGAGTTCTCAACATTGGTCTTATGCCCGCACGTCGTTAGACTATCTCTCTTCATTTCATGTCTGCCTCTCCTCTTCTCTTTTCTCTTTTCTCTTTTCTCTTTTCTCTATTTCTTTCATGTATAGACATACCTACAGAGCAGTAGGGCTGTTAGTATCACTCTTACTCTCACACATCATCAACAGAATGAAGAGCGCTCATACAAGGCTGAAACTTGAATGCTTGTATATTGTCCGCATCAATTGTTCGGAGATGGAAAGATGATGGTATACAAAATAATCATAGCGCTCTTCTCTTCTTCTTCTCCTTATATAAAGACAGTCACATACCTTATAAAATCAAGCCTATACTCCTCAACACTCTAAGAGTATAGACAAGAGTATAGACTGACAAACACCCAGTCCAGTCCACGAGGGAGAAGAGAGGAAAATTTGTAGGCCGTGACTAGGGCTCCGTCTCCCATTCGTTAGGGTTCGTCTCTCGTCATGTGACTAACTTACATAAGCACTTACACAACTAGAGTCATCGTCGCCGCACGCCCCAGACGTGAAGTGAATAGTGAAAACAGAAATAAAAAATTACAAAACATCTCTTTTCTTTGTCTTTGCAACAATCAACACAACAATGTCTTCACAAGAATACCTCTCCACCCGGGACTCCTCCCCGCCATATCTCTCCTTCGAAGACACCGTCCTCCGCGGTCTCGCCCCCGGCGGCGGCCTCTTCATCCCGGCCGCCATCCCCACCCTTCCCGCCGATTTCCTCACGACCTGGAAAGATCTCTCGTTCGAAGACCTCGCGTTCAACGTCTTCTCGCTCTACATCTCCGCCGACGAGATCCCCGCGGCCGACCTCAAGAACCTGATCGCGGCCAGCTACTCCACCTTCCGCTCCGACACCGTCACCCCGCTCGTCCCGCTCGACAAGGCCCGCAAGCTCTACCTGCTCGAGCTCTTCCACGGCCCCACCTACGCGTTCAAAGACGTCGCGCTCCAGTTCGTCGGAAACCTGTTTGAGTACTTCCTCACCCGCCGCAACGCCGGCAAAGACCCCAAAGACCCCGCCCGCGAGCGCTTGACCGTCGTCGGCGCCACCAGCGGCGACACCGGCTCCGCTGCAATCTACGGCCTCCGCAACAAAACCGACGTCTCGATCTTCATCCTCCACCCGCAGGGCAAGGTCTCGCCCGTGCAGGAGCTCCAGATGACGACCGTCACCGACCCGAACGTGCACAACCTCGCCGTCAAGGGCAACTTCGACGACTGCCAGGACATTGTCAAGTCGCTCTTTGACGACAAGCAGTTCAACGACAAGCACCACCTCGGCGCCGTCAACTCCATCAACTGGGCCCGCATCCTCGCCCAGATCACGTACTACTTCCACTCCTACTTCTCCCTCCTCAGACTCTCCTCCGGCGCAGACAAGCCAACCGTCAAGTACGTCGTCCCCACCGGCAACTTTGGCGACATCCTCGCCGGCTTCTACGCCAAGCGCATGGGTCTCCCCATCGCCAAACTCGTCGTCGCCACAAACTCAAACGACATCCTCGACCGATTCTGGAAGTCGGGCGTGTACGAGAAAAACCCCGCCGCCGCCACCTCAGGCGAGGAGGCAGTCAAAGAAACCCTCTCGCCCGCAATGGACATCCTCATCTCCTCAAACTTCGAGCGTCTGCTCTGGTACCTCGCCCGCGAAAACCTCGCGGCCACACCGATCGAGGCCGGCCAGATCCTGCAGTCCTGGATGGTCGAGCTCAAGACGACCGGCAAAGTCGCCGTCCCGCGCCCGGTCCTCGCCGCCGGCCTCGCAGAGTTCTCAAGCGAAGCCGTCTCCGACGCGCAGACCGTCGACACCATCAAATCCGTCTACTCCTCTTCTCAAAAATACGTGCTCGACCCGCACACCGCCGTCGGCGTCACCGCCAGCCTGCGCAACATCGCCGCCGACCCTTCGGCGTACTACATCTCGCTCTCGACCGCACACCCTGCCAAGTTCGGCGACGCGGTCGACCGCGCGCTGGCGGGCGTCGACGACGTATACTCGTTCGACAAGGTCTTGCCTGAGGACTTTAAGAAGCTCGAGTCGCTGCCGAAGAACGTCACTTTGGTTGATAAGCCGGATCGGGAGTTGGTTAAGGCTGAGATCGAAAAGGCGTTGAAGGAGGAGGGTGTTGTGTTTTAGGCATAGACCTCTGTATCTACCTATTGTATTTACAATCTCAAAAGTCACTTCTGCCCTTAATATTACAGTAGAATATATTCTATCTCACATCACATCACTCACTATTAAATACAAATACTAACTACAAAGAATTTCAAGCCAAAGGAATGACACACAAATTATTTTTTCTTCCAAAAAACCAAAGTCGAAAACTGCAACTAGCAAAACAAAAACACATTCCTTCAGCTTCACGCTGAATATTCAAAAAGGAGAGTCGTGTGGCACTTCTTATGTTTTGAGAGGTCAAGAGTGCCGGAGAAAACCTGTGCCATAGATATCAAATCGCGTCATGTGCAAAAACCCAAGTACCAAAAAAAATCAAAACAAATCAAAACAATTCAAAACATAGCATAACCAAACCAGTCTAATGAGTGGACGATTCTCAAGAATCAGTATTATAAGTTCCCCAAAACGTGACCTTAATAGCCATATACCTCTTCCCCTCCTGCGTCGCGATACTGTTAATCGAATAACTGCCGTCGTCGCCAGCCACAAGCTCGCCGCGACTGACCGACGTAATCGTATCGTCCGACGTGAACGAAAACTTCCAGTTCTGGCCGATCGGCGAGTTCGTCAATGGCGCAGCGTACAGCGTGCCGACGAAGGTGGTCGAGTTCACTTGCTGCGTGACGACGCGCAAGAGGTAGGTATTGTTGTCGCTGCTGTCGAGCGTCAAGTCTTCGAGCTCGCTAGAATCCGCGCTGGCAGTCGCACTCGCGCTCGCGGTCGCGGTCGTCGTCGCGCTGCCGGCTATGTACGTCGTCGACGTGCCGTCAGGGCAAAACTCAACCTTCTGCAACATCGTCGGCATCGCCGCCATACCAGTAACCGTAGCCGCAGCAGTACCCGCCTCCTCGCGCTTCAAAATCGCGGCCTTCATATGCTGCAAATGCCGCGGTCGCGGTCGCGCAGCTGGCGCAGGCTTGTCCTCGTGCGCGTGCAGCTTCCGCATCGGTACATGCGGATGATGTTTCTTCCCCAGCTCGGCGTCGTAGAACGGCGACTCGTCTCTGCGCGCTACGGGTTTTCGCAACACATGGTCGTGCGTGATTGATCGCTTGGCCTTTCTGTGCATGTGCTGCCAGATATCATTCGACTCTGCCATCTCGTGGTTGTACTCCAAGTCATCATCCCAGACGCCTCGCTTCATCAGCTTCGCGCTGTCTGTCGAGATGCCGGATTCGCTGCACGCCTGGACTCCACTAGGACCCGGATAATCACACGCAATCTCGTCGCCGTCATCCATACAGGCTAGCCCGGTGTAGCACTGGCGAACAACCCAGGTACCCCAAACACACTGTCCGTACGAGTATCCATTACAAGCCAACTCGCCGTGCACCGCGCAGGCTGCACCTTCAACCGGGCAAGAAACAGGAGTACCGCTCGAGCTCGCGGACGAGGTCGCGGATTCGGCGGCAGATGCTGTAGATGTCTCGTCTAAGATCGAGACTGTCGCTGTGAAAGGCGCACGGGGTACGAATGTCAGCTTGGTCTCGGTGGTAGCGACCGTGGTTGTCGCGTCAGAGGTAGTCTCGGCTGTAGTCGTCGTGGACTCAGTCAGTGTAGTTGTAACAGCGGGAGCAGTCACCGTCTCTTCCTCAGTGACTGTGATTGGGTCAGAGTTGAAGGAAGCCACAGATGTAGTCGCCGACGAAGCGGTTTCAGTATCTGTCTCGGAGGTAGAGGACTCGTAGACAGTAGACGGAGTCTGGACAGAGGTCATAGTCGCAACACTGATGATTGCAGTCGTAGTGAATCCGTCTCCTCCTACCATTGTCGTTGTCGACACGCCCGCAGTTGGGAACGTTGAAGTCGAGGAGGGGGAGGAGGAGGAGGAGGAGGAGGAGGAGGAGGAGGAGATGGCAGGAGTAACTGCCGCCTCAGAAGTAGTGGAGGAGGAGAAAACAGGAGTAACCGCCGCCGCAGAGGTAGTGCCAGACAAAGTCGAGACAACCGAGGCAGAAGGAGTCGTGGTCGTAAAAGTAGCATTCATCCCGACCGTTGTAGCTACAGTCGTACTGCTCGAGGAGGAAGTAGCCGCGGGGATATCGGTAGAGAGCACAGACGTAGAAGACGTGGTGGTAGAAGACGATACCACAGTTCTGGAAACTCCCACCACCGGATAACCGGTAGTCGATGTAGAGGTCGGCTCTGTGGTGCTGGACTCTGTGACCGTAGACGTCATGTACCACGTCTGCCCAATGTTGTCAATCGAAGAGACGGTAATAAGACTGGCGGAAGAGGTCGAGGAAGTAGTTCCTTCAGGGTTCCACATTCCGTCATCATATGTAGAAGTTGATGCGTAGTCTGTCGTCGAAGGCTCCCAATCCGCAATCGTGGAGGTGGCCTCGTCTCCTTCCCAGGTCGAGGTGCTCGACGCAACGTAGTACTCTTCCGTAGTGCTAGACTCTGGTGATACCCAGTAGTTCTCGGTAGAGCTTGAAGTTGGGACACTGACTTCAGAAGTGGAAGAAGGTTCCCAAATATATTCAGTGCTGGATGTGGCAGACGATTCTTCATCTCCAGACCAGTAGCCAGAGTCAGGCGTAGTAGACGTGCTCGCCGATGAAGTCGTCGAAGACGCTACGTCCCAGTAGATCTCAGTATCAGTCTCACTCTCGGTAGAGCTCCAAGCAGTCGACGTAGCCGTACTGGTAGACGGAGTCCAGTATCCATTATCATATGTCGATGAGGTTGTCTCAGAGGCAGCATATAAGGTCGAAGTAGATGCAACTTCGATTGTTGAGGAAGCAGTAGTGGAGGTCGCACTAACCGCAGCAGAAGTTGATGAGGCATTCGTTGACGAGAGGTCCGCTAAAGCCTGCTTCGCCAACTGCGCATAGTTTAGCGAGCTCGAGCTATCCGGAATATTGTTGTACGCTTGAGAAGCGTCCCTGTGTTTACGTTAGTACATCCGCTTAAGAAACAAATTAGAATTGGCATACGTACCACATCATAACACCGCCAAAGCTAGTATATGTAGAGGCAAGTTCTGAGATAACTGTAGTCAATGTATCGATATCGACGTATCCAGTTCCAGCAGCATCAGAGCTCGCTGAAACTCCGAGGTAGACCTTTGCGTCAGGATTGTAACCCGATGACTGGGCAAAAGTATCCCAGGCATCAAAGTTAAACGTAGTCGACGTGCCCTCTTCCCAAAAATTGATGCCGCAGTAATTGTTGTAGAACTGAACAAAGTAAAAGTCAAAGTACGACGTCTCCATCGCATCGTTCAAGAACGAATCGGGAATCGGGCACTGCGGCGCGCCAGAGATGTACATTTGCTTTCCTCCCGCGGCAACATACTCGTCGTAATAGTTACGCATCTTGGTAACGAAAGCAGAATAACCGGTAGAGCTTCCACCTTCAATATCAAGATCGAAACCATCGACAACAGCAGTGCCAAACGGACGAGTGTCTGAGGATCCACCTCCAAAGATGTCCCAGATCGTAGTCGCAAATTCTTCGGCCTCGGTGTCGTTGTCAAATCCGTAGGAACCGCTAGATCCACCAAGAGAGAGAAAGATCTTCTTCCCGTTATCCTGGCAGGTGACGATATCGGAACTAGATGCAAAGAGTCAGAAACCAAGCAATTCGCACACACATCAGATATGATATATACGCTATAGTCGGACAGTCGAGAAGCTCGCTGTCATCGAAATAACTGCCTTCGCACGATCCAGCAAAGTTGATCTCCGGAAGATCACCGGTACCAAAAAACACAGTCACAAAAGACAAGAGGAGTATCTGTACTGATAGTCAGTTATCTGCTTCTTATTCCTTTCCAATGATCTATGCTCACATCATTCGTCGAGTCCTCGCAATAGCTGGACAGATCATCCTGCGATCCAACCTCGCCGTACGAGTTTTGACCCCAGTACATGGCCAAATTGGAATTGGCAGACGCGTCAAAGTCGGCTAGAACATGCTGAATTGCATTCGATCCGAGCAGGGCCAGAAGTTTGGACGTGAAGAGCCAGAATCTGTACTTCACCATAGCACAATTGACGACGGAGAGCTAATTACGCAAGGAGCGACGCGGTTGAAGTGGAGGAGTAAACGAATGAAGCGGAAGAGGATCGTCGAGCTGGAGCGGAAGAATAACAGTAGCGTAATAATGAGTGTAATAGTTGCAGTCCAAAAACGAGAGATCACGGATGACGGTGAAGAGAAAGAGAGGAAGACGAGGAGGGAAAGAGAAGATGATCGTGAAATCCAGAAAACAGAGCTGAGGCCATGTTTCGTCTTCTTTCTCGCCCAGAGGCAGATCCATATCGAGGAGGCAAATGGGCAACGACTTGAACCTTACCAGCAACCAAATGGGACTGGAGGTACGATGTCTCAGCTCACTGAAAGCTGGTATCTAATGAGACAGACTTGGCCAAATAAGGCAAGGCAATGACGCGGTTTTCAGCTGGATCCATCGTTCACCGCCCCAGGTTGGGAGGTTAGTAAACAAAAAGCTCAGACGAGATAGCAGGAAAGAAAACGTTTTGGGCACAATTAAAACTCAAAATCCACTATAGCTCGACTGAGTCGGTGAGCCCTAGATCTGTACTCACATGAATAAATAATGATTGAATCAGATGATCATTCCAAACCAGACTTACTACGAGACGCTGCTAACAGACCATTTACCTGCATCATGTCGATATGTTGATCAGAAGCACCTATGTGCAGGAACGAGTAGGATGCGCAAGACTGGCCAAAAGAAACCTAATTGTCTACCATTACTTTTAGCAACACCGACTTACTGCTAATTTGGAAGGAGATTAACTCTCGCCAACGCCGTGCGTCACAAAAAACGCTATACAACGCGTCGCGATATTTGGGTATAGCCAAATAAGGTCTAGCGCGCCGCATCCAAGTGATGTTGCTATGACAACATCACAACAAAGTGCTGCTATATTGGATTAGGGTTGATCGGATGTAAATAAAGCAATGACCTTTTGTTCTGCTTCAGATCTAAACAGCATTCAAGACAAAGCTATGACTATGGCAGAAAAGCTATGATTGTTGGTAAAATCAATAGCGTACCAGATCTGCGCTAATATGGTAGTAGGGCGGCTAGTGAAGTGCGGTATGATCGGCTGCAAGATATAAGGAGCCCTGCAGATGTGCAAGGGAGAGCCTCGCAGAACGGGAGTTACCGAGTATAGACCCTCGCTGCCATGGCAACCAGGCAGCTTCGCGTCTGAATTTCGGTGTCCACTGCAGAGATCACTTGAGCAGCGCTGTCTGTGCTTCTATAGTGAGGTGTAGTCACAAAGTATAGACCATACAGCGCTAATAAGGTCATTTAAGCTAAATGAGCAGTGAGAGAAGTGTATCAGCCTACTCTTCTGAAACGGGAAGGCTGCCAGTCGATGTGGAGCATTTGCTGCCGCCGTCTTTCCAATAATTAACTAATGAGCTGATTTGGCGCCTACTCAGTGTTATTCTTACGGTATCTGAACTGATTCTGCTGCATATATGGCCGACTACAGTCATCTCAGAACAGTACTTCGTTTCCCCAAAAGTTAGAATAGTAGAAAGCCTACAAACAACAAGCGACTCTTTTATGAACAGTTTGCCGATATAGTAATGGTATATTGGACGACACAGGTTGTGCTGCTCAAGATATCATCGAAAGCGATACGTGCTTGAAATAACGCGCGACTTTAGAAAAGAAACCCTGAGCGGCGTAATTCTGAATATTAACGTGGTTATTATACGCTTTGAGTAACAACCAACTGCCACGGTAGCTCTCATAAAGCAGAAAACGAAACTATTCTCAAGCCAATTACCATTATCTTCAATTGTCTTGTCATTACCACTATCTTTAAATGTTTCGTCATTCTCCTAAACTTTTCGGTATCTGTGAATCTATTTCCTGCCATATTCTATTCTATTACATTCCATTAATCTATCCCTTCCATGCCTCCAATTTCGTCCCTCTAGATTCAAAAGTCGAAATCTCTATATGATCAGACAAGCAATAAAGCCTTATTGCATTGTTGAGCGGTAGACTCTCTATGTGCGAGCCTTGAATTTCAGTCCAGTTTTGAACAAACGCGACGCGGTCACCAAACCCGCGGAGGCCATAACAATACAACCACAGAATATACTAGTGGCAGTGTATCCAGAGTTATCCAAAATAGCACCAGCGATAGGAGTACCGACCAGCAGACCTATCGAGCATAATGAAAACACCATTCCCATACGTGTGCCAAGAACGCCAAGATCTGGAGTAACCGCGATGATGCACGATGGCGGTAATGACACAAATGTTCCGGAAAAGAATCCGTAGAAGACTGCAATGAGAACGATTCCAGCTTTCGACGTGGCTGACGTCCAGGTGAATGCGATGATCGAGGCGATGACAGTAAACGGAATCAAAATGTTCATGGGTCCAGTTTTGTCCGCAAGGAAGTTGGGAACAATTCGCCCAAATACCGATGCAGCATTAAGAATCGTTAAAAGATAAAAGGCGGTTTCGCTCTTGAAAATCCCGTTTGAGACCGCATACTCCTGAATATAGTAGAACGGAATGTAAACTCCCATAAATCCCAAGAAAATTGCCAGCGAGAGTGCAATAAACGGAGGCTCTCTTAGCGCGCTCGCATCAAACAGCTTTCGTGGCCCAGTTGAAGGAGGAACGCGCAAGCGCATCACGGCCAGAGACCAGCATTGAGTAGCAAGCATGATGAACCCGATAACGCGAGTGGCCCAGCCAAACCCGACGCGCGGCTCCAGCTTATGGAAGATGATAGGATAGATAACACCGCCTAACGAAGAACCTGAGGCAGCGATGCCGGTAGCCAAGATTCTCTTTGATGTGAAGTACTGAGGGATGACGGCGACACAAGGGATAAACATGAAGCCACTTCCTAACCCAACCACAAGGGCTTGCGCCAGCATGACTTGCCAGTATTCCTTACACAAGCTGAGCATCATCATTCCGAAGGTGATCATAAAAGTAGAGAGAAGAATGAAGGACCTAAAGTAACCTTGGTCAAACATAGGACCGGTGAAGACTCCAATGATCAACAGCAAAAAATTCTGCATGGATCCAATCCAGGCGATATCACTTGCAGTCTTGTTCGAGAGGTTTATATCGATATAGTAAGCCTCGAATGCTCCAAAAGTGTTTGAGATACCCCTATATATTGTCCAGAGTTAGCCATTTACCCCAGCAGAAGCCTTTCTGGTAGCTAGAGGGAAACGTACCAACTGTTCATGAACAGAAAGAACGAGCCGGAGACCTGCAACCACGCAGTCAAACCCCCGTTAGGAATGTCTGACAGTCCTGTCTTTTCCATCACTATTTCCTCAACAACGTCATCCTCTGACAGAGGTTTGTGCTCCCCATCCTCGACGACCTCCCGTAACAGCTCCATGCCGTTTGCGTCTCCCACGAGCCCAGGAATGGCCTCGTTGTTTTCGTCCCCAGATATTTTCATAGCCTCAGTCTCTGCATCTTGGGCCATGCTTTTGAAATGCAACTATCGTAGTCAGAGAACGAGGGGCTGGTATAAAAGAATATGTCTCTCGCAACAAAACAAACGAGTTATAAACACCTGAAGAAGATGACAGAGAGACGGATTAATAATACGGAGAGCCTCAACTCTATTAGGCACAGCGCTGCCGAGCCGCCGAAACTCCCCGCCACTGTGGTAAACCCTAGTCGGTACAAGCTTAGTCATCACGGTGTAGCAGCCGCGCACTCTAATTAGTTATCGTGGGGATATGACTCCGGCATTTGGATACGTAAGCAATCAGTAATAGTATTACTCTTATTTGCTGGCTGCGTGCGCACGCAATATTATCTCATGGCCCAGACAGCCGCACGCGATAGAATATAATTGCACCCAAACCCTGTCCTCGCTATCGTGCGGTTCACTATCTGTGCTACCTGGATAAGCCAGTCCGCATCGCTATCTATTGTCCCGCTACCCCAGGACTTGGTCTTCCCCGGCTTCTTCACTCACCTGCCGCTTCTCCTAAGCTGTCCGGACTGCGACGAGCTGTACTGTTTATAACGTTAGTCATCTTCCAGTCGCTAAAATCCATATTGACCCCGTGAAATCGGCTTGCCGGAGAGCTTCAACTACAACTGTCATCCGCCGTCCTTGGCGCTAGCCCTTCCGTATCTCCCTTCTCCCAACTCATCCTCAAAATTTTCCTCGTCACCCCTCCCATTGTTTCTTTCTTCTCTCCAATTCCCCCCAGAGATCTCTCTTTTGGCTCTTTTCCATATTCTCACAAGCAACCATGAGTTCAGAGTCCAACATCACTGAGCTCGAAATAGAGGAGGTCAGCGAGACCGACAACCTCCTCGATAACAACCTCGACCCCGCCAAGCTCGAGGACGCTGAGGCAGACGAAGCCGAAGAGGAGATTCTCTCCACCGGTGCCCTGCTCACCATCTTCTTCTCTCTCCAAGTCGGTGTATTTCTTGCCGCAGTCGATGGAACCATCGTCGCTACCCTCACATCAAGAATTGCCTCAGAATTCAACGCGTTTCGGTCGGTCTCGTGGATCGTCACTGGCTATCTTATCTCACAGGCCACATTCCAGCCGCTGTATGGCAAGCTCTCTGATATCTTTGGCCGCAAACCAATCTTACTATTCTGCAACGTGCGTATCTCTTTTCTACACTATCTTACCGAAAAAGCTAACCGAGTTTGCGTTCATACAGATTTCTTTCGGTGTTGGGTCGGTTCTATGCGGCGTGGCGCCTAATCTTTGGTGTTTAGTCGCTGCGCGTGTGTTTGCTGGATGTGGAGGTGGAGGACTTTTCACCATGAGTGCGATCGTGCTCAGTGACATTGTTCCCCTCCGACAGCGTGGCCTTCTCCAGGGTATCGGCAACATCGTCTACGGTTCTGGCGCCGCAATCGGCGGAGTTGTCGGCGGACTGATGCAGGAAGCTTTTGGCTGGCGATGGACGTTCGTGATGCAAGGTCCTATCATCGTCCTTTCAGTCTGCGCGATCCTCTTCAACCTGGACCTTCCCAAGACCGAGGTTGACAAGCGTCTGCTCAAGCGAATCGATTATGCTGGCTCCTCCACAATGATCATTGGACTTTGCCTGTTTCTGTTCGGAGTTAGCGCTGGCGGTACCTACTTCCCATGGACAAGTCCTCTCATTGTCTGCACGCTCGTGTCTTCAGTTCTCATCCTCATAGCTTTCGCTTATATCGAGATCTATGTGGCGCTTGAACCAGTGATTGACATTTCAGTCATCAAGAACAGAACCGTCTGTGCGTCTGCTTTGACTGGCTTTAACCTCTCCATGGGATACTTCACAAACATCTTCTACGTCTCAATGTACATGCTTACTGTCCGAGGAGTTTCCGCCACTGATTCTGGAACGACGCTCATTCCCCAGTTCCTTGGTACCGCCTCCGGCTCGTTCTGTGCCGGTCTTTACATGACGCGAACTGGCCGCTATTACCCCGCCTCAGTTCTTGCCGCATGCTGCCTGTTTTTCGGCATGTGTTTCATTGCAAGTGTCGGGTACGATACTCCTCGTCTGATTGTTTCGGCCCTTCTTTTCATGCCTGGATTCGGCGCTGGTATCTACTACACAACAACTCTCGTTGGTATGATTGCCGCGATCCCGTTCGAGCAGCAGGCCGTCTGTACTTCGGTCGTCTACGGTTTCCGTACTATCGGATCAACTGTCGGTGTCGCGATTGCGAACGCCATCTTCCAGAACGTTCTCATCTTGCGCCTGGAAGAAAACATCACTGGTCCGGGTGCTGAGGATATCATCCGTAAAGTACAGGACAACGTCGAGGAGATTGCGCTGGTACCTGATGAGCTGAAGCAGGCAGTTATTGACTGCTTCCTGGCTGCATTCCATGCAGTCATGTACAACACCACATTCCTCTCATTCTGCGCTGGTGTTGCATCTCTTTTCATGAAAGAGCACGTTTTGCACAAGAGTGTTCAGAAGAACGCCCATGTTGCTATGGAATAAATCAAAAGCTACTTTATACTGTCATTAGGGAAACACAAATCCAGGAAGGTTCATTTGTTTGGTGCTCTATCTCACGTTTAGACCATTTGCTGTCATTATCTTTTTTTTTTGATTGGAGTGCGAGGTCGGATATATTCTACAGACCTGTGTTTTCTTGCTCACTTCAGCGTGTATCGGTCGGGTGTCTAGAATGAAAGGATATTCTTCACATACTTTGTAACTGTAGATTCACTATCAAGCTGCGATAACCCCTAACAGTCGAGAGGTTGATCGTGGTGTGTGCACAACCCTAAACCACATATCGCGTCGCGCCCACGCTCTAAACCGCGTCACATAAGTGTACCAGCCTCGTAACATCACGATAGTCATAGGGATCCGAGGCGGCTTTCGACACATTTGCCTCGCGCTCGATCCCTTTTGATTTGTTCTCATGAGCAGCGGAGGGGGCGAAGAAGAGTTTGAGGATTTGTTACCGTCGTCCGATTATGAAGAACTGGCTGCGCTGATTGAAGACGATTTCAACGAAGCACAGAATACATCAGCACAATCTGCAGAACAGTTCCAAGAGATCAACCGGTCTCCCGATTGTACATCTGCATCGATTTCCGCAAGCAGCAGTTTTTCCTCAATGCAGAACTCGCGCACGCAGGTCAACCTCTTTGGCCGAGCAGTCGGCGTTGCTGCTGGCATCACTGCCCGACAGACAAATGCTTTCGTCACCCGCGCACCTCGCCCATTCGAGCCTCTCTACCTCGAATCTCGCCCGCAGAGATCACATCACACTTTGGTTCATGACAGTCTCAAGACCTGGGTTTATCCAACCAACGTTGCGGTCCGCGATTACCAGCGCAATATCGCTGAGCGAGCGATCTTAACGAACACGCTCGTTGCTCTCCCAACTGGTCTGGGAAAGACTCTAATCGCAGCAGTTGTCATGCTGAACTACTATCGCTGGACGAAGGACTCAAAGATTGTATTTATGGCTCCCACCAGACCACTCGTTACCCAGCAGGCCGAAGCGTGTTACAAGATCGCCGGGATTCCCAGAGATGACACAGCCCTCTTTGTCGGGTCTGCAGCATCCCCAGCGGTAAGAGAGCAGATCTGGAACGAAAAGAGAGTCTTTTTTACGACACCGCAAATCCTCGACAACGATCTAAAGCGCGGCACTGTCGATCCTAAAAAGGTCGTCTGTCTCGTGATCGATGAAGCTCATCGTGCCGCCGGAGCCTACTCCTACGTCAATGTTGTTCAGTTCATCAAACGATTTAGCGAAGAAGTACGGATTCTAGCGTTGTCGGCTACTCCTGGATCATCTGTCGAAGCAGTCCAGAATGTGATCAAAAACTTATCGATATCGCATGCCGAGATTCGAACAGAGCTGAGCGACGATGTCAAAGGATTCGTTCGCGGTAGCAAAGTCGAGCATTATTCAGCGGAGCTGACCGAGGAGGGGTTCGCAGTACTAAACAATTTCGGACAGGTTCTGCAACCTATGCTCACTGAACTGAACAATGCAAATGTTTATTTCGTTCGAGATCCGGAGAAAATCTCACTCTACGGTCTTGTGTTGGCACGCGGTGATTTTCAGAAGCAATATGGAATGAGAGGGATGAACAACGGATACAAATGGAAGATCGAGTCGACTTTTAACCTGATCACCCCCTTGGCTCATGCGCTTGGACTTTTGAAGAACCACGGTATCAAGCCATTCTACGAATACATCTCGAATTGGGAGAAAGCGCAACGGTATTCCGATACCGGGAAGGCGAAGAAGCCTGGCAAAGGAGCAACTTCTGTACTCAACAACCCGCACTACAAGCGTATGATGCAACTTGCACAGAAAGCTATTGACCAAGGCGCTGTCAGCCATGAGAAAATCAACTTGCTGGTTGCAAAGCTTGTCGAGTTCTTTACCGACGAAGAAGTGGTCGCTGATCGGTCCAAAGTCATCGTGTTTTGCGAATATCGGTCTTCGGCGTCTGAACTTCTTCGAGTGCTGAGTGAAGTCGAAAGCGTGAAGCCTCATCTGTTTATCGGTCAAAGTTCAGCAAAGGATCAATCAAACATAGAGGCCGGCCAAGGAATGTCGCAAAAGGAGCAGCAGAAGGTATGATATAACCTGTCCATATTTACTTGACCATCTCCAAGATACTAACAATCAATTAGGTACTCGACGACTTCAAAGCGGGAATCTATAACACCCTAATTGCAACGTCGATCGGAGAGGAAGGTTTGGATATCGGTCAGGTTGACATGATTATCTGCTACGACGCCTCTTCTTCACCTGTTCGAGTTCTGCAGCGAATGGGTCGAACAGGTCGGTTTCGAAAAGGAAAGATTATCGCAATCCTTACCGAAAACGAGCGCCAGAGATTTGATCAGGCTTTACAAAAGTACGAAGAGATTCAAAGATCAATCAGCGACATATCGAACTTTGAATTTGTCCCTTGTTCCCGTATCCTGCCGGATGACGTTACTCCGGAGATCGATTTGAGAACGATCGATATTCCGCCTGAAAATGAAGAAGAGCCTACGATCGCAACCACCTCTTCGGTAAAGAAACGGACACGAAAAGCTCCAGCGAAAAAATTCAACATGCCAGATGATGTCGAAACGAGTTTCACTTCCGCGGCATCTTTGTTGGACACTAGCAAGAAACGTTCCAGAGCAAAGGCAAACCAAGAAAACGTTGCTTTTGGCTCGGACGATAGCAGAACACCGTCCAAAATACGCCGAGGACTCGCCTCTGATAAGTCGTCTCCTGCGCAGCAGCTCCTGGCCCAATCAAGAGCCGAGATGATGAACGACTATGGCTTACTTACTGCAGAACAAGAGGAAAAGCTTAATCGCAAATACCCAGATGCGATCAATGATGCCACAGATACAGATGCAAAGGAGTATGACCCCGTTCAAGCCGTTGCTGCCGCTCCAAACGGTCAGGCCGTTGATGGCCGTATTGGAAAGTCTACAAGAACCAAGCAGGTTGAAACATTTGTTGCAGCAGCTCGCTCAGATCATGCAGATTTCATGGAAGATCTGGATGAGACGTTACTGGACGACCCGGACTACGATGTCGTCGAGGGCGAATTCGTCGAAGACATAATCAAAGAGATGAATCAGAAGAGGAACAAAGAGATCGAGAAGAAGAGGACCAATGGAATGGTCGAATTGGATATTTTAATCCCCGGATTCACCATGACCCAGTATACGGACAGGACTGATTTTACGGACAGGACTGATTTGTCCAGCGAGGCTGACATTACTGATATTTCGCAGCTGAGGTTTGACATACAGCGCAAGGGCAAGGAGTAGCTTACTTTATTTAATACATCATGTAGCCATATATTCCTATAATATTCCTCAACTTCTTTAGAATAACAGTTTTCTAAATCTCGTCATTAAACTAAACACAATCCAAAACATCACTCATTCACTTTCTAGAACCCGCACGCGCGCCTCCCTTCTTCTGCTTTTTGGTCGCAGGAGCATCATCATCACTAACAGCGTCTCTGTCTCTACCTTTGGACTTGACGCCTTCGAACTCACGCACAACGGATGTTATCAAAGTCGAGCAACGTCTTGAAATCTCCAAAGGCGTTCTGGACAGGAAAAACCAGTCGAATCTAAACATTGGCGATGACCTGATAGCATCCCGAAGTAGCTCGTATAGGTTCTCACGATCCAGTCCCAGTTTATCCAACTGAACAAGAAGGAATCTGTCTTCCTCCTCTGTGTAGACCTTCTTGGAGTTATTGACCGGGTATATGATCTGCAGTTGCTGCAACGGCGCCTTGTAGCGGTTGATCTTCTGCCGGAGCAGCTTCTGCTGATGATTGAGCTTCCGTGTCCTCTCTTCACCTGCCTCGATCTGGGAAATGTATTTATCGTAACCCTCGATCTCGGTATACCGTTCCCAAAAGACATCACTATAAGCTTTCACTTCGTCGTACGTCTTTCCTTCAAACTCGCTAGCGATTGCTTCGATATTTTCCCGTCCGTATTTGGCGTTCAGCTGGATGAAGTGGGTAAAATCTCTTCGGGACCAGTTACTGAATCCATCGTTTGCGAGACTCTTCTTCTCTTCTTCCTCTTCTTCCGTCAGTGGCTCGGCCTTGTCAATCTCGCCCTGCTCAAATGCTCTCTCGGCCTCGCGCTCGTCAAGATCTTCGTCGTCTCCGTCCGGAAGAGGAACCTTATATCCTTGCTGTTTGCGGAAATAGGCAGTCTCCTTCTCGTGCAATTCAATCAGACGAGCCGGATAGAATTGATGATCTTGAGTATGGACCTGCTTGGGAGCACGAGGAGCCTTAGGAGCTCCGGCAGTACGACCACCAGTTTGGAGAACACCCTTGTAATACTTGTCAACCGAGTAAGTCTGCTCCTTGCGCTCACGCTTTGACGGTTCAATCCAGTTGAACTGCACACCTTGCTTGCGCTTGGCGAAATCCTCGCCGTTCCACTCATAGGCCGAGTCACTGGTGAATTTTTGCAGATCGTCGAGACCAAGCTTGGAATATCTAGCATTCAGCTCGGCAGTACGCGTTTCTGACTTCTTCAAGATCTCGTCGATGTCGTCCATCTGAGTCAGAGTCGACGCTCCCTGCTGAATGACTACCTGCGCACCATGCTGAATCATAGACAAAAGCTCATCCTTCGAAGCTGCGTTCTTGTTGGCATTCTGAGTTCGGCCCTGCTGAATGACCAACTGATCCAGTCTCAGCTTTTGTGCCGCACGCTCAAGAACCTTCTCTTCAATGGCATTTTCAGTCACAAATCGGAAAACCACAACTTGCTTGGTCTGTCCAATTCTGTGAGCACGGTCCATGGCTTGCAAATCTGCCTGAGGGTTCCAGTCAGAGTCATAGATGATGACGATATCGGCAGTGGTAAGATTGATTCCCAATCCACCAGCGCGAGTTGTAAGCAAGAAGACGAATTTTTCAGAGTCGGGCTTGTTGTATTCGTCGATAGCAGCAATACGGTCCTCATGAGCAGTTGAGCCGTCAATTCTGCAGTACTCATACTCTCTAAACAAGCAGTAATCCTCCAAGATATCCAGCAATCGACTCATCTGCGAGAAGATCAGCACTCTCGAACCTTGCGCTTTCAGTCGCTTCAAGAGCTTGTCAAGCATGACCATCTTGCCGGCGTTTTGAACCAAATGCTCATCGGTAGTATAAGGCGGACCGGGCTCGGCACCCTCGAAAAGGTAAGGGTGGTTGCAGCACTTTCGGAGCTGCATGACGATGTTGAGCAAACGAGTTTTGGACTCGCGCTTACCACCCGCACCGTTGACGGCATCGATGTCTTTCTCGAGAATTTTCTGATACCACTTGATTTGCATTTCTGACATGCCGATGTAAACATTGATTTCTAGAGGAGATGAATCGTTAGCACTTAGAGCTTATCAAAAACACATTGGAGCAGTACATACCTTTCTTGGGCAGCAAAGATTTCTCGACATCAGATTTGACACGTCTGAGCAAGAATGGTCGCAAGACCTTGTGGAGCTGCTGCACGACAGTATCTTGATCGGAGTTTTGACTTTCGAACCACTGATCGAATACATTTGAGTCCGAGAAAACATCGGGAAGTAAAAAGTTCAACAACGCCCAAAGTTCGTGCAAGTTGTTCTGCAAAGGCGTTCCAGTAATCAAAAGACGGTTTCGGGAATTGAAAACGCGGATGATTTGAGAAAGCATCGAATCTTCGTTTTTGATTCGATGAGCTTCATCAACGATGATATACTCCCAAGCAAATTTGTTCAAATGGCTCTTTTCACGCAAAATCATCTCATAAGATGTGATACAGACATCAAAATCGCCAGTAAGCAGCCGCTGGCTGATCAACTCTGCGCGGGCCTCCTTCTGACCTTGAAGAACTAGGACGTTGACGGCCGGAGTCCAGTGAGCAAACTCGCGCGCCCAGTTGTCCAGAGTTGACTTTGGAACCGCAACAAGATGGGGCCCCTTGACATCCTTCACAAATCTCAGGTAACCCAAGAAGGAGATTGTTTGTAGGGTTTTTCCAAGACCCATCTCATCAGCCAAAATGCCCGAGATACCATTCTCGTGTAGCTGGATGAGCCAGTTCAGACCTTGGACCTGATAGTCACGCATCTTTCCATCGATGAAGGACGGAGACTCGGTGAAGACTGTTGCCTCTGTACCATCCTCTTCTTCGTCAAGCATCAACTCCGCATCTTCCTCCTGCTCGGTCTTCCGGTGACGACGATCAGCGTTCGACGCTTTCTTGGGCCGACCGCGTTTGCTCGTCACAGCATCAGCAGCATCAGCTTCCTGTAGAATTTCTCGAATTTCTTCGTCATTCTGCGCACGAATGTCGATAAAGTGGCGGAAGAGGTCTGCGCATCATGTTAGTTATCTTTGATGCATTAAGAAGTTGTAATTAGTGTTATCACTCACCAGTCAGACCAATCAGATATCTAAAACGGCGAGCGGAATCAATAACCTGGGCAATCAGGTTAGCATGATCATGTATTGTGAAGAATCCAGGTAACGTAAGAGTAGTAGGTAAGTGGAAATCTATATACGTACTTTCTGCCGATCCAGCTGCTTCTTCTTAGTCAAAAGCTGCTCTTTCGACTTGACTTTTGTAGTCACTTCGGATTCCGACTCCTATAAGCGCCGTTAGAACATCTGCATGCTTGTTTGTGAATAATCGCGACTGGAGAAGACATACATAAGCCTGCTCATCAACATCTTCCTCATCGGTAGGTGGCGCGGTAGACGCGTCTCTCTCGGTTGCCGAAGGTGGTGACATGGCGATTCACACTCAAGAGTAGAGAAATAAATGAAAATATCAGACTCTAATTGTGAAAGATGACCTCTATGCCTGTTGAATTGAAGTACCAAGGAACTGTTGTAGGCTGGGGTCAAGTCGGAGGCAAGAACTGAGGGAGGAAGGGGGATTGAAGGAGTAGAGTGCTAAAGGACGAAGACGCGCTCGCATCCCGGTACCAAATAGGGCTTAGTACCATAACTGACAAATACTCTCCGCAGATGTGCAAAAGAGAAGCCCAACCGTTTAGGCTGTTAAGCCACACGCCGCACGCTCCACAAAGCGTTCGTCATTGCTGGATTGTTTCAATCTGCAAATCTTCACAGCACATACGGGAGCGACCAGCAAGCACAGAGCATATATGGACATGTCGCGGGACGATTCGCAGCTGCTAGCCTCTTTTAAGGAGGCAGCGCTTAGTGTTACAAAGCTTTACCGAGCGGCTTCTAGCGATATCACACAAGCAAAAGAGCGAGGATACAGAGAAGCTATTGACGATGTGCTATCAGTCATAGCATCCGGGCAGGATATCTACGAGTGGGCGCTAGCAAAGAAGTACGCTTTCTCGGGCGATGAGGACTTGAGTAATGCAGACAAGTCTCCGGCAGGCCCACACGACGGCCAGCAAGAAAGCAAACCTCTACAGAGTATCAGCGAGGCCCCCAATCAACCACAACATCAACAGTCACATGGTTCACGACCGGCGGGAATGGACGTAACGATGGCGAACGGAGAGTTTACATTTCGGTCAGACCTACAACTTGACCGGTCATACCAGCTGCCTTCCACGAGTGCTGTTCAGCAAGAAGCTCGCGACTACATGATGATCGCCCCAGAGGATGTATTGTTCCATGCCGTTTCCGCACAGCTTGAAGAGGAACAACTGATAGCTCAACAGAATCAGCACCAGCATCAGCACCAACATCAGCACGAACATCACCAGGATCAGATACAAGGCACTCAGCAAAGTATGGATACACTAGACCATCAGCAGCAGCCTCCACAAAGTCAAGGCTTATTTGGTGGAGTGAAGCGACGGAACGGCGAGTTTGACGATACAACAGACAAGAGTTCTGGATTCAAACGGTATCGGTTTTGATCTTCTTACAGTAACATCATATAGTTTATTTTGTATTTGATTTTATACCTCATGGAGAGCATTTATTTGGGTTTTTATAATCTCTCCGCCTTACTTCACAGTGATATTATATAGTTCTGTTTTGTCCGTGTTGGTTTTGTTTGTGCTAAACGGTTTCCTACACATTTGCATATACGGCTGCTTTACATCTCTTTGTGTTATTTTGTCTCATATGCTCCATCATTTGTTTTATTTTAATTACCGCAACACTTTTGTATTCCATTTTAAGTTGTTCTTGTATATTTCTTTTTATATCAACGAGGTTAATACATTCCAAGTAATACCAGTTTTAATATCTAGTTTAGCTCTGGGTACAAAAAGTCGGTCATCAGGTCCATGTAATAGAACGACACAAAGTGGCCTGTATCCTCCTGGTGGTAGTAGGCAATGTCGTTATTCGGCCCGTACTTCTCGATCCACTCCTTTGAAAATTTATCGGGAACGATGGTATCCTGCTCGCCATGCAAAATCAAGATTCTCTTGCCCTTGATAGAAGTAAGAAGCTCATCGCGCTCGAGATACAGCTTCTCGAGAGATTTCGGCCATTCAGGGCAATCAGGGACTTCAGCCACGGATTTGTATCCTCCAAGTCTGTCAATCAAAAGATTCGTAAGACTGGTGGTTCCAACTATCGGAATCGCAACATTGATCTTTGGCTCCTGCGCTAGGAGGTTCCAGGTAACATGGCCGGAAAGAGAGACGCCGGACATGATGAAGTCCTTCGGAACGAAATTGCCAACGGTATAGGACTCGAGATACTTGATGATTGTACGAACGTCCATGCCGATACCATCTGAGCAAATATGTTGTTAGTATTAATCAAATTATCAAATTGCGACGAATGAACACAAACTTACCGACCATGGAAAGCATGTCTTGACTGCATGATAAATTAGTAAATGTCGTCATACATATCAACGACGAGACAATCTTACGCATGAGTTGGGTTCCCATTCTTCCACACTTCACTGAATAACAAAAAATGATCCGTTAGTTTGTAGACCAGTTTTGGGGATATAGATGTGCAGCATTACATCGATCGCGAGTCAATTGCTCGAGTACCGTGGTTACGATTGTCCATTGTCGCAACAACAAACCCTTTGGTATGACCCTTTTGCGCCAGATTATGAATCAATTGATGAGCCAAGTTCGCAGAGTCCACGTGCGAGCGAGTACGGCCATGGCAGGCAAACAAAACAGTGACGTTCGAGCGCTGTGCTGCAGTAAGCTCATTGACTCCGTACAGATAGACCAAGATACCGGCGATATTTATCGTGGTTTCTGAGGCACGCGGAGTTGCATCCGGAAGCACGAATCGTTGATGGAGAAGTTCGGGGGCAACCATCTTAACTCAAAAAAGGTATAGATAATGCTACTGGTTGTAAATAGTTATTGACAATACAGAATCTATGACGATAACGAATATCGATAGTTGACCGCCGCGGCGGTTGGTAAGCTGCTCGCTAGGTTGACAAGAGCCGCACGTTCGTCGCGGCTTATTGAACACCGCAATTCTCGGCACGCCCTCGACTCCTCTCCTTCCTGCACCACAACAACACCAACCTCATGGCATCCCAAATTCCTACATCCCCTGAACCTGCAGAAGGTAACCGGGCATCAGCAGATCTTCCGATGAACCCATTAATAGCAGCGCATCTGGATCCTATCGCGAATCAATACGGCTCAAGCACAAAACACCCTGGCAACGGATCGACCTCCTCCTCTGCTGCTGCCGCTGCCGGGAGTGTGACCGCCTCGGGTGCCCGCACTTCTATATCATCATCAACAACACGAGAACCTTACCGATCGTATCGGAAAAAATATCGCAAGCTGCGCCTAAAGTTTGATGCTGCGATGCGAACAAACGAAGATCTCACAAACCTCGATGTCTCTGCCAGACGAAGTATCAGACGATTGAACGGTGAAAATTCGCGACTACTAGACCTCCTCATCGATCTCACAGAATCAGGACATATAGAGGAGACTCTCTTAGTCAGCGGTATCGATGTCGAAGGCAACAGTCCTGAAGAGATAGAACGCGAGAAAAAGATTCAGGAGCTGTTGGCCAAGCCAACGTTCACACAAAAGAAGAACGGAGACGATTCCAAAAATGGCGACGCCGCTGAAGGAGACTCAACCGGAGAGAACGGACATGCCTCGGGTGCGAAGAACTCTGTCGGATCGGACGCAGAGGATCATGCATTTCTGAATGAACAGATGATTATGCTACAGAACGACTATGAATCAGATTACTAGTATTGTGAGGGGCGGTGTTGTATTTGCGTCAAAATACTGGAGTTTTATTTTTTTGTGTTTTGGGTTTACGATACAATGTCGAGGTTTTTGTATATATATGGATTTTAATTTGGCCTTTATCTTGTGCGTTAATTATATAATTTGAATTACTGACGTGAGGTCAAAAATATGCATTAGCCCAACAAATTGACATGCGGCGTATTTCTATCGGAAAATTAGACGTAGTTCAGGAGCATCAACAAGGGGCCCATTATCGGAACAAACAATGACGCCGAGTTCATGGCAGCAGCGGCAGTGGAGGAGGTGGAAGCAGCGGATGACGTGGCGGAGGCAGATGATGAGCCGGTCGCGGAGGTTGAAAGAGCGGAAGAGCTGGCGGCAGAGGCGCTTGATCGAGTAGTAGAAGCAGTCTTTGCCGCAGCGACAGATGCAGATGACGCGGAGGCTGCAGAGACGGCAGCGGCAGAAGTCTCTGCGCTGGTCACGTCGCTGATGATGGAGAACCCATCAGAGTAGATAACGGTATCAGGGTCATCGGACGAGACGATGGCAAAGTAGTAGTCATCACCGTTCGCAGTGCCGGATGGAATGACATAACCTATGCTGCCGGTGTTTTCGATCGAGGTGGCAACGGTTGAGATGTTTTGCAGGCTATCAGTGCTTTTGCCTTGCATCAGATAGACGCTAACATCAGACACATCGCTGTCGACTTTCCAAGTGATGACCATAGTGCTGCCGGCGTCGTATTCCTCACCCTCGGTCGGATAGTAAGTAGTTGACGAGGAGGAGTTGGAGACGGAGAAAACATCAGTGTAGTAAATATCGGTCTCGTCTTCCTCGGGAACTAGAGCAATGACATAGTCATCTCCAGTTGAAACATTCGAGGGAACACGCCAAGTGATGGCACCACTGTTTTCAATGTCGGAAGCAATCGTATATAAGACCGTATCCTCATCGCCCGACTTTTCGAGGTAGAACGAAATCAAAGAGGTGGAAGAGGATGACGAGTTCCATGATATGACTGAGGACTGTCCGACGGTCACGACGTCGCCGTCAAGCGGTGCAGTGAAAGTGTATCCGGACGACGACTTTGCAGCAGCTGCAAATCCAAATGCAAGACAAAGTAGCGATTGAGTAATGAATCCCATGCTGTTGATTTTTCTTTTATAGTGGTCTCTTGTGCCTTTCCACTTGCGTTGGTGTAGGATATGGAGGTTGTAGATATATGATGGTGGCCTGGTCGGCGGTCGGCAGCGAACAAACCGAGATAGCCTTGCGACATTCTTCCTAATTGGGCAAAGTAAGGTGATTGGACGTCCGAATTGAGCCGGCTGTGCAGTTAGGCTGCAGTTAGCGGTTGGAGTGCGACAAAGAAAGCAGAAGGGGTTTGTATTTTGATTACGAATTAGGGTGCCTTGGGCTAATAACGTGACTTTGCGTAAATTGCAGAGCGTATATCTTACTCAGCTTAGGAAGTCTTGTAAATCAGAGTATTGCGTACGATACAAAACGAGGATACGATAGTCTGGACAGCTGTCAGTCAAGCAGGCTCATCAGCGCTACGACGCCAAACTAGTCCGAAGAGAATAGATGACGACACGCCACATGGCGATAGTTGGTTGATACACGCGGCCTGCGCTATGAAGATCGGCCATTGTTTGAAGCCGATGCCGATGCCGATGCCGACGCCAAGAGGGATTTAGAGAAAAGATGGAGAGAATGACGACAGTTTTTTGCAGGGTGCTTGGTTATAATCATCCGCAATATGCACAATGGTATTGAACGTTCGGGTATGGTGGGGTTCATCGATATTCGACGGGAGCCCGACAGGTACAAGAAGAGATTGATTTGACAGAACGGCAGTTATCAAGGTTTTCTGCCCAATATGTAGCGAATAGATAGGTTGATAGCTAAAACAGTCTCGCTGCACGAATATTTTGAGGCCTCTGGAGCAGCCAGCGAGACAGTAGTTTCGATGCAATATCATTAAGACTGCAATGCGCTAGCATATTTGGTATTTCAGGAATGCTCAGAATAGTGCAATCTAGATTATGATCTGTTTGGAGATAAGATCGACTGTGCAGGACTGTTTGAGAGTGACCCCGTGTTTGCGCGTAGACCATAAATAGTATATAGAGCCGTACGGTTTGGGAGGGCGTGGTGATCTTGGTACGCAGACGAAACGCAAGCAGCGAGCTCGGTTGGTGGGAGCCGAGGGGAGATTGCAAAAATAGGGCAGCGGTCAAATGTGGAATAGCGTTGGTATTAAGAATTCCAGTAAGTAGAAACAAGGGGAAGAGAGAAGGGGGAGTGGAGCAGGTGCAATGGGGACGAAAGCGCAGATGAGGACGATATAGGCGTATCAGGAGATTGTATATTATGATATAGGGTTGCGAACGCGAAGGACGAAACAGTGCGCGCGTGCACAATACGCCGGTGCATGGTTACCAGCCGCAGGTCGACAGAAATGGAGAGACGAGGGGGGGAGGGCGTATTGTTATAGTGCAGCATAATATCAGAAGAGGTGAAGAGGAGTGCACGAGGCACAGAACAGAGCGGGCAGACGAGCCAAAGCAGTAAACAAAACCAGCAAATAAGATAAAATGAAAGGGGTCTGCGAAATTAGCCGTAAGCCGCAGCAAAGAGCGCCAGGCACCAGGGGCACGATGTCCAAACCATGTTCGCCCAGCACCGGACTCTATCGGCTCATTGGCCATTTCACACGCCATCCACAGTCACTGCCCTCGCAGTCCGCCTGGTGCTCCTTCAAAACATTCCCTCGCCTTCCTCCGTCGCTTAGAGCCCTGCGCTGAACCACAAACCCCCTTCTGGACACCCGTCCGCCGTCCGCTACCCGCCGCGACTCACCTGCAGCCCGCGAAACCTTCTTTGCCCACGCCCTCGTCTCCCCTCTGTTTACCGATTGTTTTTATATTCTTTTCCCTGCGCTTCGCCGCCCGCCCTCCGCTTCACCGCCCATCCACATGCCATCCCATGCTCTTCTCCCCTTCCCCTCCATCGGCCTCTGATACAGCTATCTCTCATGGGCGGCGCACGTCGCCTCATCATGCGCCAGAAAATGGGCGAAGTGCTCACGGCGGACGAGCTAGCCCTACTAGAAGAATACCGGCTCAAAGAGCGCATTCGCCAGCGCAATATCCGCGAGCGCCATGACCGCCGGCCGGCTGGCCAGTCCCTGTCTTCTACACCCCAGTCGTCTCACCGACGCAAATCTACATCTCCTCGTCTGCCGTCGGACAGCGGCCGCAACAAATCCCACAAATCCGGTCCGTCCGTTCCTGACCCGGCTGCCTCCAAACCCCAATCATCATCAACAAAAGCTCCGGCACCGGCCGACTCCTCCCCTTTATCATCAGAGTCGCGCAACATCATGAACATTGGCAGTGTTCTACAGGATACATCCACCAACCCGAAGCAGGAGAACATCAGCAAATCCGCTCCCGCTCCAGAGACCACTTTCCAGATACCGAGACCGTCCACTGCCTCTTCGCCACCACCACCACCACCACCGCCGCCATCCGATCAGCCTGCAGTGCTGCCACCTCCACGACCTATCCAGCCTCCACCTCTACAGCCATTAATCACACAAGCCTCTCCTCCCGTCCTACACTATCCACCACACCGTCCCGGCCCTGCCTCCCATGTGGATGTATACCATTCGCTATATCCTCGTGAGCCGCTCGTCTCTACTCCCTTGAGCTCAGACGACCGGGAGCCATTAGTACCATACACAGTCATGATCCCCGAAAGTCTGGCCGGACCATTCTACAGTTCGTATTGTGGTATGAAGGACCCTCATTCGTTCAATCGTCGCAACTAGGCTAACCCACCTCCAGCATTCATGACCGGCAACTTTCACACTCCTGCCCCTATGTCGGCAGCCGGCGTGGTTCCGGTTCTATATCCCCCTACGCTCCAGCCTGCACCATTGGACCCCAACTATTTGCATCGTCATCATCCAGCTTCTGGACCCCAGTCTGATCCCATCAGCCTGCCATCTCCCTCGGCCTCAGCCTCATCGTCTTCCTCTAGACCACCAGCAGCGGCACCTATGGATCCAGAAATGGCATATTCGCTACAGTCACGCGCCCGAAGATAACCACTTTATTAAGAACAAAATGAGAAAAAAATAAGGAGAAAAATGAGAACGGATCTGATCCCATATCACCGGAGCTCCGCGATGTATCATATCACGTTGTCGTTGATGTCAGAATGAATACTTAATTTACGCTTCACGACTACGTTTGTTTGACAGCTAAGTTATTACATGACAGAGAAGTTATGTGAATCTTACTCTTCGTCTGCTATAAAGAACAAGAGTGCTGGATTGTCACTAAGCGACCGTCCTGAGCTCAAGAAGCCAGAAGCGTGTGTATTCAATCTATTTTGTAATCTATAATCATTAATTATTAATATAAATATATGCAAGTGTATTCCAGATGTCATTACTAATTCGGCTTTTCCCTATTCGAACCAATATCGACCAAGGCAGAGATAAGCAGGAACGAGGCTAATGCGTTGTATAGATCGAGCAACTAAACTGTACGTGCATATTTACTATTTTGGCTTGGAGAGTACCAGACCCTATATTTCTTACAATTCAGGAGTGGTTCGAACGCAGCTTAGGCGGTTTCAGGTCATCAACACAAAGAGATCTGACCAGCCCTCAGGGTCGCTAACCCAGTTAATGAATAATTTATGCTCGTTTCCACCTCAACCTTATCACATGATCTGCTCTAGCCTTTACTAAATGTTAGCGCCGTATGCTTAAGAATCGTAGTAGTAGTAGTAACTAGCTAGTGTTGAATAAATAAAGGACGATGAGCAAACCGATGGATTAGAAGCAAGCGCCCGCCTTACGTCAGCTCACGACTAATCGAGAACCGGGTCATACCAAGACTATTTAGAGTTTCAAATCTCGCCGAATATTATGCTTATTTCAACAGCCTTTGTAATATTCGCTCGCTGCTCCTAGGTTTCACGAGAATACTCGTTTCTGCACCGTTGTCTCATCTCAAAGAGCGATATTATTCATAACCCTAACGCTACTGGTCTGACAGCTATCCTGGTCTGACAGCTATCAATAACATGCCGTATGGCGGTCGACAACTGTAGAATCCCAATCCCGGTCGAGGCACGACTGTAATCCTGGCGCGTCCAAGGAAGGACTTAAGACGCGACTAATAACAGACAGCAGTAGAAGTAAGCGACCACAAGGAGCTGTGTAAACTATACAGTAGGAAGTTGAAAAGCAGAATGGAGATATAAAAACACAAACAGCGAAAGCAAACTGACCGTAGTTGGCATGGTAAGTTTGGTAGTCTCGACTGACGCTGCTGAGGAGGAGTTTGACGAAGTACTCTTCATCTGGGCGCGACTGAGACTTGAACTGCAATGTTCGGACGAGTGGTCCGCAGCCTAGCGCGTTCGAGGTGGCTGGATCGAGTGAAGTATGTGAGCGCGTAGGCAGAGGCACAGGGAGCGTACGAGAGGAGGGAGGCAAGCGTAGGGTAAGCATCGAGGCAGAAAACGAGAAGCAAAGTCGAAGGCAAACGCGGGACTCAACAAACCCTACACAAACAAAGCAGCAGCAAGTAGCAAATAGGTAGTAAGCGACAATCAACTTGGAACGCAGACAGACCGTGTCTGAGGAGGAGGAGGGAGGGAGGTTGAGCAAGCAAGTGAAGGCCAGCGCTGGTCGACGCTACTCGGAAGCTTGGCGAAGGAGTGCGCAATTGCGCCGGGGGTGTTTGATCAGGCGGTTATAAAAAAGACTGGGTCGGTTAAGAGCAAGAAACGAGACATGATGATGATATGAACCATGTAGAACCATCGTTCTCATAGATCTGAGGAGGGCATACGTTAGGGTTTCTGTTTCTTCGGACTCCTCCACTCTGCTCTGCTCTGTAACCTACTAATGGCTGTTGAGCTCGCTTGCATATTCTTCAGGGGGTTTGTGTAGCTCGCTCCTTGTTCAATTCCCAATTGTCTCCACACACTTGTTCAATTCCCAACTGTCTCTACACACCTCAGCTCAGCAGGTACAGGGCCGCCCTTGTTCGAACAGGGCACAAATGGCCAGCATAAAAGGCACCACTCGCTCCACCTACCCTCTTCTCCTCTTTCTTCTTCACCTCTCAATACTTCCCCACCTCAGCACCCACCTTCCCCGTGTCCCTATCTCAAACAATTACGGCTGTCGGCAAGAAGAATACACGTTCTTCTCGTGCATCGCAACATGCTGCTGCGAGCCCCAAGCACGATAGCCGGCCAAATCCGACGCACTCGCTCTCGCTCTCCTCATCGCAAAGCAACTCAGTGACCGAGAGAGGCAGCGGTCGTCACCCACCCCGCGATCGCGACGAATACTACGACAACGAAGCACGATGGAAAGAGCACAACAATGAATTTCATATTGACAGGGTGCTCCTTTTCTCGCCTCTTCCTGACTCTCATAAACATGATGCCCTCAAACGCCGAATACGACAATTTCGCCTCTCGTATTTGCAAAGGCAACAATCAGGACCAGCTGGGCAACGGATGAACCGCAGGATCGAGTCCGGGTTACCGTTTTTAACTGCCTATGATCGCGCTTTCTAGAAAAGATTTTCAATCGCTGGTTATCAAGGCTTCGCTGTATAGCAGCCAACGTATTGTATAATGCTCCTATGATCCCTTGTCTTTTTTCAAGCCTTACTGACTTTCCCTTGTTCATCTAGCTGTCCCGCCGCAGCGTATCCCATCCTGGAACGAACCAGAAGAGTCCTATACTTCGACTACTACTCAGACTAATACCCCAACATCTCATGAGATGTTCTCATGAGAGAAGTGATCTACCTCGACCGTATATCTGTCTTGCCATTGTACAGATTATTCTTGCTGAAGTCATCTCATCGAAGTACCTATTGGTATCTGTCTAAAGAAGTCACGCTACAGTCTGTCTGCACCCTCTTCCCTGCTGTACGGTCATCACTGAATGTTAGAATCATTGGCCTCTGCAAAGTACCAGCTCGGAATACCCTCCAATCTTTCCTGTGAAACAGGGTTATCTTTTATCCCGCCAAAAACCAAAAAAAGTACTGACTCGCGCAGAGCTGGAGGCGAATCATTATTTACCGGGCTCTGTCGCTTGGTTCTTGCGTGTGTAATAGCTCGTATCGTTTTCAATTCATCATCCTTTTAGTCTCTGAATTTTGGTTTTGCTTTTCCTTTTGTGTTTTTCTTTGCATCTTTCCAATAAACCGGGAGTCATTGGGGATCATCTCTTATGCCATTTGATTGCTGGTGGCTCCCTTCACCTCATATTTATTTAATATGTAGCCATATTCGTAGATCGCTGTATAATAATACCGCAGCATTCAGGGTTTACACCAACCTTTGATCTTGTAAGGTCCATCAATATGCAATGACATTTTGGAAAGAGCTGCATGTCACAAGTTTGTCATTGCTTCCTTGTGTAGGGTTTGCTGCTCTTGTGCGCTCTTAAATGATGATGATGATTTACAGAAGTGGTGTGCTCAAGCGCTCAGCTCAATGCGATATCAGCAACTGTCGACATTGGTTTAATGAATCCCTAATATTGGGATTTATTATTAATATTGAGGTTTAAGTCCCAGAAATAACCAAAGAAGTGATCAAAGTCGCCAAAAGAGAGGAATTGAAGCAATCTATGGTGGGATTGGGATTTCTACAAAGCAAACCCTAATTTTGAGGCCATGTTCTCACTTCCCAGCAACTCTCTCGTGTTCAAGAACAGCTCGAACAGCGCGAGGTACCGTCGCATCATTAATATATCGTGCATGATTTTAATAATTTAACAACGAATCTAGCCTGTATGGATATGTTGTTACCGGTTTTACGAATACAAGAGACAGGAAAGGAGAGGCCGGCGGCAAGAAGAATGACTATCTTGCTAGTTTCCGGTCAACAAGGCTTCGACTTGCACAGCAATCACGGCCTTCTTTCCGTACCTGACGAAGCCACCCTTTTCCCTTTATCTTTAGCTACCATGTGCGGCCTTTTGCCTTGTTTGCTTGCTATGCTTGGTTATAAAATGTACGTCCCGCGCCCTTCTTTCCTTTCTTCTTCTCTCCCCCCTCATACCTTTCCTTTCGATCAGCACCTCGTTCCCAACCTTCGGCTCTCCCAACGACCATGGCTTCTTTTGATCTTTATAGTGACCAAGCTGTCCTTGGTCTTCTTTTCTCTTCCACTTTTCTCGATCCTGTGCCGCCCACGGAAAGTCCACCAGCGTACGAACCTGTTCAAGGACACGAAGTCATAGACCACTCCCTTGATTCGTTTGCTCGTTCGGCGGATTCCGCTCCCTCCCGGTTCACACAGCACATTGGAGTCTTTTGAACTCTGACTCCCATTTGACTTCAACTCTTTCTGAACTTTCAAAGATCTACCACCCGACAGGCCTTCGAACGCATGGTCAGGTCAACACGCCTTATCCCGAGCGGCTTTTGAGGAACGAAAGCTGGCGCTTAACTCGAAAACATGTCCACGGTCACCTTCTTGCTTCTGTCAACAGAGATCGACGTTGATAGCTCTTCGTTCGAATTGATCCCCTGCAAGGCAGTGGCAGACGGTCGACTCAGCCTTCGCCAATCGGACTCCGGTTTGATGACCTTGATGCGCGACTACGAGCGTTTCAATCATCTCAGTCGCTGGTATACCATCTATCTCTCGATTGACCCCGACTACCGACAGATCAGACAAGAGTGGGTCGGCGCCGCTCTCCTACAGCTAGAATTGCCATTGTCTCGAAACACGCACATGCGCGAAGAGTGCGAGCGTTTCTTGGGCGGCCTTGCTAGAGTCGATGAAGTCGGCTACGGCTACGAGGTCGATGTCCTCGTCACTGCTTTGTACAGCAAGCTATACTTTGAGGATGAACTCGTATGCCCTAAGTATACCAAGCGCGTTCCGAAACAAGGATACCGAAGAATCCATCTCCAAGGCGGCTTCAATATGTTTTCAGATGCACTGGAGCGCTCCTTATCCCCCGACGATCACTACGATGTACACCGGGTGTGCACAGAAATAATTTGGTTCAAAATGCTAACGTCAAGTCAGCGCGAAATGTTCCAGGCGCTGGACGATGAGATGAGAGCCGTTTTCTACATTGTGCATCCTGAGCACGCGCCTCCATCTTATAACCCGGAACGTCAACAAACCCCAGTTGAGAATGACGAACGATTAGGCGCTGTTGGTTCTCCGTTGTCTGCGAGCAGTCAGGCTAACCCACCCAAGCGCGTCGCCGACACGGATGCAGATGCAGACCTGCACCCGACCTGCACCCGGTTAAACGACGACGATGCTTGTCTGGTAGCGAAGGAGACCACAGACGCTGCCCCTTTAGTTAATTCGAGTCTGCGAAAGTTACAGGTAGTGATTGATCACGGGGATGAGTTTGGAGGATAACATCACATGGACGATCGCAACGAGTGTCGTCTCTAGCTCTTGTCGACCCGTCTGATCCTTTTAGTTTCCGCGCGCTCACTCGTTTATCTGTTTTTTCTGTCTGTGTGTCTGTCCTTCTGTCGGCCTGTCTCAAGCGTCTGCTGTCGGCATTGTATTATGTGAACGTTCTAGACGTAGGGTAGCAAGTGGGAGGGGGGGTCCTAGCCATAGTCCCACATGGGTAGGGGTGGGGATTAAGAGCAAGTGGGAGGGGGGGAGTCCCACATGGGTAGGGGTGGGGATTAAGAGCAAGTGGGAGGGGGGGGGGGGGAGTCCCACATGGGTAGGGGTGGCGCGCCTGCCAGCTCTGCTTCGATTGGCATTATCACTGTCATTATCGCGTATTTCCTGTTTTGTCATCGGCTCAGTATCTCCTGTTTTGTCATCGGCTCAGTATCTCTTTTCTATGTGTCATTGTCCCAGGATCTCTTTTCTAAGCTCTGCATTATTCTCTTTATTAGTCATCATCTAGACATCGTCGCTATCAAGTCTTTATCAACAGTCTACAGTATTCTCTATTTGCATTTATTAGTCATCCATCAGCCGGAGAATCATTTCGACAAGTCTTTATAACAGTCTCTAGTCTGCATTTATTAGTCATCCATCAGCCGGAGAATCATTTCGACAAGTCTTTATAACAGTCTCTAGTCAGCCATTAGCCGGACACAAAGGCTCGCTACACGGTTCTATTCAGTCTTTATAATTTATTAATTATAGAAGTATAGAGTAGTAAAACAGACAGTGGTTTGCAGCGCTGGCAAGGCCTTGTTCTTGATCGCAGCTGACAAGAGTGGATCAGCACTCGTCCACAAGCTGACAAGAGTGGATCAGCACTCATCGACGAGCTGACACGAGTGAGGAGCCTGGGCGAGCAATCGGCAGCACTCATCGACGAGTTGACGCGGACAGTCAGCACTCACCACGAGCCGACACGAGTGGAAGCAGGCAGCACTCATCGACGAGTTGACACGAACAGGCAGCACTCGCCGCGAGTGGAAGTAGCCAGGCGAGCAGGCAGCAGCGTGGGGAGGTTGACGACATGTTGAGGCCTTGGCGGAGGGCTTATCTGGCAGGACGGTAGTATGATACAAACAAAGGCAAAGGAGGACAATCAGACCAGAAGTTAGCACACACTGAGAGCGGAGAGCTTGACGGCGAAACAATGAGGGAAGAGCGAAGAGCTTGACGACGAAACGAGGGAGAGCGAAGACGCTGAGAGCGGAGTGGCGGAGCAAAGAAGAAGAGCAAATGGGGCGAGAGGTGGACGAGGCGGCGAGACCGTCCTTTATCTAACTTGTCCTTGTCCTTATCTCTATCAGGTGAGGGGTTTTCGGAGGAATGTTGCCAAGCTGAAACAGTCGGGATGTCGGATAGCGCATTGCTGGGGGCAGTGCTGTCGCGGGGAATGTGACGCGATAGAGTTTGAGTGCAGCCCGCCCACGGCACTCTTCGACATCGAGCTCTTCGACATAGAGCGGCGATCCCGGCGACGACCAGAGACTACGTGAGGACGTCAACAAGAGTGGTCAAGAGTGAGAGGAAGCTTAGGGAGAGCGGGCCAGGGAGGCAGCGCTCTTGGAGCACGCGCAGTGAAGCGGGCGAGAGCGAGTGAGGCGAGAGCGCAGGAGTCCCAAAGCTTTGGTAGACGCGTAGTGACGTCGGCACCCCGGCGATGAGCGAGGAGATAAGATGCGATGCGATAACCGGATCTTTATCAGACAAACAACAACAAAACGCGACCAACAGGAGCAGACAGAGGCGACGAGCGTAGGTGAAAAGTAGACTAAAAACAAGCTAAAAAATGAACGAAAAATCAATGCAAAAATCAAGGAAAAGTAGGGGGAAGCGGGGGAGCAGGAGGAGGAGAGGAGAGCAGGTGTAGAAAGTGGGGTATGAGGTGGTGTATGAGAACAAAAAAACGGGGTGTAGGGGGGAGATTTTGCTGAGGAGTGGAGTTTGGGAAAACAACCACACTAAAGTCGACATAGAGGCGCAACAAGACAAGTAAGAAAAATATTAAAAAGAGGAAAATGAAGCGGAAAAAATGAAGAACAATCTAAAGCTATTTATGAAAGGAAAAGAGAAGAGGAAGAAGACGGAAGTGGAGAAAGGAGCGCAGGACGATGGCCCAGTGATCTTCTAAACGACGCGGCCGACGTCAAGTAAGGGTGTAGCTACGCGGAAAACTACATAAGAACAGGGGTGTAGCTACGCGAAAAACTACATAAGAACTACAAGGAGAATAGTGCATCAAATCGACGGAGTATATTCAAATATAGAGACAGCAATCAGATATATAGACCGAGGCCAGGTCGCGGCTGGCGAAGAGGGGTGGGCGCAGCGGCAGTCAAAGGGAGTCGAGCGAACACCAGGAGTTGTGCTGAGAGTGTGCTGGAAGTGAGAGGTGTGCTGAGAGTGAGAAGGTTGCTGAGAGTGAGAAGGTGTGCTGAGAGTGAGAAGGAGTTCGTCAGCGTGGCTAGGTGAAGCAGAGCAGAGCAGGAGGCGAGGACTCAACCAGATCAACGTCGGCTGGGCGTAGAAAAGCAGATCAGCACGTCAGGACTCACGAGGAGGTGCGAGAAAAACGCAGCTCCTGGACTGGCGTAGCAACAGCAAGAGCAGGAAGGAATGGGAGGAGAAGCGCAGATGAAGAGGGAAGAGAAAGTGCAGAAAGCAGATGTGGTGTGAAAAATCTCAGATAAAGTTTGTTTTATAAACCTTATCAGTGACGTCATTGCTGCATCGTCGTCCCAAGATCTGAGCGCTCATCTCGCTAGGAGCACTCATTCTCAAGGTCTGGGAGCACATTACACAAAGATTTACTACAAACACTACAGTGGCTGACGAAATCAGCAGCAGGAAGCCTAGGCAAGTGGTGAGTAAGCCGGTAACTCAAGACAAAAGCAAACTCAAGACAAAAGCGCGACGATCTGGCAGCGACAGGAATCGTCAAGGCAAAGGAGTTAAGCATCCACCCAGCGAAGGGCACGTATCCTGACAAGAGGGGAGGAGTTGATGAAGTGGCGTGAGTAGCTGAAGGACTTGAGGCCAGGATGATTACTGCTGGGTGATTAGCACTCGGGCGCGATCGACGCATACTGACCAGTGGACCCGCAGATATCGATGCGACTCGAGGCCAGGATGATGACTGCTGGAGGGTGGTTAGCATCTTGACGCGGTCGACGCATAGATAACGACCAGCGAACTCACCCGCAGATATCGATGATATCGATGCTTGGTTTGGACGACTGATACTTGGGAAGACGAAAAGGGCAGACTCGAGGCCAGGATGATGACTGCCAAGGGTGGTTAGCATCTTGACGCGGTCGGCGCATATATACTGAGCAGTGGATTCAAGCAAGGGCAGACTCGAGGCCAGGATGATGACTGCCAAGGGTGGTTAGCATCTTGACACGGTCGGCGCATATATACTGAGCAGTGGATTCAAGCAAGGGCAGACTCGAGGCCAGGATGATGACTGCTGAAGGTGGTTAGCATCTTGACGCGGTCGACGCATAGATAACGATCAGCGAACTCACCAGATATCGATGTTTGTTTGAAAGATGAAACCAGGAGGATTGCTGGTAAGCAGCTGGGGAGCGCTTAGCGCAGAATAAAGATGACATGTTCCAGTGGTTTATTCGGTCCGACTCTCAACCATGTAGCGTAAGAGTGAGAGAGAGCAGATGAGGAGGACGCGACGGATGACTTAGTAGCAAGTACAAGTAAACAAAGACGCAAATGGCAGGCATCGGCCGGGGAGCAGCCAAGTGATTGATAAGGCATGATCAGGCAACGCCGTAAGATCCTTAGCGTGGCCGGGGAGCAGCCTAGCGTGGCCGGGGAGCAGCCGATGATTGGAAGGCAGCCAGTGATTGATAAGCCAACGCTAAACGAGCTCCAGATATAAACAGGCAAGCCTCATCGCCAGAAGAATGTGATCATATCAGACATCACTAGTACGCCCTATGGACCATTGCAGCAATTTGGCTGGGAAGCAGCCGATGATTACCAAGACGACGCCAAACGAGCGGTTTAAGAAGAAAGCCAAGCATGATCCAGCCGCCACACACTCGCAAAAGTAATTATGTGTTTGAATTAGTACGCGTCTTAATTAGTACGCGTCCTATCGTCCTTAGGACTGGCACGCGTCCAGGAATGCTTGGAAAGTGCCGTCCAACGCGCAGGGCCTTTGATGTATCCAGGCAGCTCGATGCGTCCAACTCTGGCCCCCAAACATACACAAGTCGCTTGTACTCGACCGGCTCTACTTGTCATAGCGATAACTGATCTGTACGTGTTTGTGATCTTTCTATTCAAGAGTTCAGGACTAATGATGCTCCGGTCTAGCTTGTTCGACGCGCTCAACTCTGGCCCAAGTCACTGCGGTGTATAGTGATAGTGAATATTGACCGGTATGTGTGTGATGCTTCCTTACTCAAGAGTTCAGGACTAACGATGCTGGCACGTCTAGGCTGTTCGACGCGCTCTTCTCTGGTCCAAGTCACTGCGGTGTATAGTGATAGTGAATATTGACCGGTATGTGTGTGATGCTTCCTTACTCAAGAGTTCAGGACTAACGATGCTGGCACGTCTAGGCTGTTCGACGCGTTCAACTCTGGCTCAAGTCGCTCTGTTGTATAGCGATAGTGAAGTGATCTGTACGTGTTTGTGGTTTTTTCTATTCAAGGGTTCAGGACTAACGATGCCATGGTCTAGGTCTACAATATGTCCGCCGACACGCTCTTTGACTTCTTGCCTGAGTACAGACTCATTGGGTGTAAGAAATGCCGTCACGCAGTCATGCCTGACGAAGTTCCCAGACACTTGCTGAAGAAGCACAAACTTCGAGGCCCAAATGTGCGGGAGCAGATTAAGGACCAAATTCTCGACAAATGGCCGACTGTGAGGACCACCATCGCGGAGTTCACTATGCCAACCGGACCTATTCCACAGATTCCTCAGCTTGAATTGGAGAACGATAAATACAGGTGCACGGTTTGTGAAGATCCAGCCACCGCCTTTCTTTCATCGAATTTAGGCGAGATTCAGAAGCACTGGAATTCTCAACATAGAGCAACATTTTCCCCTGGTTCCCATGGAGGCGTTAGAGAGGCAGGGGTTAGCACCAAAGCCGAGCGGTATGCGGGGGGGTGCGTGAAGATTTTCAGGCAAAGGTTTTTTGCAAGCAAAGATCAGTCAAACTACGTTGAGGTCATTCCCATGCAGGACCCAGACAGCGCCGAAAGCGCCGAAGTCGTGCAGGAGCAAGAAAAAAAGTCGGACGAGGAGCGGACTATGCTTGAGTACAACAAAGCCGTTGCAGAGTCTGTGCAAATGTCTGGTGATGGTGACCCAGAACCCAATGATTGGCTGATCCATACGAAGTGGCCTAAAGTTATTGGCCGCAGAGATCACAACCAGCTACGCAGACTACTACGGCATCCTCCTAGTTATACGGAGATTCGTTCTGCGGAATTTTTGAAGCGCCGTGCCAATCCAGCATCATCGGAGTATCACCATGAGCGTCATGCACTAGAGCTGCGTGCAGTTTGGGACGCTCTTGCTGTTCTTGCACAAGCAGGAGAGGACTGCCTGAAGAACAGCGGCACCTATCTGGCCGCAGAGGCAAAGCGCAGCAGAGCGGATGATAATAATAAGGGTAAACTGAACATTCGCGAACTGTGCCCTTACCAAACAACTGTGTCATTCAAGAGGTCACAAGAATATTGGCAGAAAGCTCTTATGTTCTTCTTTCGCACGCAGCACTCCAGGGAAAGAGCATGGCGCGGCCTTTATCAGTTTTCGGATGAGCAGAAACATGCGTGGGCTAAGCTGCTTGACGCGGTTGCCAAGGGTCCACAGCCAGAGGACAGAGCCGATTATCATATTTTTGAAGAGATCCAAGATGAGGAAGAGCATTCCGGTCCTGACCATGATGATAACAATCATGATGAAGGCGATGATGCGCTGCCCTCTGACAATCAGGAGAACTGTCCAGCTGATCATGTCGAGCTCTGTCCAGCTTCGGAGGACGACGAGGAAGAGGACATCTTCTATCCCGCTCCTGACGACCCCGACGATTTTCTTGAACATGATGAGGATGACTTTTCATCTGACGAAGAGTACGATGCTTCTGACAATAACGAGAACCGTCCAGCTGAGCACGGCGACAATGAAGAGCTACCAATCTGCGCCGATCTAAAGCCAAGGCAATTGTCAGCAATTCAACAGGCCACCTTGGACTTTTGCATCTCTTTGTTGAGCCAGAAGAATGGTAACGATCAGGAAAATACCTTCTACCGCTTCCTGGCTGTACTTGGGCTCTTGAAAGATGGGAGTTTTACAAAGGCTCAATATTTCTCACCACAACTCTCAGGATTGATCAAGATTGCCCGCTATCTAGTTGTTCTGAATTCCTGCCTGCAGCATCCGACCGATAGCATGGCACGTTTGCTAGCGCTGAAGAAATTTTATGCAAGCAAGATGCTGTATGAATGCAACACGACAGTGGACCGGATGCTCCGGATGCGAGCATTCGCCATGTCTATTGCAAAGAGCATAACCACAAATGGTCGGATTTCCTGGCGAGACTTTGACCAGCTAAGATACGGCACCATCGGATTCTCCATGCGTGATTTTCGCGGCTTTGTACATACTCTTCGGAACAGTACAGAGACTTTTCTTGTCAAACAACTTCTCTTTGCCAGGTCTGCTGAAGATCTGCCCGCAATTCCATGGCTTGAACTTGGCAATGATGCGAGCAAACAAACTCCTGGATGGTCGTTCTTGCAAGACAGCAGCTGCACTCTGTCGGATCATGATTCACAACTCAGGCTTCATCGACGGATAAGAGAGCCGGACCTGGAGTGTGAATTCTTTGGTGGCACGACGAGTGGCAAAGTTCTGAACCGCAAACGAGCTTCACAATTCTTGAATGACGCTGATATTTTCCGGAGGAAGTTGCTTGTCTTGATGCATGTCACTGGTGGTCAGCCAGCGCGAGGTACAGAGATCACTGGTGCTCGATGGTACAACACCACAAAGGCTGAGCGCAACATCTTGATCGAAGATGGGATGGTGGTCTTTGTATTGCGATACCACAAAGGGCATGCGCGCACCGGTTATTCCAACACTGTTCACCGGTACCTGCCTCTTGATGTTGGCGCTCTATTGGTGTGGTATCTCTGGATTGTCGAGCCTTTTATCGCGCAGCTGAGGATCGAGCTGGGTCAAAACATAGCCTCGCCAGCAGTCCTGTTTCCAGCAAATCAAACCCGCAAAGCGCCGGCCAATGCAAAAGCCATGCAAACTCTGAATTCACATCATATGCGCGAGGCATTGAAGAGTGAAACCGAGGATATTCTTGGTCAGAGAATCAACTTGCAGTCATATCGTCAGATTGCAGTTGCTATAAGTCGTCATTTTCTGCAAGAACATGCAATTCAAGGGCCCCGTCCAGATCACGATGAGGATCGTCAAGCTGGGCATACCACTGAGACTGCAAACAGGAATTATGGACGTCAGGAGGGAGAAGGTCAAGGAGTAGACCCTGAAATGCGTGAAAGATTTAAGGATGTTAGCCTTGCATGGCACAGGTTTCTTGGTTTCAGTCCAGCTCCTACTAAGGTCAGATACAATCTCAGAAATGACCGGTATAGCTGTGAATTGGCCGACAATCAGTCTAGCCGGCTTACTCGATTACGCGAAGCTGATCTGGGGCAAGTGATGAAGGACAGACTCAACTCTGAGTTCCGGGGCATGCAAGAAGAAGCACTGAGGGCAATTGTTGAAGGTAAGAATTTCTATTATCATTTCATTGATCTCCTTGTCTTGACTTGTATCTAACTTATACCTATAAGGCAAGAGTCTGGTGATGGCAACTTGGCCGACCAGAGCAGGCAAAAGTCTGTTGTTCATGCTCCCTGCACTTCTTGAGCCAGATGGAACGACGATTGTCGTTGTACCTCGACTGTCACATCGTCAAGACATGAAGGCGCGTTGCTCAGATATTGGTGTCCGCTGTGTGGAGTGGGATTGTGAGGTCCAGCCAGATGGTGCGGCCATTGTTCTTGTCACTCCTGAAGAATGTCTGACTGTGAGGTTTAAAAGCTATATCGACCGGCTCAAAACCCTGCACCAGCTAGATCGGATCGTGATTGACGAGTGCAACACTCTGCTCAAAAACCAGCTTGAGGCCGAAGATTGGCTACAGCGAGAGCGACAGCGACAGCGAGCGCAAGATGAACAGCCTCAGGAACAGCAAACTCCGGAACAGGAAGCTCAGCGAGAGCAAGCTCGGATTCTGAAAGCTCTGCTTCTAAAGAACAAAGTTCAGACGGTGCTTCTGTTTGGCGCGATGCCAGCGGCGATGCAACTTGAAGTCGCTCAGAAGATCGACCCTGGGATGTCTATTCTCCACATGAGCGCTGTGCGTCCAAACATTCGCTACAGTGTTGTACCAAAGTCAACAATCAATGAGTGGTACTCCGCTGTTGGCCTTGACCGTGATAGAGCTGTTGCTGATTTTGTCAAACATAAAAGCAAGCAATATCAGAGCGGCAAGGTCATTGTTTATTGCAACACAAAGAGCCAGGCTGAGAAGCTGGCTACAGCTGTTGGTGCAAGGGATCTCGACTCTGATACTACTGAAGAGGATGATCTGGCAAACGAAGATTCTGCGAACCGGTCGAGCAATATAGTCTTTGCAACAACAGGATCTTTCAGCATGCGCGTCAAGGTACCCAATGTACGCTGTGTCATTCATACACATTCGCCTCGAACACTGATTGAGTTTGCACAAGAAAGTGGCCGCGCAGGGAATCATCATGAAGGCGGCGAGTCCATTCTGCTGGGTGATGCTACCTCTTTGGACTCAGCTCCCCTCATGGAGATCAGTTTGTTCCAAGGCTACATGACCGCCAAATGTCGACGTGCTTTTCTACACAACTATCTCGATCCGGTGAATGACCATCTTGAATGTGGAAGTGACAATGTGTCGCGATGTGATTGCTGTCCAACCCCTGCTGGTCGCTATACAAACAGGCAGTCTGATCGCGAGCGTGTTGAAGAGCCAGCCGCGACTGTGGCAAGCTTAGCGATCCCTGTGGAGCGCTACTCTAACCATCCACCATCCCCGGGCACTGACAGCGATGATGATGAGATGCCAGTCGTGGCTGTTGAGCGACCGCCCTCCAAGAAGAGACCTATTTCACAAATCATGGATAGGTCAGAGGAGGCTGTTGAAGGCCCACCGCGTCAGAGAATTGGTATCATAGTCACTACCCAACCACCAGCGAGGATCCCCAATGATCTTGCGCCTAAGTTGGACAGACTTTTCGATCATTGGCGAAACAAGTGCGTTTTCTGCTGCATGAATAAACTGCCTAACACTCATTGCATGTCAGATTGTCCAGCAGTTGATCCAAGAGTGGGAGAGGCGGTTACAGTTGCCAAACAGATGGCTAAAGAGATCAAATGTCTGCCTGCACCCTGCTACAGATGCGCTCTGTCTTCTATCATGGGTGAACCCCAAGGGATTATTTGTGATTGCAGTCTCCCAGTTCACTATTTTGTGTTTGGCATACTTTATGGAGGCAGTGAAGAACTAAAGAGGGCTTGGATGGACCATGCTGAGCAGTCTTATGGGCCTCTCAAAGAGACACAGCGCTACAAGTCATTTGATGAAACTTGGCTTTTGGATAACCTTGGAAAAATGGTGGACGCTAATCAGCCAGTCAATGTTTTGGCTTATGAGTTTTTCTGGTTGAATCAAAGGTTGACAACACATGGAAATCGATAGGCAGGAGTGGATTGCCTTTGTGCGATGATGAAGAGTTTGCCAGCCCTGAAGTTTCAGGTTAATAGTTTTTTTGTTTTATGAATGAATATATTTGGATACAATGCAAAAGTATAAGCTGTAAGTGGGAGAGGAAGATCGACAGAGGAGTACAGAAACAAGCAGTAAAAACAAGGACGAGCATGTGACCAGGTAAGTAGGAGAACAGAGGCGGAGAACAATAAGCTAAAGTAAAGGCATAGCCAGGAATAAACAGCAGGATGGGGAAGCTACTCAACTGGAAGCATTTGTGCGAACTCACTGGTAGATGTATACAGTCTTGCAACGGGCATTGGCATATGAGCGAGAGGCCAAGCGCGCGAAGGTCGAGGGAGCGTATGAAAAGCCGGAGGTGAGAAATGAAATGAAGCGGGAGGTAGGAGAAAGTTGAGCGCGATCAGGATGGGCCCAGTCATGTGAGCTTGGAGAGTGAAGCGGGTGAGTGAGGAGAGACAAGGCCGAGGTCAAGGGTGAGGAAGCGCCAGAGCAAGAAGAGGCGGGGTTGTTGGCGGACGAGAACAAAGGGCGCGGATTGGCAGGAGCCAGGGTCATCGTCAGGTGAGAGGCGCAGGTGTTGGTGGACAAAAACAAAGGGCGTCGAGTGGGAGGAGGAAGAGTCATCGTCGTCACAAGAGAGGCGCAGGCGTTGGTGACAACAACAAAGTGTGAGGAAGAAGGGCTGGTGTCGAGGTCGATGTTGAGGAAGCGCCAGAGCAAGAAGAGGCGTGGTTGCTGGTGGACGAAAGGGAAGGGCGCGGACTTGGAAGCATCATGATCGGCATTGACGGACAATGGCGACGTTGATTGGGAAGAGACAGAGTCGGCATCGATGTTGAGGGAGCGCAAGAGCGAGAAGCGGAGGGGGTGTTGGTAGAGAGTTGGAAGGAGCGTGCTAGCGTGGAGGGAAGATGGAGCGGTAGTGTGAGGAGAGACTGAGTCGAGATGGACGCTCAGGAAGCGGTTGATAAGATAAGATAAGAGGGTGTAAAAGAGAGAGAAAAGGGAAGAAAAAGAGAGTGGGAAAACAGCGAAAGGGGTGTACTTAAGAGAGAGTATTTTCACAAAGTCGAAAAACAAGATGGCTGTGTAGAGTTTAACCAATAAGCGATCTGGATCACGTTGTGATTTTCTTGTGACTTACCTGTGACTCGATGAGCGGGAAAACGCGGACGCGGATTCGGAAAAATGCGGAAAATGAAAATAAAAATAAAAAAAAGGCCTAGCCTAAAACGGTAATCTTCTCGGGCGAAGATTAGTAAGTTTCTGACTAAAATAAAAATAAAAATAAAAAAAAGGCCTAACCTAAAACGGTAATTCTCTCGGGCGAAGATTAGTAAGGTCTGACAAAGCTGTCGGAGAACTCCGATAACGTGGGGGCCAAGTGGGGGGGTGGGTTGGCCTGCGTGTTAGGGTTTCTTAAGAAAATTAAATTATTTTCTCTAATTTTGTTTCAAAAATTCTTAGAAATTCATTTTTAAAACAACCAATAATGCTCTGTAGATTCTGGTTTTTTGGCTGCACATTGACTGTACTCCTATACTTTATCTGCCTTTTTTTTAATTTGTTTCGAATTTGTTTAAGCCTTTGTTTTAGCATATTTGTTAGCTTTGTTTTTTCCAACTTTTGTATGAGTTTTCTTTTTACTCTTTCCCTACCTGCTCATACAAGGCTTTAATGGTTATCTTCTATGCTTAAATACTACATCTAACTGGTGGTTCTAAAGCGTACTCTCCGGGTTTGAGTGTAGACCAGTACTTTGTACTCTAATATATAATTGAGGATTTGACACTGTACTTTGTACCATACAAGTTCTTCTGCTTTGTACTTTGGAATTATGTTTTAACTCTTTAAACTTGTACTTTTAACTCTTTAAACTTGTAGTTTCAACTTGTTCTTTGTACTTTTAACTTGTTCTTTGTATTTTTAACCTGTGCTTTTATCTTGTGCTTTTAACTTGTGTCTCTATCTTGTACTCCAAACTTGTACTTTTAACTTGTTTTTTGTGCTTTTAGCTTGTGCTTTTAACTTGTTTTTAGTGCTTTCAACTTGTGCTTGTACTTTGTATTTTTAACTTATGATTTTATCTTGCGCTTTTAACTTGTGCCTCAAACCTGTACTTTTAATCTGTTTTTATGCTTTTAACTTGTGCCTTTATCTTGTACTCCAAACTTCCTGTTTTTTGTGCTTTTAACTGGTGCCTGTACTTTGTGCTTTTAGCTTGTGCTTTTAGCTTGTGCTCTTAACTTGTGTTTTTGTTTTGTGTCTCAAACTTGTACTTTTAACTCGTTTTGTGTGCTTTTAACTTGTACTTTAGACTAGTGCTTTTAACTTGTACTTTTCACTTGTAGACGTTTGTGTTTTTTTAAGCGCTTTTGGCGTTGGGTTTAAGCGCTTGTGTAAGTGTAAGGGTTAAGCTGGTAGAAAGAGCAGGTTTGTGTAGGGTTTGTGTAGGTGTTTTGTGTAGGGTTTGTGTAGGGTTTGTGTAGGGTTTGTGTAGGGTTTGTGTAGGGTTTGTGTAGGGTTTGTGTAGGGTTTGTGTAGGGTTTGTGTAGGGTTTGTGTAGGGTTTGTGTAGGGTTTGTGTAGGGTTTGTGTAGGGTTTGTGTAGGTTTGTGTATCTCTCTTGGGTTTGTTGTATCTCTCTCTT